AAACCAATATGAACTGTGTAAATACAGCAAATACTATGTAGACTTCCAAGTTAATTATCGGACTGTTTTCTACCTCTTACGTACTACATACTACAAGGTAAACTATTCACTATCAGGCTAGATCTAGGCACTGCAACTTACCTGTAGGTACCTAAAATTTGGAGGATACCCAAAAGGGGTCTAGCGCGGAGAGCTCCCCGGGCTGCCACTCTCCGTGAAAGCTGTTGTTGGCTGAATCTTTACCACATTCCTGCCTTGCAATCGGCAAACAGCTGTGATTCCTTCGTCTTTGCATCTCTGACACCATTTCAACACTGTCTTCTCCCTTACAGCGTACTATTACCGGCATAATCGTTGTTGATAAAGGCTCCGTTGTCACTTGCGGGCGCATGCGCCGGAGCTGCTCATCTGTGACGATCCAGCAGCGGAGATCCCCTCCCCCCCCTCTCTCTACGAGACCGGTCTAGAAGGCTTGATGAGTGCCAGAGACCTTGAGCCGGGCCGTCGTCCAAGACCGTTTGGATGCACCCTTTAAATCCTTTCCTCCGTGCCTTCTTCCGAAGCACTGTTCCGGGCCAGTGTATACCCATCGAGAATCATGTATGTTTCCGTTCCGGACAGCTTGGCCCGCATCTCACATGCCCAGCCCGTCGTTCTCACATTTCGTCGTATAGGTCCTCCTCGTGCCCGTGACAGAATCTCTCGTCGGGTCGCGCGACCGCGAGTCCTCCCTCTACTACTCGGATCTGGTCGTTTCGGAAGAATTCCTTGGGAGCCATACCTTGCGAATACCAGTCGCTACCGGGACTGGTGGGGGGAAGGATGACTCGAATATACGGGACAGCAGAGGCAAGGCCAAGCAAGTGACAACGGTAAATGGTCGCACCGTGATCATCAAGGAGAATTCTGTCTACAGCAATAAAGGTAGAAGGAGACCCCTTCCAGATCTGAGATCCTGTTGCACTAAACAATGTCCGTCTCTCAAGGTTTCAAGTCCCTAAGCCAAGCTCAGTTGGTGTCCGATGCGTTGTATTATCCCAACAGCAACGACTCCCAGCCATGGCTTATTTATTATATCTCCCGCCCATTGATCGGCTCGTTTGACCCCGGAAGGATTATTACTGCTGTGCTGCCAGGGGCACAACCAAAGATCAATGCCGTGGGCAATGGAATCAAATCCGGCGAGCCAGTCTCCTCACCACAAAAGAAGGAGATCAAAACATTCGGAGAATTGCTGGCAAACTTTCCGATGATCGCTAGACAGATGCAACCTGGCTTGGAACGGCTGTTCAGGGAGTTTGGGAAAGAACTCGGAAAACCTCTACCTCCACCACCATCGCGATCCCCTGTGATGTTTGAAGACTACGAACGCAAGCAGAACCGTGAACCATCATTCGATGAGGCTGCTTCTATTCGCTCCACACGCAGCAGGGAAGGACTTCCGTTCAATTCCGAGGAGTACTTTGAGGATGACGAAGACTTAATGCGTCGCAGCCTCGAGACAGCGGTTACTGCAGCCATTGACTTGTTTCGGTTGGTGGACAAACAACAGCTGTCTTTCCTCGGCGCCACCACCGATCTTACTGGCCCATTAGTCGAACGGCTCATCGAGCGTTATGTGGCGGAGCAGGTGCATGAAAACTTACTCTTCCCTCGACTCTGCAAATTTCGACTGCCGGAGGATGCCGAACTAGACTCCCGAATCCGGTACATGGAAAATATTGACATCTCTCAAGTGGGTATTGCGGTGGAAGGGGGACGGGAGGGCAAGCGGGAGTTATTGCAAAGGCTCGGCAGAGCAGTTGAAGAATTCCGCAAAATGCTCGATGCCAAGTGTCCTCACGACATGTTGAATACCTTGCTTGAGACGGTTAAGATCCTGTCCTACCCTGGCAGCTATGACAGAACAGAGTCGCACTCGTCAGAAAAGCAATTTGCGCCTGTGACCATCAACGCAGATATTCTCGTCTCGTTGTTGCTTGTCGTTGTAATAAGATCTCAAATCAAGAATCTACAGGCCCGCTTGATGTACATGCAACACTTCATCTATATTGATGATGTTGACAGTGGTGAAATGGGCTATGCACTGAGCACGCTTGAGGCTGTTCTTACTTATTTGGTAACGGATGCCGCCGGCCTTCGAAGAGCGAGTGTCAGGAACAAACGCTTATGGAATGCCACCAAGCACGGGCGCGTTGTTGACATGAAGGCAATCCTGGAACCGAACGGGGATCAAGAATCAATTGATGACATCCCTTGTGAACCCGAAGAAAGGGTGGTGGCTTTCAAGACAGGAGACTACAAGGACTCGAGCCCTATTACCCATTTGCCTTTGCCAATACGTGATGGCGTGTCTAACTCATTTGGCGATGATGGAACGATAGCCCCTGGTGCTGACTCTGAAGCCCCGCCGCTTTCCCACGTCTTTCCCTTCCAGACATGGGCGAACATTTCGCCTCCAATCGAAGTGCGACGTCCCATCAAGAAAGTCTCAATGGACGTGCGTAGTCTGTCCGAGTCATCTGCCATATCGCTCATATCCCGGACAACTACCTTGGAGTCCATCACAAGCGCAATCGAAGGCGATAGCTCTATTGAGACTCTGACCAGGACGCAGGATCCTTCCGGCGATTCAATTCCCATGATGGCGGTCGAAAGTCGCCAACCGGAAGCTCTGAAATACCTACTTAGCCTGCAAGAATATTACCCTTTGGAAGATATTCTTGAAGATTCGAACACAGAAGGCACAACACTGCTGAGTGCTGCAGTCCAGCTTGCTCACACTGACATTGTGGACATTCTGATGGATTACCTTTTTAGTGCGACTGATAAGCACACCATCGCATCGTACATGCAGAAGTCCGATATGCATGGACGTACGGTTGCTCATTACTTGTTCAGCACCCCGTCAGTGATGCATAGGCTTGAGGGGCTCCTCCCATGGTGCCAACGGGACAAGCATGGACAAACACCACTCTTCGCCTTGTGCCGTTCTTACGACCACCCTGATTATAAATCAATGGTGATTGAAGCCCTGAACGCAGCCCAGAAAGCTCAAGGAGACGGCAGACCCCTGCGTCTTGACGAACATATCGACTCGAAAGGCAACACGTTGCTTCATATTGTTAGTGATCCCGAAATTACAGTACGGATCTTACAAAGGTGTGACTGTGACCCTAATGCGACAAATGACAAGAGATTCACGCCACTCATGATGGCGAGTAAGTACGGACGCATCGACCAAGTCCGAATACTGTTTGCAGACGCTAGAGTGGATGTTCACCTCAAAGAAAGTCGCGGGTTAACCGCCGTCGAGTTGGCAAAGGACGATGAGGTTCGCAATCGCATTGATGATCTCATACTTTTGTCTACGCCTCCTTCCGTGTATGATGAGCAGTCGGGCCGAGTGACGACCGTTGTCCGCTCCTACTTTGTTGAAGATGCAACTGTCCGATTCGTTCTAAAATCCGGTGCGCCTAATCCGACTGCAAACTCCCAGGAATCTCGGCCTGCGTCAGGCACAACGTACACTGTTACGACATGTCGTCGCACCTTCTCAGATTTTGAGAACCTCGCCCGATGCCTTTCGACCGAGCATCCCGCTTCATATATGCCGTCATTGTCAGACTTCCGCAGCCCGTTTCAGATCCATTCGAAGCCGTCTCGTTCCGTGCTTCATGATATGCAAGAAAAACTGGACAAGTTTCTGAAAGCCCTACTATCCCATCCGACCTTCGCGACCCACGAAATGCTCTGGGAGTTCTTTCTTGTTCCGGAGCTGCAGCCGGACATGATGGCCGACAGATCGCACCGGAAGGCCCAAGTCCTTGCGGAGTCAATCATGGACGATTATGCACCAGTCACCGCGGAAAGTATGAGAGAAACCGAACAGTTTGTCTCGCATGCTCAAGACATGGTTCGTGCCATTCACGTGAACACTCGCAGTCTGGTTCGTCGTGGCCACGCTCTGCAAAATTCTGCGTCTGATATGGCAGACGCTTTAGCTCTCTGCTCCACCTCCATCTCTACTCTTAAGGAACCGACGCAGGCACTCCCTCAGTCTCATGTCGAGGCATTTATCCGCTACGCTTTATGTCTCTCAACCTCATCCTCTGACTCATCTCCGCTACTCCAATTTGTCGCCGCTTTCACCTCCATTGACAACAACACCACAGCTGTTCTCGCCTCCCTCTCCCGCCCTATTGGGCTCATCTCCAATCTAGCTTCCACGAACAGAAATCTCTCTCGATCTCGCTCGTCCCTGCTCTCAACTTCTCTCCCACGGAAATTCAACCTCAACTTCCCCGGATTAGAAGAGTCGCGACAAAAGTCCGTTCGTGAGTTGGAGAGCAAGATCCAGGAATCCGAAGCGCAAGTGGCACGTCTCTCTCGCGAGATCACGTGGAACAAGGATGTAGTGGTCGGGGAACTCGCGGGCTGGACTTCTTGGCGAGAGAAGATTGGGCGGGACGCGATTCGTTCATTTGTCAAGGCCACTTTGGTCCGTGAGAAGGAACGTGGGAACAGGCTCGAGCGATGTTTGAGGAGTGTGCATGAGATGCAATGATGCGATGCGGCGTCGTTGCCAGCCTGTCTGTCATATTATGCCTTGTGGGGAAGTGGTGATGAGTAGTGGGGCCATGCAAACTACTCTTACCAAGTAACTATAGATTATCCTTAACAATTCCATGTAGAAGCTACGGTACAGTCCGGTAATAAGTGAATCGATTCTTGATCTGCGAAGGTCCTCTTACATAGTACTTTCTGCGCCATTACCAAACTAGACACAAACGTCCCCGTGCATAAGCACGTGAAACACCAGGTAATTACATCGCTGTATGCAGATGCTTACTCGTAGTATACCGTGTCTAACCCCGGATTGTAGAGGTGACGCCACATCCATCCATCCGTCATCTCAACTATGATGTCATCTCAGATAAGTTAAGTCAACTCACAGGGCAGGCTCTAACTATACTCCCGAAACTAGATATATTTAAACCCTCACTTTTAAATCGCAGCCTAACTCCTCTCTTCTCCATTTTTCTCTTGAAATCATTTAGAAGTCTAAACTAGGAATATTCAACCCTTCGATACATTACTACATAACCCCTCTTCCAATTCAATAGACATATCTGTCACAGCCACCTAACGGAAACAAAACAAAACACCACCATGCCCCTCGTCATTCCCGGCATCAACAACACCAGCGGCGGCTCGAGCCAGGATGACTGGTCGCACAAGCTAATGGGCAAGACCGTCACCGAGGGATCGAGCGATGTGAACGTGAGTTTCCCCTTCCCCTCTCTCCCATCCTCCACCCTGTATTGCCCTCGCCCTGGCCCTGGCCCTGGCCCTGGCCCTGGCCCTGGACAGTTTCTTGGCGATAAGATCCAGTTGAAACCGGACGGACCAGAGGCAACAACACCCAGACTCATGGGGAAAATGGAACGAACGCCAACTGAACTGGTGTAGTCATTCGCCAAGAAAGACCTGCCGGAAACTCATCGGATCGTTAAGCCGGGGGATGCGATGACTATGGATCATAACCCTGATCGGTACGTGGATTTATTTTCTCGTTTGCTGGGAGTTTGAGAGGTGCTGACTCGTCGGGGATTACAGGTTGAATATCCATGTGGATGAGAGTGGGACGGTGCACAATGTTAACTATGGTTGAAGTGCTGGCCGGGGGAAATTCTTATGGGAATGTGGTGTGTGGATGATAAGATTTTATGTACTGCGTTGGTCTTTGATGCTATATGAATGAAGGATACGATATTTTCATTGATTTGGGGGTGGCCGTTTCGTTTCTATCTAATTTCGTAGTTGGATTTAGGGTTCGGGAGGGGGAAAGGATGCGAAGGTTTGTTTTGGGATGGGCTTGTTTTACTTTACTCGGCCTTCCAGCGCAGGAGAGTGAAGGAGTGCTTGGGGAAGACGTAGGAGCCCGTGGCTTCCCAGGTGCTCTCGGCGACGCCGACCTCCTGCTTGCCGTTCATATTGCTGACGGCGAGGTTGTCGCCGGTGACGGTGAAGACGGCGACCTGGCCGGTGGGGCCGTCGAGCCGGGTCTCGAGGTCCCGGTCCTCGCTGATGTTGACGACGGCGACGTTGACGTAGCCGTCCTCGCCGAGGGTGGCGCTCACGTCCAGCCAGGGGGTGTCCTTAACGCTGCGCACCCACTTGGGCGAGGTCTCGCCCTCGTAGGTCGCGCTGGCCAGGTGCGTGCTGATGGTCCAGCCGCGCATGTACTTGGAAAAGAGGTACAGCGGCCACCAGGTGGTCTGCTTGGTGATGCCGTCCGGCGAGGTCATCAGCGGCGAGATGACGTTGACGCTCTGCGCGATGCACGCCATGCCGACGTCCTTGCTCTTGCGCACGAACACGTTCAGCCACACGGCCACGGCCAGCGCGTCCGACAGCGTGTACGACTCCTCGGCGCCCTTGCTGCCCTCGGCGCGGATCGGGTCCCAGACGTTCCACTCGTCGAAGCAGATGGTGGGCCGGGGCTGGGACGGCGGCACGTTGTTCTCGATCATGGCGAGGTCGATCAGCGAGGAGGTGATCTCGATGGCCCGCTCGCCCGCCAGCGGCGCGGTGACATTGGGGAGGTGGGAGTCCGAGGTCGTGTACAGGTGGATGCTGTGCATATCGATCAAGGGCACGGCACTGGTGGAGAGCTCGGAGTGAGCGGGGAGAAGGCAGTGCTTTAAGGTGTAGTGATCCCACGAGGCAAACCCGGTTTGACCACAGAGAATCAGAACAAGGCTAGGGTCGAGGAGCTTGAGAGCTTCAAGTTCGATCATTGTCAGTATCTTCGAATCATCTTGCGGTCATGATTGGGATGCAAGGAGCTAGCTACCTTTGGCCCATTGGTAGGCTTTGTGGGCATATGCTTCCTGAGTCATCTGCTCAACCTGCCATGGTCCCCAGACTTCGTTGCCGAGGGCCCAGTATTTCACCTGGATTGATTAGAATGACATATAGAGACTTGTAGGCATGGAATATTTGACGTACATTGTATGGTTCCTCGCGACCATTTTTCCGGCGAAGGTTGGCATAGTAAGTGTCCCGGGTGCCGTTGCAGTATTCGACCCACGCAAGGGCTGCATGAATGTGTTAGATTTGAGGCCTTAAACAGAAGGCTAAAACTTATGGGGGTAGATATACCTTCATCAAGAGTACCTATAATACGATTAGTAAGGCTTTTCGACAATGAGAGAAGTCGGTCACTTGCCAGTTCCAAAGTTCAGACAGAGGTAGGGCTCGGTTCCGAGTACTTCACACCATTTCATGAACTCGTCCGTTCCGAATTGGTTGGTCTCTGTTCCCAGCCAGGCCAATTCGGGTCTAAGAAGGGCAGGCTCGCAGTCAGTACAAAAGGGACATGCCAGTCGAAGCAATCCAAAGCAGAGATAAGGGTCCAAGCCAAATGATTGAAACGTGAATGAAAGACAGTAGGCACGATAGGAGGGCAAAAAGGTGAAGCATTCAAGGCAGCGACAACATACCTGGACGGCCGGTTCTCTCTGGGGCCAACACCATCGATCCAGTGGTAGGTTGCCATAAAGTTGCCACCGGGATAGCGGACGACAGGGATGTTTAGGTCCTTCAGGGCCTCGATCACATCTATTCTGAAACCATTCTCGTCCGACAGCTTGTTTCCCGGGTCGTAGATGCCCCCGTAGATGCATCGACCCATATGCCTTTTCGGAGGTGTTAGCCGCAATAATCCACTGGGGCTGTAACCAATCCGGGAGCTTACTCTGTGAAGCCCGCATAGATATTGGGGTTGATCTTGGAAATGCGCCTTGTTGGATGGATGGAAATACTAGGCGCATCCTGGTCGTTAAGCTTCGTGAAGGTGGTCATGGCGGCAAAGGGAAAATAGCAGGAAAGAGAAGGTTGAGAATCGCGAGATCCGATTGGTATGAAAGCAAGAGAAAATGTACCCAAGGGACTATAAGCAGGACTCTTCCTTTGCCCGAAACACACGCAATGTATTGTTGTTGACCATGGCAGAGAGAGCCCGGCAACTAATATTAATGTGCTGAAGCAATGGGGAGCGGGCAGGATGAATCGGGCAAATCCCCTGCGGGGTTGATCCGGAGTTGTACCGAACTCAGAAGAGGGCAGGCCAGCAAGGATGCATGATGGGACCGTCAGATTGCTGTACTGGGGGATGCAAGCGAGAGGTTTCGACGCCGTTGGCTTGGAGGATGAAGCCGAGGCAACGCCACGGCTAATTTCCGTCAATCAGCATGCGTCTCTGGAGTGGAAGTTGATGTACTGCCATCCCGCTTTCTACAAGCGTTGCTTGGCTACACCAGAACCACACATGGCGATAGGTCATGCATGGCATGTTAATTCGGTTGACTCCGCAGGTGTTATGAGTCTTGCATCTCGAACAGGCTGGACTTGGGCCAGCAAGTAGAAAAAATACCCTGTCTCGGTAGAATCCCCAAAGCGTCGTGTCTGCCGACTGATGCATCGTAATGAACCCTCCACCGGTCTTTGCGTGAACTGGGAAAAGTCACGATGCCATGATCATGTTCCGATGGAGGAGGCGAGTTCGGAAAACCCTAATGCCCCAGATTCTGGGCCTACACGTGGGTTGAGTGGCTGTCATCCCCAGATGTTCATAAAAGCCCACAGGACCCTGAACCTGGGGGTGGAATCTCCGCATTTTTTTGTCTGTGATCTTCCTTAGCGAATGATCAAATCCACTGGATCCACTGTGTTCATTGCGGATTCCCACCCTTCAACATGCGTCTCTCTCCGGCATGGTACCAGGTAAGTCCTTAGGAAGGTCCAACGTATGGCTAAGCGCCGGGTTTTTAACGTCCTTGCTCTCACCAGTTCCTGGTCGGTGTCTTCGCCTCTCTCGGCTCGTTCCTTTATGGATGTATGTATAGAAGACATCCATGTACTATTTATTCGCTTGAACAGAACTGATGTGCATGGTTGCAGACGATCTGGGTGTGATTGCCGAGGTCATCGCCAGTGGATCTTTCATCTCCAAGTTTGAAGCCGATAGCACTCAACAGTGAGTTCTACCACGGCCAGAATTAGGCGTATGTCACTGACAGTCTTCCAGAGGTCTCGTTGTTTCCATGTTCACTGCAGGTGCTTTCTGCGGTGCAGCGATTGCAGGTCCTACTGGTGATAAGCTGGGTCGACGATGGACCATCACGATCGGTTGTATCATTTTCTGCCTTGGCGGAGGTCTTCAGACAGGAGCTCAGACTATCGCGTACTTGTACAGCGGAAGATTCTTTGCTGGTCTCGGGTATGTTTACACCGCAAGTATCCAAGCAAAGAATGGAGCGATTGTAGAGCATTTACTGATATGTCCTGGTCTGCAGAGTCGGTTTCCTTACCATGATTATCCCCTTGTACCAAGCTGAGATCTGTCATCCCAACATCCGTGGTCGAGTCACAGCCCTTCAGCAATTCATGCTCGGTGTTGGCTCCCTCTGTGCTGCTTGGATATCGTATGGCACATACATCGGCTTCTCTGATACTGACGATGCTCAATGGCAATTGCCCCTGGGTCTGCAGATCGCACCGGCAGTGTGTCTGGGCCTTCTCATCATGTTCTTCCCTGAGGTAAGAACCTTGCACCTCTGGTCGACTGTTGCTAGTCAAGCACAACTCACTAACAGAACTTCAGTCTCCTCGTTGGCTCATTGACCATGGTAAAAATGAACTGGGTCTGAAAACCCTGGCCCAACTCCACGCTCATGGTAACGAAGATGACGCGTGGGTGCGTGCGGAATACCAGCAGATTCAGGAAAGCATCAAGTTCGAACATGAGAACGAAGCCAAGTCCTACGCGGAACTCTTCACGTCCCGCTCTTCCTTCCGTCGTCTTTTCCTCTGCTGTGCTATCCAGGCGTCTGTCCAGATGACCGGTGTATCTGCGATCCAGTGAGTCCATCCAGCACTGCGCAATCGGGGAAGCAGAGTGTAGAACTAACCACTCGCAATTCGGCAGGTACTACTCCGTGACTATCTATGAGCAGATCGGCATTTCGGGCGACGAGACCCTGCGCTATCAGGCCATCAACTCGATCATCGCCCTGATCGCCCAGTTCCTTTGCATCCTGTACATCGATCGGTTCGGTCGTCGTTGGACTATGATCGGTGGCAACCTGGGCAACTGCGTCACCTTCATCGTCGCGTGTGCGCTGCTGGCCAAATTCCCGCCGGAGGTCAACAACACGGGCGCGCACTGGGGCTTCATCATCATGACCTGGCTGTATAACTTCTCTTTCTCTTGTACCTGCGGTCCCCTGTCGTGGATCATCCCAGCCGAGGTGTTCGACACCCGGACCCGTTCAAAGGGTGTGTCGCTGGCTTGCATGGTCTCCTACGCCTTCAACACCATGATTGGCCAGGTCACCCCGATCGCCATGGAGAGCGTGCGCTACAGGTACTACTACCTTTTCATCATCTGCAACTTCACGAACGCAGTCTTCTTCTGGCTGCTTCTTCCCGAGACGAAGAAGCTCCCCCTTGAGGAGATGAACTACCTCTTCTCCAATTCGCCCTGGATCGTGGTGGGCACTCGCAAGGAGGACTATGTCACCCACGACTTGGAGCGCCGTGTTGAAGAACAGGAGGAGAAGAGAGGTGCCTTTGCCACGCACGCCGAGACTGAAGCGTAAATCTTGCTTTCCTTGGCGCAGTCGGTCGGGGTGTTGTGTCTTTGTTTTCGGCAAGTCTTGCACCCCAGCGTGGAGACATGAGAGGACAACGAGAGTCCTATAGTAAGACAGGGAGCCTTTGACCTTCCTGAGTAATAGTCAGCGTGTTGCAGTATGTAGTGACTTCAATAATACCCCGTGATATTCTCACCGAGATCGTGGATTGGAAGGTGTATTGATTAAGATAGTGGATTCTTGCCGTGTGTCAAGAGTCATGTTTCTACCTTGGGAAATCACATGGTCGTCTCTCCCAAGGTTTCATGCTTTACCAAAAATACCCGACTCTATGACTCCTAGTGAGGGGTAAATCAACATGGATACGCTATATAAGATTGATAGAATTTGTAAATCGAGCATCGAGCTAAACATGAATGAGCTCGTCATCCGAGCTCCAGTACATTGGCTGTACTGCAATGACGAGGACTCATTGACATGCGCAAGGCTCCCAGCATACCGATACACGAATGCGATATGTATCCTACAGAATGATGAGCTATGCTTCCGAATTTTCACGCCTGCTATTGCGTAAGGACCGCCTCACTAGTCAATGATGGATTTAGCCCGCTTCATCTGGGTAAAAGCCTTACAACCTTCACGGCTTTGCTAACAAGACTACCGGGCGATCGTGCAAAGTATGTCTTTTTCCAGGATATTATATCGTGAGAGGGCATTTTTCCTTTGACTCTTGAAGCTATAATCTTCCGACGATGCTCTGTAGCAGAATTTCTTGATTTTCAATTAGACATCGCCTGCTATGCGGGTAAATGCAAGCCATGGCAAACATCACGAAACTATTAGGGGGGAGCATCGAGTCGTACAGGCTATGCAGATAGCCATGATATTCACCCAGAGAACATCGAGTTTATTCCGAGTCTGAACTGTAACCTGCCAGGCCGAGAGACAGTGACGATGAATTTGCAGCTGGCTTCTGGGCTGGCGAGTTCGTGCTCGGACTCTTTCCCACGGGTTCCCCGGGGCTGACAGCACTTTCCGCAGCACTCAGGGGCTTCTGTGTTCCGGTGGGTTTGTGAGTTGATGTAGACTTTGGCAGTGATTTATCTTCCCGAGGCTCCTTGGAGGTAGTTGGGGGTGCCTGCTCGCCTTTAGGGCTTCCAGCAGAGTCGCCAGTCAATGACTTGCGTTTTTTTCCGGGGACAAGGAGGTCCTTGCTCTTCTCGCGTCGTCGTTTCCGCGCAGGTAGTTTCCAATCCTCTCCCTCCGCTGCCGGAACCACGTCGGCAGCTGTATCTTCAAGAAGAGTCTTTTCCGCCTCTTCCCGCTGGCGACGGAACAACTCCAAACCTTCGGCAGTCTCCTTCTTCACGGCGGCCTCCTTCGCTCGCGTCGACTCCAATATCGAGTCCAGGAATTCAACCTCATCTTCGTCCAGCGATCGGAATTGGTTCTTCAGCTTGATTTTCTCTTCGAAGGCTTCTTGCTTGGCCACTACACAGACGAAGATAGATCATCCTAACATGTCAATCTAGGGAGTTTCGAAAGCACGACGTGGACCTCGCTGAGCGAGTGTCGTGATATTGATCTAACTCACTCTTGTTCTGCTGCAGTACTTCAAACAGACTCTTTCCTCCATCCTGTTTTCCCAACTCTGCTTTGCGCCTGCGTTCCTCCTCGAGCTCCTGCTGCACTCGGTGCCATTCATCATTGCGCTCGACGGGCTCTTGATCTGTCCCTGCGGACACAAATCCGGACGACATTCTGGAAGGGTTGTAAGGTAATTAAAGTATCGACCCTCACGGCAAGGGTGTTTCGACTTCCCCGCGGGGATGGAAAATGTTTTCGAGGTTCAAGGGAGGCAGTGTGGCCTGACCATAGGCTATCTCCTTGTTGCCGGCCGTGATGACTGGGCGCCTTGCTACTGAGTAACTGTGAGTTTCAGACGATGTCCAGTTAATCGACAAATCACTATGCTTGCGCCAACGATTGGATTGTGTCCTTCTCCGGCTTCAACCGCGTTCTGGAGAGGGAGCCACAGTGGACGGGCAGAATCAAGCGGTGAGGCTTGAAAATCCGAAGTTGATTGGACTCTTCCAAACGCGGAGCCCCACCGAAGCGGAGCAAACGAGTTTAGGCAAAATCCCGCAGGTGCATGGCTGCGGGCAGCCTCGATGCCGAACCGATTCTCGGTGGTTGGACCGGAAATAATTATTAATGTTGATTTTACACGAGACCAAGGTCTGCATATGCTTGCTACTGTGTGGATGGTGCCGAGTTCAATCCACAGACGCTCGGCTAGTTCTTTTGAGATTCCAGGTTTGACATTCTAGAACTCGGTTATATAGTTATGTCCGGTTTACTGTGTACTGTACCACAGAGCTCGCAAGCTATCTCGGATAGTAGTACAAGTAAACAAGTAAACCTGTTTCAATTGAAGAATGTGGCGCGGTAAACTGACTGCCTGACTTTGTAGTATGAATGCTTGGGACCCTCATGCTGAGCGGCTAATTGCATGCGATAACGAATTGAGAACAAGATAACCCACCCATTTGGTTTATCGGTTTCAGATTGCAATTAGAAATGACCGGCAGAGACAAAGGCCCTGGGAGCCCGTCGATGAATTGACCCCACCATTATTGAACGGACCCCGCGACCCCGATTGACTATCGTCATCGTTCCGCGCATAGCGTGCTGGATGGACCTGCCCTGCCTCATCATCATTATCGTCTATCGGCTCTCAGAGTGAGCGGGCACTCAGCCCCTCCACTCCTCCCCAAGCCTATAAAGTCAACCTGCCTCCATCTGTGGGGACGGCTTCCTCTTATTCCTCTTTCTTCCTTCCTTCAATTCTTCCCTCTTCTAAACATTTGAATCAATTGCATTGTTTCCTTCCCAGGGTACCATACAAAAAAGTAACCATGTCGAACCTTGAGCACACCAAGTAATCCAGCTGCCCTCCCCCCGAAGCCCCAACAACGTTGACTTACACTTTGGCCTCATAGGAAAACTTACACTCTCAACACGGGTGATAAGATCCCCGCTGTTGGCTTGGGCACATGGCAGAGCGGTCCTAACCAGGTTAGAGAGGCCGTCAAGAATGCCCTTCTGAAGGGTTACCGCCATATCGACACGTAAGTGGAGTATTGTGATTGATCTAAGAACCGTGTTTGACCCTCATACTAATGGTTTTCGGCGGTGATAGTGCCCTCGCCTACGGCAACGAGGCTGAGGTCGGTCAGGGTATCAAGGACTCTGGGGTCCCTCGCGAGGAGATCTGGATCACGACCAAGCTCAACAACACCTGGCACCACCGCGTCGCCGAGGGCATTGACTCTTCTCTCAAGAGCCTTGGCGTGGACTATGTCGACCTTTACCTTGTTCACTGGCCCTGCGCGACCGACCCCAACGACACCTCGAAGCATCTTCCCGACTGGGACTTCATCAAGACCTGGTACGAAGCAATCACCCTTGTAGACCCGGCATTAGCGAGTGGGTACTGACTAGTGCGGAATCTTAGGCAAGAGATGCAGAAGCTGCCCGCCACCGGCAAGGTCCGTAACATCGGTGTTTCCAACTTCGGCATCAAGAACCTGGAGAAGCTTCTGAACGACCCCAGCACCAAGATCATCCCCGCTGTTAACCAGATTGAGTTGCACCCCAACAACCCCTCCCCCAAGTTGGTCGCCTACAACACCTCGAAGGGCATCCACTCCACCGGTTACTCTTGCCTCGGCTCGACGAACTCTCCTCTCTACAAGGATCAGACCCTGTTGGACCTTGCCGAGAAGAAGGGCAAGACCCCCCAGCAGGTCCTGCTGGTGTGGGGCTTGAACAAGGGCTGGAGCGTCATTCCCAAGTCGGTCAGCAAGGAGCGCATCGACGCCAACTTCGAGCTCGACGGCTGGGACCTGACTGAGGAGGAGGTCAACCAGCTGGACAACTTGAAGGATCGCTTCAAGGTTTGCGGAGACAGCTGGCTCCCTGTCAAGGTGTTCTTCGGAGATGACGAATGACTGACCGACATGACGCGAGGCGAAAGAAGTTCTAAAATCTAAATCCAATGTATATAAGTTCGGTCAAATGCTTGAAGCCATAGAAGCATGATAGCTTGCCGGTAATAGAATGAATTGATCGTTTTTGAACATTTTCCGCTAGTATTATCTCAATTGTCCCTCTTCTAAGTGTTGTCTGAGCGCGCAGCAATTGTTCGATGTTAAAGGCGGTGTTTACATTTAATTGAGAGGACATTTGCGGGGTAAAGGCGGGGCCGAAGCGATTCGGGTGCGCTTTCCTACACTGCGGTGGTGATAACTGTATTTCGTTGTCCGGCCCGGCTGTTTGAGGATAAGAGCAGAATTATCAAAGCCCGAACAATCAACATCACCTAATTAGACCAAACAGTTGCAGGTTGACGTTTGGTCGCCACATCATCATCGAACCACTCCCCTTCGGGGCACGTGGTTCCGGATCACATGCAGCACCGCCACTCGGCATCATGGATCCGCCGTCCCCTCGCCGTGTCACATCATCCATCCCCCGGACCCGTCATCCTCTTATCTCCTTTCTTCCTTCAATCATCAGGAGATGGTTAATCCATCATCTACTCGCTCATAAGCTTATCCATTGTTGCAGTCAGGATGCCGCCTTCTAACGGGCACCTGCTGCTCCCCAAGGTCTGGAGAGCAGCCAGGTGAGTCATTTGCCACATAGTTCTTGTTTCCAGCGTACCCTACTAATTCTCCCCTAATTAGGTCTGCCTACGAGAAGGCCTGTAAAACATTAAGGTCAAAGTTTCCCGACCAAATCCCTCAGGGTTCGCTCCGTCTTCAACCTGAATACATTAGGGTTGCTCACAGACAACCTATCAATCGAGCGGCTGCCATCCGTCAAGCCCGAAGTCGCCAGTTCTCGACTCGTGCGGCGGGATCCTTCTTCTCATATCTCCGTAGTGGTCTTCAAGCAGACCGTACTGCGACAGCGAAGGTATCTTCTGTTGCCTCCAATATTAGCCGGTTGACAACCCGTGCTCCTTTCGCGTCCGCTCTCCGCCCGAACTTGACTGGCGGTACGTTGGGCCGCACGGCCGGAGGTTATACAATTGGTGCCGGCCGCATTGGCGGTGCACGATACTTCTCACATGGCCCGGCTGCACCGGCCCAGGTTATCAACAATGTTTCAATGGGTGTGCGTGCGTTCTTCCTCTCGGGGCAGAAGGCTCGATTTGATGGGGTCGATCCCATCACCGGGAACAAGCGGTACAAGGCCGTCAGCAAGCTTCAGGATGAAGCTGAGCGCAAGATGACCGGCATTCCTCGCACGGCCCCTGGGTCTTTCATCGACTTCCAGATCTCTCCTACCATCACTGCCTTCGGCCTTCAGAAGAATCTGGCTGCCACCAGCACTTGCGATGATCAGACGCTGAACTCGGAGGGCCTCCTGGATTTGCTGTCTGCCGACTTTGCCCGGACCCTTAAGGATCTGGCTGTCGTCCTTAATGATCTCAAGCGTTTGAAATCTCTAGGCGACTTGCCCGTCATACTCCACGACCGGTCAACGATTAGAGTACGGTTTCCGGGTTGCGATGCTGAGACTGTTGAGAGGCTTTGTGACGAAGCAGGTATTCAACGAGGCAAAATCATGCAAGATGAGGATTTCAACACTCGTACGGGTGCTGATCTTGCTCTCCTGTTCCCATTTGCTCCGAGCGTCCCATCGTCTCCGCTGCTCGGTGAATACTTCTATAAACCTCAGTCTATGAAGTCCCAGGCTCCTGAAGAGGTCGATTGGCATGCTATGATGTCTCCCGAGCAAATCAGCGACGCGTCGTCTAGTGTGCACAAACAGTCTCCCAACCAGATAAGCTATGAGGATGTAACCATATTTGCCAAAAATCCCTGGGCGTCGCCCTTGTCGGGGTATTCCAGCATCAACGTCAGCGAGCTCGGAGACCACGCCTACTTCCCCGAGGTCCTGAGCAGTGGGATTCCTGGTACCGCCTCCGAATACGAGGGCTCGGACGGAATTCGCAAGTTCATTGCTGAGTGCGATACGGCTGCGCGACACTGAAGCACATGCCAAAATGTACAGCTTTACACAGTCATTTCTCGTTTCTTTGCGTATTGTTTTCCTTGCGTTCTTTAAACAAGTGCTTAGGTGGATCACGAGTATGCTTGGGCAATTCGAATTTACCAGCCATCTACCTGATGCGCTCATATCTAACATATATACCACTATTGTTATTTCGAATGTGATTAACTCATGGATTTTTTTTAAATATCATCTCCTTCAATACACTTCACTTCCCAGGTATTGTTAGAGATGCTTCGTATGACTCGTTAAGCCAGGTATCTGTGTCGCGAGGCTACATCGATCAATAGTTTGAGCCGGCGGCGACGACCCTTTGGAGAGGACTCCGTCCCTTGGCACAGGCATACCTGTGCTGCTTTTGTCAATATTACGTCTCTGCTTTAATTTGTAGCCAAAATACCCCATGGGATATCGCCATGCGGATTGGCAATTCTCCACAGCTATGTCAACCTGCACTTCTCTGATAAGCGGCTTCTATTACTCGAGATGTATATAATATCGCTTGGGAGACCGGAATCTCATCTTGTAAGCTAGCAACTTATACTGTTGCAACCACTGAAGCGACTATATAACCAGACAGCCTACTAGCATGCTCGGTTCTTCAGCCAGTGTCAACACAGTCTGATACATGTAAAGACATAAGAGTCACCTAGTGAGGAGTGGGATGTTGTAGAGCGATGGACAGAGCAGCAAGGCGGTCAGATAGCGTCTGTCAAAAAGCCCACCGCCAACCCCGCGCTAAGCTGGAAGGAGGGCGATCCGATCCACTGATAACAGTCCATCCACATGGAGATTCACACACTGCAACTATCCTGACCTGGAAGCTCATTCATTCACTTTACTACTTCCCGCATTCCGCCATCTCTCCTGCAACACTTCCGAATATTACATGACTCGATAGAAAAAGACACACTCGGTACTTGTTCTGGGGACTCTCCTGTGCTGGAGGTGTTCGACCGGGTCTCAAGCAACTGCTACGGGTCTGAGCAAAGAAATCACATAATATCTTCCGATCGCACCCCTCTCGATTTGCCGTCACCCAGACACGATGGAGGACTTCAACAGTGAAACTGACAGCGACTACACCAGCTACTGGAGAGATTGGGTAAGGTGCCCCCCCACCATGCCTGCCCCCTCCTTTCCCTTGACGTGAACGATGTGGACGGCGGCTCGAGTGCTGGTGAATGAGTGCGACTTGACAGTTACACCTGGGGACGTCATCATGACCCGGAATTGCGAATGAAGTTGCGACGGCAACTTCTCGAAAGTTGCTGAGGGGCCGCTTTTCTCAGTCAATTCTGTCTTTGCTGTCCTCGGGCAGGCCTACAGATACCTCGGATATATCGATATCAACCCGAGATCTTGTCTTGTTGCCTCTGCTCCTGCATCGAACCCTGTCCATTCGTTTTTCAGAGCCCGAGCCCGTTCCGTGCCAACGATATCTTGATTGCTGAGAACCCGTAACTGACTGCTTCTGGAAAGTTTATCTCCTCTCGTGGCAATGAATACTTTTGCGAAATCGACGAGGATTACCTCACGGATCGCTTTAACTTGACCGGCCTGAACACCGAAGTCGCATACTACCAGTACGCCTTGGACCTGGTGACGGATGTCTTCGATCTCGACGCAGACGACGACCTCCGCGAGCAGATTGAGAAGTCAGCACGCCACCTTTACGGCCTGGTCCATGCGAGATACATTGTCACGACTCGCGGGCTTGCCAAGATGGTAAGACCCTGAAGTTTGCGAAGCCACCGCCGTCTCTAATCTCTGGAAATTAGGTCGATAAACTTAAGCGCGGCGATTTCGGCAAATGTCCCCGAGTCATGTGTGAGGGCCACCCCCTCTTGCCGATGGGCCAGCACGACACCCCTAATATCAGCACGGTCCGTCTTTACTGCGCTAAGTGCGAGGACGTCTATCACCCGAAGTCGTCTCGCCACGCCTCCATCGACGGAGCTTACTTCGGCACCTCTTTCCACAGCATGCTTTTCCAGGTGTATCCTGCGCTGATGCCGGAGAAGAGCATTCGTCGCTATGAGCCCCGCGTGTTCGGATTCAAGGTGCACGCCAGCGCTGCCTTGGCTCGCTGGCAGGATCAGTATCGCGAAGACATGAAGACGACTCTTCGCGATGTTGGAGTAGAGGTCAAATACATAGAAGACGACAGCGAAGACGATCTGGAAGACGACGATGATGAGGCGATCTCGGACACCAAAGAAGAGGAGAAGGTTATCGGTGACGCTGCTTCGGGCCGCATGGATCTCGGTAATTAAAGCATAGCAACGCCTCTTCTCTCTTTTCTTCTCTTCATCCCGTCTGGTTTGCACAGTTTTTCCGCCCTTGAGAATGGAGTTATTTTCTTCCATTATCATATATTTCAATTGCATTACATCCTTCTCCGCAACCACCCACATGCATCTCAAGGGTTGGTCCCTTTTTCCTCTTTCCCCCCCCCATCCCCTCCCCCTCTTATATCGTCCCTTGCTTTAATGTCTTTTGAAAATCGCAGGAGTGTGACGGAGGGGGTGGGTTCCTCACCAAATTACATCTCATCTGCTTGCATTTATGATTATGAAATCACACTGGTGGCGTTGGCAGTCTTCCGGAGATGGCGGGTCTGTTTCTTATCTTCTTCTGATGTGAACTAGTTTCTCTTTCCCGGCCGACAGGCTTTCAGGATATACATTTCGATCTGGCTTGGTTGAATCTCATCTGGCTTCTTCTAGTCCGTCGGTCTCTTGGCGAAAGACTCTATAGAGGACTGCATTGTTCTCCAACGGGGTTCATTCATTTTGTGTAAATGTACAGTTCGTAGCGAATGCCAATGGTAGAAAAGGCAGGCCGTAAATGCATTTTCACGTGAGTCTAAGTCGTGTATGAAGCTCCGTATATACAGTACAATGAACCATTCTTGAGTCCCTTTCACTCCTGCAACTCCAGCAGCTTGTCCAGCGTAAAGGCAATGGCCCGCGCCAGCTCGATCCCCTTGTCCCAGCAATCGTCATGCGCCCCCTTGATGGGGAGCAGTTCGACCCTCCTCCTGCTGCTGCCACTGCCTTGAGACGAAGACGCCGCCGCCGCCTCAACCCAGGGCTCCAGAGCTTTCTTCATTACCTCGTGCTGGCGCGCATTGACCAGCTCATCCTCCGGCGAATGCGCCAGCACGGCCAACCGGCCCGCCGTCCACCCACCCACAACACCATCTCGCTCATCCCCGACCGCCGCCGGCGACACGGCATCCCACAGCGCTTCCTCTTCTCCAAACGCCTCCTCAATAAACTGCTGGTACGCCGCGATCTGCACATGATCATCCCGCAACCCCCGCAGATCATAGATGCCCGCCGTCCCCAAAATCGCCTGGGGTCCTATCGCCACCGACCCGCCGCCGAGCCCGAGCCCGATCCCTCCACTCCCGCCTACCGCACCATCCCTACCATCATGACCACCATCCCCATCAACCAGACCACTATTCGAAGTGGTGGTCTGGTTACCGCGGAACGAGCCCATAACCGACTGGAACGCCAGCGTGGCGCCGCAGCTGTGCCCGACGAGGATGTAGCGGTCCCCGAAGCCGTACTTGCGCTGCAGGAAGGCCAGCGCGGCCTGCACGTCGGCGATGTGGTCCGGGTGGCGCGCGGCGCGGTATTCCGTGGGTGAGGTGCTGTTGCGGTCCTGCGGGTGGTCCGGGTGCGGGCTCAGGCGGTAGTTGATGGAGGCGAAGCCGGCGAGGTGGGCGTGCGTCGTCGAGGCGTAGGGCTCCGAGGCCGCCAGGATCGAGACCGCCGGCGTCAGGTAGTTCAGGGCCGTTTGTGTGGGGTCGCGCCAGGCGCCGCCGTGGATGCAGCTGTTTTACATGATTGTTATTGTTGGTTCGAGTGAGTGAATGTGTTTGGGTGTTGGGTCTTTGCGGTGGGTAGGGTGGAAGGAAGGGAAGGTGTGTATATTGAGGTAGGTTAGTGGGGGGAAGGGGAGGGGCAGGGAAAGGGGGAACATACATCACCCAGTAGCCTTTGTCGGGGAGAGCCGATAAGGTGGTCACTGTCACGGTTTGGAGGACATGTTTGGTCCCGTAGGAAAAGGTTTCAGGGATCATTGGATCAATGACTGGGGGTATAGGGGTGGTAGACATTGAAAGGAAGGGGTTTACGATGAGATGATTGGGAGGGACCTGAGTAAGAAAAAGAGAATTGGGTTATCAGTTCACAGGAGTCATGATGATGGAAGAAGCCCCAGTGCTGCTGTTGGGTTTCTGGTTAGCGTGGCGTCCGGTTTGTCTGTGGAGCAGTGGCCGCGCTTATCGCAAATCCAACATGATGCTTCACTAAAACATTCTGTTGATGCCGTATAGTCTCGAATCAATGGATGTCAGGCCAGCCATCAAGACCTCGACCATCCAGGATTGAGTGAAGAGACAAGAGACTCATGTGGTCACTCGCAAAAGATATTGCCCGTTTGGGCAGCGGCGCTGACTGCTCCTATGGGGCTTGGCACGCTAAGCCCGATCGGGGGTTAGGCGGTGGGAGCAAATGCTGAATTCCATCCACACAAACCATCGCCGCCGTTCAACCCATCGTCGCCGTCTATACACGTATACTCTGGGCTGCTGCATTCAAAATGGCGGAGTAAGTTCTCTTGGGATTTCTCGAATCTTGGCCCAAGGATGAAACTAATGTTAAACCTTACAGGAAAGAAGTTCCTCTCACGGCCGTCAAGGTCGAGGCCTTGGTATGCACCACCACCCTGAAAATCTTCCTCACCACCCTCCCTCCCCCCGCTTTAGACAGCCCGGTCGGTCATGATGCTGACGGTTCTCGCCATTAGGTGGTGATGAAAATCATCAAGCACGGCTCGCAATCTTTCCCCACGACTGCGACCGGTTCGATCGTTGGTATGGATGTCAACGGCACCCTGGAGATCACCAACTCGTTCCCTTTTCCCGTCGTTGAGATGCCCGCCGAGTCGCACTTCGACAACGCCGCCCCCAACCCGGCCGCCGCTGCTCCCCGTGCGAAGGCCAACGCCGTCTACCAGGCCGAGATGGTCCGTATGCTTCGCGAGGTCAACGTTGACGCCCAGAACGTCGGATGGTACACCAGCGCCAACATGGGCAACTTTGTCAACATGAACGTGATCGAGAACCAGTTCTTTTACCAGAAGGAGATGAACGAACGTACAGTCGCCTTGGTGCACGATGTCAGCCGTAGCGCCCAGGGAAGCCTGAGCCTGCGTGCCTTCCGCCTGTCTCCCAAGTTCATGACTGCTTTCAAGGAGAACAAGTTCACCTCCGAGGAGTAAGTTCTAGCTGTCGTCTTGGAAGTTTAAGCTGCGTCGCTAACATCCACCAGGCTCCAAAAGTCCAACCTCAGATACCAGGACATCTTCGTCGAACTTCCCGTTGAGATCCACAACTCCCACCTGATCACCTCTTTCGTCCACCAGCTTCAGTCCCCCATCCAGTCCGCCCCCACGGATCTCCCCGCCTCTTTGTCTGCTCTGGAGTCTGGACCCTTCGCCAAGTCCTCCGTGCTGGCCCCCAACTTCGACAACCTCTCCCTCAGCATCGATCCTTTCTTGGAGAAGAACTGTGACCTTCTGCTCGACAGCATCGAGGTCCACCACACCGAGACCAACAACTTCCAGTACTACCAGCGCTCGCTTGCCCGTGAGCAGGCCAAGATCACCGCCTGGCAAAACAAGCGCAAGACCGAGAACGCCAACCGTGCGACTCTCAAGCAGCCCCTCCTCCCCGAGGACGAGTGGCAGCGGCTGTTCAAGCTCCCTCAGGAGCCCAGCCGTCTGGACAGCATGCTGAACAGCCGCCAGGTCGAGCAGTACGCCCGCCAGGTGGACAGCTTCGTCGCCTCCACGACGGGCAAGATGTTCGCTGTCAAGGGTAACCTTCTGCCGGGAGAGACCGCCAAATAGAATGGAGGACTTCTAGAGGAAGCGCGAAGAAGACGAAGATGAAGATGAAGAAGAAGGGCCAAACTGATATGATTTGTCTCACACTGTGGGGATTCTGGAAATCGCATGCATGACCTTACGGCGTAGGGAGGGAAAATTCTGTATCTGACTGTTAATATGTCTCCTGGTTGTTTCTTAATTCCAGTGACGAATAGAGTTACGGGATATGACTTTTGGGGGAGAATTCGCTTTCAATCTATATAGGTTTTTTGTTTGTTGTTTACCGATGTTTCCCCATCCCCTCCCCCCCTGTTTCGCCTTTGGTGAGAGCGTCTCTGCATGTTTCCCCAGGTTGACTGTTTTGGGAATGGCGCTGCCCTAATTGCTGTGTTAGGGTACGATGCGTCCACGTGACGTGGCATTGATGACCTCATCGTTTGATACCTTTGCTGCCGATAACGATTAGATAAGGATTGATACAATCATTACAATGACGATTGCTATTCCAGTGATTCTCGATGCTCACGAGTAGATTATCTTGGATACATACAAGATAGATTCAATTCATGCATACACAATGCCTAACACCAACTCCGACATCTGGCTCGTATGTCATTCCAAGCAGCGCAGCAGCAATTGCCCTCCCAAGCCGCCTCATCCTAACCTACACTCCACACCATCATCGTGATATCCCACAGCTTATAACTGCAGTACTAACCATAAGAAAAAAAAACAACAGTCCGGGGCCTTCGCCGTCGTCATCACCGACTTCATGGTCTACCCCTTCGACACCCTCAAGACACGCCTGCAATCCCCCGACTACGCCACCGTCTACAAGGACGCGACGACCGGCCAGATCAAGCGCGGCGTGCTGTTCAGGGGCCTCTACCAGGGCGTCGGCAGCGTCGTCCTCGCCACGATTCCAGCCTGTAGGTCTACCCTTGTCTGTCCTGTCCCCTCAATATAACCCCCGGGCAACCCTTCTCCCTGCTCTTTCGCACCAACTAAGAAAAAATCCCCCCAAAAGCAGGAGCATTCTTCACCACCTACGAAGCAAGCAAACAAGCCCTCACGCACCTCTTCACCAAAACCACCACCACCAACCAGACCCAATCCCAGAAACTCACCCTCCCAACACCCTTCCTCCACTCCCTCGCCTCCTGCACCGCCGAAGCAGTCTCCTGCTTCATCCTCACGCCCGCGGAGGTGCTGAAGCAGAACGCCCAGATCGTCAACAGCGCTTCCACCAGCACCAGCACCAGCACCAAACCAAAGAACATAACCCTCACCATCCTCCACCGCTTCCGGCACCGACCCTGGAAACTTTGGAGCGGATACACAGCGCTCCTAGGCCGCAACCTGCCGTTCACCGGGATCCAGTTCCCGATCTTCGAGTTCGTCAAGGGGAAGGTGGTGGCTTATCGAGACACAACACCAAAAACTGTCGGCGGGGGTGTCGGGGCATCGAATACAGATCCGACCTTCACCTCCGATAAGAACCGGCAGGACTCGATCGTCGAACGGGTCTACGTGACGGGCATCGCGGGGAGTGTGGCGGGGACGGTTTCCTCGGTGGTGACGACGCCTACTGATGTGGTCAAGACGCGGATGATGTTGGCGGCTACGGAGGAGCAATCTTCCCCCGAAAAGAGGGCCGGGGCGTGGGCGGTGGGGAGGGAGGTTTATGGGAAGGAAGGGGTGAAGGGGTTGTTTCGGGGCGGGGCGTTGCGGGCGTTCTGGACAGCGATCTCGTTTGGAATTTATTTGAGTATGTATGAGGGGGGCAAGGTTTATTTGGGGAATAGGCGGGGGGAGAGGGAGAAGGGGAAGAAGGTGAGAGATGAGGAGGAAGGGGCGCCGTTGTAGACTTTCCTGGGCTAGATGCTCGGCTTGAATATGGGTTTTGCCAGAATAGATAGTCTAATACAATGAAAACTCCAGCTGCTAACATTTGCAATCATATGTAGGAAAGATGCCTTGAGTATGCCAATCACTGGCAAGCAAAAAATAAAAATCATTCTCATGGTAGTCGTACATCGTATAATCCAAGCGCATCATCTAAATCATTTTTTTCACTTCGGATACAAAGTCACATCCCAAAGACACATAATCATTCATCAAATATCCAGGATATCTTCCAGGTTCAGCCTCATTGCATTGTCGTTTCATCGTTGAATTCATAAAAGGGCCCCAACTCGCAGATTGCAATAGTGAGACAAGCCTGTTGAAACTGCATGCGTCACCTCATCATCCCAGATTGGTCAATTTGCGGAACCAATTGGGCATTCTCCCATTGCTAACTGGGGGCGGCGCGTAGCGGTCTTCATAGCGGCCTTCATACGGCGACCGCATCCCCCGCGCACGCTCGTAGTCTCCACTCCCGGAACTACGCTCGGAGCGTCGCACCTCGCGTTTCCTGGAACGGAGCTCGTCAATCTCCTGGTCCGTCAGCCCGGGGTATCTGGCTCGCCGACGAGCCCGGCGGCGCAGTTCACGGCGCGCCTCTTCGTCCGACGATATCGAGCCGCCGTTTGCGGCCCCTTCGGGTCCTCCGGGCATATCTAGCACCGTAGTCATCACGGGTGGGGGTTCCGGCGGATCGTCCGCCTGTGAGTCGATCCAGGACGAGGTCTTATCCTTGCGGCCTCCGGACATCATTGGCCGGAATCTCTCCGCATCGAGAGGAGGCGCCCTGGACTTCCGACGCCTGGACCGCTCGCCGTCGGCAGATCGCTCCGTGTGGTGATGATAGTGGTGAGGTGGGGGAGGGGCAGCCTGATCGGCATCCATCATGCCACCGAAGTAGAACTGTCGGGCAGCTCGATCGTCGACGGGCATGGACCGGCGCTTGGATCTGCCAGACTCCTGGGTGGGGTCATACATTTCTGCCTCTCGCTGCCTCCTGCGCTCGCGGCGCTGCGCAGCCCTAGCTTCGGCGGCCTCACGGGCCTCTTCCTCTTCTCTGGCACGCCGCTCCCGCTCTTCACGGGCAGCCCGGCGCGCTCTTCGCTCCTCCCGTCGTCGTTCGGCCTCCCTTTCCTCCTCCTCACGCAGCTGCCGCTCCTGCGTCTCGCGTTCCCGTGCCATTTCTCTTTCTTTGCGCCGAGCGCGCCTCTCTTCGGCCTCCCGCCATTCGCTCTCGCGAAGCTGATCAGATGCGGCTTGCCGCGCGGCTCGTCGGGCTCGGCGTGCCGCCCTCCTTGCTTCCGCTTCTTCTGCATCCGTTTCGGGGAATGCCTCTACCGGTGGAGCATCGGTGAGGAAGCCCTCACCGTCCATATCCGGCATATCATGTCGTCTTCGTCTGCTCTCATGTCTCATGCGACGAGACTCGCCGCGTTCTGGTTCGGTCATATACCTGGCATCTTCATCCCCGTAAGAGCGAGACTTATGACGCTCTGGCAGCTCGGGGCGGGCCGTTCTCCGCAGAGATCCGATCAGCCCCTTGAGACCACCCGGACCGGGCTCCGGCTTTCTTGGAGCCGTGTTTGAGCGTCTGAGACGTCGTTCTCGCGGAGGCTCCACAAATGCAATATCATCCGGCCCAGATAAGACTTCTGGATCCTCTTGCTGCAGCTCGTCGAGCATGGCCCTGTCATCCAACTCGTCATGTCGAGACCGCGACTGCGTAGGACCGAATCAGTTAGCCGAAGCCCATGGTCCACCAATTCTAGGTTTCTTACCTTGTGTCGGGAACGTCTGTCGGAATGCCGCGATCCTCTTGAACCACTCTCTCGGGGTGCAAAAGCATCGAGATCATCTCTGTCCACCATGACGATATCATCCTCGTCAATAGCATACGGATCAGGCACAGCTACAGGGCCATGATTAGCAAAAGCAGCAGCGAGAAGCCATTGGAAGGCATAAATACCTGATCGCCTGCGAGATGCATGAGGTCTCTCTCGTCCTGAAGAACCGTTCGTACCCATCGTTCTGGCGGCTTTATCCGGCATGTCTCGGTGGTTGTCTGGTGGTGGCGTGGGCAATTTAGTATCCTTTACATCATCGTTCATCTCTACGGAGGGGCGTCTTGATATCGGCCTTGGAGCTTGGGCTCCAGACTTCTTCGTGGACTTCTTCCGAGACGGAGGGGGCATCCCCAGGATAAAGTGGGAGAATGTCATACCTCGGCTATGTCGAGCTTCTCTGCGTCGATCTCGGTCAGAAGTAGATGACTTTTCGACCTCGTTCTCACCTTCCCGGGTTTTAGGGTGTCTAGTTGACCTTGTCCGCACCATCAGCGGCGGTGAATGCTCTCCCCGATGCCTAGACTCTTTCTGAGGCGTTTTCTTAGAAGGGGCGCCAGCCCAGAATCCCCACGAAGCAGAGCCGGGTGTGCGCTCCACACGGGTGCGCTCCTTTCTGGGCATCTTGTCAGGTTGGCTTTCGATAGGCTCCGGAGGGGGCGTTGGAGGTCCACCGTGACCTACATCAACCGGCGGAGGATCTGCCGGAAGTGCAGCCTGTTCTAGGCTGGATACCTTCTTGCTCTTCTTCTTTGGCTTCTCAAGTTCTGGAGCAGGCGCCTCATCGAGCTCCGGTATAATGTCGCGTTCTTGTTGAATATCAGCCACTGGTCCGGGCTCTTCCAGAATGGGGATAGGGGCGTCTTCCACGACTGGAGCAAGGACAGGCTCCGGCTCTAGCTCAATGACCTTCTTCTTCTTTTTCTTCTTCTCAGCTTTGGAAACGGGCACCGGAACAGGCTCAGGCTCGGGTTCAGGCTCTATTACGGGCTCTGGCTCCGGTAATGGGGCTGGGGCGGGTTCAGGTTCAGGTTCAGGCTCTGCCACTGGCTCCGGAATGGGCACAGGAACAGGAACAGGCTCAGGCTCGATTTCGATCACCTTTGCCTTCTTCTTCTCTTTCTTCTTGGCCTTCTTTGACAATACCACTGGCTCTGGTACTGGTTCCGGTTCCAGCCGTACAGGTTCAGGGATAGGCTCTGGTGCAGGTTCAGGCTCAGGTTCAGGCTCAAGCTTCTGAACGGGGGGTTCCGGAACAGGAGGTGGGGGAATGTCGTCGTACTCGTCGTCAAACGCGTCGGGAAAACTTCCAGGGACCAGATCACGCGAAGACTTCCTCGGTCGATATGGCTCAGGCTCAATATCAACAATGGGCTCTTCCTGGGGAAGCTCAACAACTTCCTCTGGTGGAGGCAGCACGACTTCCTTTGCCTTAATCTTCCCTGCTTTCTCTCTCAATTTATCCTTCCTCGCTTGCTCAAGAGACTTGATGCGCTCAGCGACGGACAGCTTGGTTGATGACTTGGTCTTGGAGGTGACAACAGGAGTCTTTGTTGGCGGGGCGGCTTGTTCCTCGACGACTGGTGGCATTGGCGCTTCGGGCGCTTCGGGCGCTTCTGGCATCTGGGGTGCATCGCCAATGTCGATTAGTAAGTCATCGTCAGCAGGCTTGCTCTCCAGTTCAGGCTCCGGCTCCGGCTCCTGCATAATCTCTATGGGCTTGGCTTTCTCAGCTGACTTCCTTTTCGTCGCCTTCGGTTTACCCATTGTTGCTGCTCCAAGAGTAGCCCAGAACCCCATCGAAGCCTTTGGTGTCTCCTCTACCCCAAATCCCTTGCTAGTACTCTTGGGAGGCTTAACATCATATTCATCCCAGAGAGGCTCCTCGGGCACGTGCTCTGTAGGCACATATCCTTCTGGCTCATGTGTGAATCCTAGAGAAGGTGGAGTTGGTGCGGGGGGAGGTGGCTCCACTGCAATCTTGCTACCCTTCTTCTTTTTCTTGTCTTTCCCAGTACTCCAGATACCCCAGCTCGCTTCGTCATAAACTTGTTCGGCTTGTATGGGTGCAGGCGCAGGTTCATCGATGGTCTCTGGTACAGGTTCGGGTAGCGGCTCGGGCTCGGGTTCCACAACAGGTTCGGGTTCAGGTTCAGGTTCTGGCTCGGGTTCATGAACAGGCTCAGGCGCGGGCTCAGGAGCCGTTTCTGGCTCCGGGGCAGGTTCCTCATGATTAGCAGGTGGAGGTGGTGGCCATTCAAAATCCTTGCCAGGAATTGGAAGCCCTTTCTTGACTAACTGCTTCTCTCTCTTTTTCCGATCCTTGGAGTTCAAATTCTCCCAGTTGTCGTACAGAGGGTTGTCTGGAATAGCTGGAGTTTCTGGTTCGGGCTCGGGTTCGGGTTCAGCAACTGGCTCTGGTTCTGGCTCGGGGACTGGCTCAGGTACTGGCTCAATCTCAGGTTCAGGGTCTGGTTGTACAGGCTCAGGTACGGGCTCAGGTTCAGGTTCTTGCACTGGCTCGGGCTCAGGTTCCGGCTCGGGCTCGGGCTCAGGCTCAGCGGGTTGAGGAGGAGGCCATTCAAAATCTTTGCCCGGAATTGGGAGACCTTTCTTGATCAACTGCTTCTCTCTTTTCTTCCGATCCTTGGAATTCAAGTTTTCCCAGTTATTGTAGAGAGGATTATCCGGTATGGCTGGAGGCGCGGGCTCAGGCTCGGGCTCGGGTTCGAGTACTGGCTCTGGTTCAGGCTTAGGCTCAGGCTCAGCCACTGGTTCAGGTTCAGGTTCAGGTGCCGGCGCTGGTGCTGGCTCTGGCTCTGTCTCGGGTTCGGCAGCCTTGCCCTTCTTCTTTTTCTTGTCCTTCTTTGACAAGCCCCAGGCGCCCCAATCATCCTCTTCTTCTTTCTTGTCTTCGACAGGCTCAGGTTCGGGCTCAGCCGGCGGCTCTGGAGCTGGTTCCTCGACAACTGCCTCCACGACGGGCTCTTCGAAGATGCCATTTTTCTTGGCCTTCTTATCCTTCTTCTTGGAGGTAGAAGTCCAAGCATTCCAGTCGTCCTCAGGGGGAGCAGTCTCAGCCGCTGCCGGTGGTTCAGGCGCAGGAGACTCCGCAGGTACAGTTTCTTCAAGCAGAGCATCTTTCTTCTTTTTCTTTTTGTCCTTCTTCGAGAGTTGTGCTCCCCAGCCCCAGTCGTCGTCGTCGTCGGCTATCTCTGGAAGTTTCTCTGGCTGCGCCTGCGGCTCGGGTTCTGGCGTAGCTTCTGGCTCCTGAACAGGCTCGGATTCAAGGTCTTTGGGAAGGTCTTCCTCCGCGTCTTTCTTCTTTTTCTTCTTGTCCTTCTTGCCCATGGTAAAACCACCCCACATGTCATCCTCGGGCTTGGTCTCTTTTTCGCCACTGATGGCATTATCGGTGCCAACAGGTTCGTCGATCCCTCCAAACCCGAATCCCACGCTTGTAGTCTTCGCAGCAAATGACCAAGGATTGTTGTCTGCTTTGCTTTTATCGGGTGTCGCACCGTTCGCGCCATTCAAAGTGTCCAAACCCCATTTGTTACCTGTGCCCCAACCTTTGTCCCAGCCACCGAAGCTGAAACCGACATCTCCGGTTGGAGGAGGCAGACCTAAATCCAACTGCGGCACGTTATCACCTAGGTTCACTTCCTGGAACCCATTCGTTGGAGGCGGGGGAGGCACCTCGGGCACAGCCTCGGGAACAGCCTCGGCGCCCTACAGATTCGGTCAGACTGGATGCCAAGGTTGTTTCCAAAATGGGAATAAATTTGCTCAACATACCTTGCCTTTCTTTTTCTTCTTCTTGCTGCTTGCAGTGGTAAAACCAGCCCAGCTGTCATCATTTGCACCGTCGGCATCGTCCGCCCAGCTGAGGTTGTTGGCGGCTGCAGCTTCTTCGGCTGCTTTCTTCTCCTCCTCCTCTTTTGCCCTTTTCTCCTCCTCTTCCTTGGCCAGTCTCTCCTCCTCCTCCTCCTTAGCTAGTCGTTCCTCTTCTTCCTTGGCCGCTTTTTCCTCCTCCTCTTTCTTCAGTCGCTCTTCTTCCTCCTGCTTCTTCTTCTTTTTCTTGCTCTTTGTGGTGGTCGTAGCCCACGCGTCCCAGTCATTGTCGTCTTCGTTGTTCCCGCCATCTCCACCGTCTCCACCGTCGCCGCCGTCGCCACCTCCGCCGTTGCCGTCGTCCCCTCCATTGCTTCCGTCACCAGCATCACCGCCCCCGTCGTTGCCATTATTATCGCCGTTCTGGTCGTCACCCCCCTGATCCTGCTTGTCTCCACCCTCATCCGGCGATGCGCTTTTCTTACGTTGTGGCTGTGGCGGGTTCTTTTTCTTCTTCTTTGCGTGTTCTCGAACACCCTGAATCTTGTCGAAGTCGATAATTCGAGACGAGGACTTATCCTTATTCGAGCTCGACGCGATTTGCGCCGGTGCCGAGTCATCGGACAGGTCTTTCCGATGGGCGAACGGAGCTAGAGTGGAGTAGTCCGGAGGGAGATCGGTTACAGCTTCGTCGTATGAAGGTGGGGGGTCCTCGTAACATCCATTATTGGGCACCTGGAGATCGACTTCATCAAGTGCTGTGCTCTCCAACACGTAGAAAGACTTCTCGGCCAACTCTGATCGACTCTTCTAGTATGACATTCCTAGTTAGCCTTTTTGCGCTGAATGTTGACAGTGTATCTGACGGGATAATCAGATAGCTCAAGCCAAGAGGGTTTGGTCATACCTTGCCATCGCTCGTCGCAATGGCTCTATTGCACCTGACGGGTGCAGCCATCTCTCGTACCACCGAGGCGACAGACGCCGCGTTCTGATCATGATGATCTCCGCATGGTCTCACGCAGCTCTTCTTCTCTGCCCGGCATGTCGGCCAACACTCGATCTGAGTACGGGAATCACCCCATTTCGACTCTGCGAATTGGCCTTGGTCGAGCATGCGCACGGTCTCCATGCTGGTAAGAGAGAGATGTAGCGCATGAGTCTTGAAGGGCGATCGGCCTGCTCCTCTTGAAGAGGCAGTTATCTCTCGTCACCGCAGGCTGGAAACACGGAATCTATACCTAGTTTCCGCGTCGAGATCGGGTATCAGGATCAGGTGGCAGAATAATCCAGAAGATAGGGAGTGCGCGTAACAATGGACACCAAATGAAAGGGCTTAGAGAACCGAGAAAGCCTCCCCTTGATATTAGTTAACAAGCGGCCAGCGCAAGCGCAGCCACAGCACGCCCAAATTCAGAGGGCCAAAAACGTCACGCTGACGGAGAATTGCAGCCGAAGAGAAGGGGGTGTAGTGGGCCTGCAAGCCTAAGAGAATACAAAAGACAAAAAGACAAGCGAACACGAAAAAGGTATATGTTGGAATATGCGAGGAGAGCGCTCGAGAATGATGACGGCAAAGGTTCAGTAGAAAGGGAGAGTAGGGATGCGGAGGCAGGCCATCGAGTCGATGGACCACAAGGCGGTGGACTGGAAGAAACCAAAGAAGAAAGAGAGCGCAATTCTGCTCAATCAAGATCTGGATCCTTCGCCAGACAGTGATTGGGGATTGGCGGGGATGCGATGCGAAAGCTAGCTCTGGAATGTAAGCTAGTACCGGGGGCTTTTACGACAGGGACGTCAGCCAGCAATCGTGGGTAGGAAAGGGAGGAACTCGGGGAGATGATGGTGGAGTGAAAAGAATCACTGCGTGCAAATCGGAGATTTCGAAGGTCTTACATTTCTGTCCGTCTATGCGATTGACAAGAGTGATTTGCGCCGACCCAAAAGAGGAACAAAGGGAAAAACAAAAAAAATGAAGGGAAAAAAAAGTATTTGAGACCGCGGTGAATTCCCGGAGGCCCAAGACGGAGGAGCGTATAGTAGAGTTGATAGGATGGCGGTGGCTGGGGATGGGACGGCACCGACCACCAGGCTAGCTCAGACTAGAGAAGGGGGGGGGGGGAAAGGGAAATAACAACGCGTGCGAGAGAAAAGGAAACAATCAGAGTCGTCACCGCCGATCGGACCTGGTCTAGTAGTGCATCAGCAACAATCAAATTACGAGGGTCGAAGGGAGCGAGAAGCAAATAAGAAAGATTGCCAGTGGTGAGAAAGAGAGATCGAGCCCAAGTCACGCAGGCACAAGCCAGTCACACTCCGAGGGGGCGGTGGGCAAATGCGCCTATCGATAACGAGGCCACCCCTCCTTTTGGCCTTTGGGATGGGGGGATCGGAGGAGGGGGAGGGGGAGTGGGAGAGGTAGACACTTACTACTTCTAGTCAAGGTACTAAGATAGTATAAGTACCGTCCGTAGTGACTTACTCCGGAGTACTCACTTCTTGTCAATGTTGCTGCTGCTGCTGCTGATGAAGATGTCTCTGCTTCCAGACTCACTTATAACAGGAAAGATTTCCCCTGGATAGAATTGACTCATGCACATCGGAACACCAGAGATGCCTTACATTACCGATAGCGGAGCAAGAGGGGAAAGATGGAATGTATTCGTTGTCAACCCCAAGTGGGGACGAAGTGATGGAAATAGTATACAGACTGTCAACACTCAACCTAAAAAGAACACCCGTTCCTTGGTTCGACCTGCGGGCCTGTAGTCAAGTCAATTCAGTACACAGTAAAACATAGATCAATGTGCAGTACTATACATTGTACTGAATGTACAGCACCATGATGTTCAATATGCAATGGCTCATTCTTGAGGCAAAGCAGCAGGAATCCACATCTACTGTCGACCTTTCGTCCTACATAGTACGACCGACCCATCAACCCCACGTGCCTCAGACACATCTTCTCAACACCACCGCAGCAGTGGTTCAACTCAACATGAACCACCAGATTAAAACTGCAGGGCTTTTCATCATCCAACATCCTGCAATGCAACCATCAGGCAGCCAAAACTCAAGAACGAAAAAATCTGCCCACCAATGCCCTAGGTATACATTATTCAGCGAGGAAAACTCGGGTTGCGTTGAAAAAACCAAAAGGGAAGCAGTTCTTCACCGCATCGAAGGCGAAGAATAGGCCCGAGCCTATCAAACGCGTGGACCACTCTGAGAACCCAACGGGCCTCCGCTTGACTTTGCTTTTTCGGTGTTAGTTGATGCTATTGCCTTTGACTCTTCAGATGTGGTTTTCGTCCGACTACTGTAGGTGTATCCCAAAAGTGTTTAGCATTGACAGCTGTTCTTGTCGATACCCGCTAGAGGTCCTTGATCAGGAAGTAGATTGTCTTGTGGAGGATATTTAGTAAACAACCACCACTTTTAGCTCTAAGTAAACTACTGAAGTAAACTACCGGCTCTTCCGATATCCCGCCCAGCGTCGAAGTCAGATGCAAGCCCCATCCATCCCTCGGTGCCACCACTCCAGTTGGCAACACCGCAGGGTGTCTGTGTCCCTCTTTTCTTCGTGTCCGGCGTCTACCTCAGAATGTCTCACTCGCGTTCTTCAGACGGTGATACAAGCACTGTGCGACTGCGGTTGAACTAGTCAATTGGTCTGCATGGTAGAAAAAGAAAACAAGGAGAAGGAAGAGTCATGAGGAGCGTTTGCCCGAAAGCTAATACCTTCGAATCTACCGCCGCAGCCACCGCAAAACCATCATCCCATTGTTGTCGCTTTCTTAAGTTCAGCCTTATTGTAGCTTGTTATCTTGGAATCAGGAGCTTTCAGAGCTTTCCCCGCGCATAGAGGGCTTGAAGATTTTCCATCGTATTGAGCTCCTGGGTGAAGATCACAAGTTATTTGTCGGCTATACCATACTTAAGATGCGTTCCCATGCATAGAATCAACGAGCGAGCGGGCTGCAAGGCCATCCGCCATTGCACCGTGAAGAAGCATCAATATACCTCCTGATAACTCTCTCATGGCTCTTGCACTTCGAGAATGGTTCTCGAAACGTGCAGCAGTACACCCTGAAAGGTCCATCGGAGACCCTCCAAGACCATGTAGACAAAACCCTCAGAATGCAGCCTGCCTCAACAACCCCTCAAAGCTATGCTTGTCCCTCAACTACCGCTCTCACCAATTGCTACCAAAGAGAGCAGTCTACATCCCAAGATAGATATTGGAAGTAAAACCTTCCCCCAACCGCCAAGCCAGCAGCCCCGATCCCAAACCACAAGTAGATAGAAAAGAATTTCCCGCCACGCCATTTCCGCTGATCGACGGTACGGATCTCGCGGGCCAGAGCAAAAAGAAGATCCCAAGAGCATCATGCAGGACATATAGCTCAGGGCTTCCGTCCATACAGTCCTCTCGAGGAAAATTCTCTTCGACTGGGGGTGCGTGCGAGCGTGCGTGCGGCTTCTGTAATGTCTCCTGGCAGCTGCAGGAGCGGGCCTAGACCAACCACTCAGTCCCGGTGAGTCACTGCCCTTTCTTGCGTGTTGCTGGCTACTACCTGGCTGGTACATGAGATCCGATCCGGTTGTGTACTGTACCTTGATGTAGATCTTTCCGATTTGTTCATGCCCAAAATTCATCTCAGCGCATCTGGATCTACCAGTGTGGACTGCACGTGCTGGCGGGGATTAGGTTAACATAAGAAGAGCTGCTGCTGCTGCTGTGAGTCATGGCGGGAATAGCTATGCGGAAAGTCGATCTACCGGAGCCTTCTTCTGTAAGGCTCGAAAGAAGAATCTCGTCATCACGTCCACGGTAGAATGTGATGAAGAGGATGTTCTGGAGATCCGTTGCGTGGCCTTGGGGTATCAGGGCTTGACTGAAATAGCCCGAGATTGATTGGATGAAACGAGTTTAAGCGCAGCTGAGAGACGAACCTCACCCGAAATCACTCAGCTTGTTTGCTTTGGTATCTCTTTGATAGAATACAAATGTTAACTTACCCGCCCCGATTGAACTTGGAAAAACATAAGACATGACAGCTGCGGAACCGATACTAGAAGGCAACACAGAATGGAGAAAAGCCAACTGGTTGTTTACAGAATACCCCCGGATCCTCCGAGCCTGATAACCCATTACAAATCCCCGTATCAAAACAAGTCGCATTTCGTTGCTCCACAGAATGATCAAGGTAGGTTTCCACTGCCATGGTGTAAATATGCTCGTATCATGGACTCCTGGTCCCGACCCTTACTCGCGTTGCGCCTTGGGAAGTTTCGGAGGCTCGTCGCCATAGACCTCCCTATACTCGCGAAGGTAACGCTCTTTGTCCTCTTGGTAAGCCTGGTCGTATGCCTATTGTCTGGTGTTAGTGCTTTCCAACGCGGCCACGGCTACGATCTGATCTTGAACATTACCTTTCTCTCCTCCGGCGCTAGTGCCTTCCACTCGGCACTGAGACGTGGGCTCCGCTCAGACATGGGAAGACTGGCGATGTGAGGATCTTCGTGGATTCGAGTCTTGGTGAAGTGGGCATAAGGATGTAGAGGGCGGGCAACCAGGCGAGGGTCATCGATCAGGGCAAGTTTCGATTGCCGCTTGCCGGTAAGTTTGACAAGCTTGCGCCGGGCCTTGTTGGCATCCCGGATCTGAGCAGGAGTGAAGGTCTTGATCCAATCAGCCATGATTTTCTCGTTCAATTTCTTGTTCTCCTCCGCAATGCGTGCGTATTCCTGGTTTGAAGTCAACTCGTTAGCATCGATCTTCCATATATAGCAAGAAGCTTAGCAGTACCTCCGACTGCTCAGATCTCAGGCTCGAAATGCGCTCTTGGAGTTCGTTGATCATATATATGCCCTTCATATGTAAATTCTCCTTGGAGATCTGTTTCCCGGCTTCAGCGCGAGCCACAGCATAGACCGTCGTGGGATGCAGCTGAGGCGGAGTGAGACATAGGGCCTTGCATTCCTTGATCTGCTTCTTCTTCTCGCGCAGAGTCAGCTTCTCTTCCTGCTCGGGGGTCAGAGGCTTCTTCTCCCGCGGCTTCCGCTCCTTCTTCGTGGCCTTCTTCGTGACTCTCGTCTTTCCCGTCTGCGCCTTCGTCTTCTTCACCTTGGCAGTCCCCTTGGACTCGGTTGCCTGCACCTTTCGGACCTTGGGAATCGATTTGGCTGCCTTGGGCTCTGAAGACTTGGCTTGAGCCGCAGTCGCGTAAGTGTTCGTCAAGCGTCGGGACAGAACGGGGGCGCGTGCCGCAATTGGACCAACGAAACGACCACGGGACAACATCGACAGACGTTGGACATGAGCGTGAGAGATCATTTGACGGACGGGGCGTGAGAAAGCATCGCTGATATTGAGATGCTGGAGGAACACGCCTCCCTGGCGAACGAGTTTCGCGGGCATGGTTTCGGAACTAACGCAGGAAGGGTCAACGTAAACATGGGAACATTGATCGGAGTGGAAGCTTGATATGGAATTCTGATAGGAGACCGACGAAGGGAGAGATACCTACCAAGCGAGTCGCGTGGATCAGTTCTCCTTCTGTATGAAGGTGAATCTGGTTCTGTTTTCTCCTTCGCAGGGGTACAGACCGGAGCTCAGTGACGGAACCGGAAGAGGTTGGGAAGGTCAGGTCACGGGTGGAAACTGCAAGGCACGCGTAGTGTAGCTGCCCGCCCGCCCATAGTTAAGATCCATACTTAGGTCATAATCCTATCGGGAAGAGCTATCACACGTGACTGCCAGTGGTCAGTCGGTCGCAGCCCGATTGCTACTAGTCACGTGATGGCCGACCCTGCTAACTGCGGCCCGTCCGAGTCTCCCAATTAATGCCGGGCCAAGAAATACAACCCAACGGAGATACAACATCTACCTCAGCCTTCTCCGACTGAGACTTGCCACCCCGCGCAACATCGGCATACTAATCATCCGGTATACTTGGAAAAGAACTGAATGGAAGGGTAAACATCCACTTCACTATCCTATCCATATCCAAGTGCTCGAGCTTTCTTGAGTCTCAGTAATACTCACTCATCGTTGGCCTGCAACAATGGCTCGCCACGGGGATACTCGCTCACCATCACCTGTAGGCAGCACATATTCCTCATCCAGACGGAGTCGCAGAGACGATGATCGCTATGAGAGGAGCAGGCGCGACGATGGCAGGAGTTACCGCCGCTCACGCAGTCCGGAGGTGAGTCCTTGTGCCCCAGTTCGTCTTATCTAATTTGAGACTTATGCCTAACCTGTTCACCGCCGACTCAGCGACGATATCGTGACCGTGAACGCGACCGCGACCGAGACTCCTACCGGAGGCGCGACCGCTCCATAGACAGACGTGACGACTACCGCGATGAAGACAGTTATCGCCCCAGCCGTCGGGATCGCTCTCGCGATCGGCGCCGATCCAGAGACCGCGACGACCAGCGGGATTACCGCCGAAGAAGCCGCGATAGGGACTATCGAAGCAGGCGAGAAGATTCCCGTGATCGGGCACGGAGACGGACAGATGATTCTGCTGACTTGAAGCACAAGTCTAGACGGGACGACAGCCGGGATCGGGCCAGACACTCGCGGTCCAGGTCTCGTGATGTAAGCTAGCCCGGTCCTTCACTATTGTATGAATCAAGGCTGACATGCTCATCGTAGGCATCGAAACCGTCGACTCCAGCAACACCCGCCGCCCAAACAGAAGACGAGAAAAGAGCGGAACGGCGCGCGAAACTGGAGGCATGGAAACAGAAACAGGCCGCCGAGAAGGAGCGCAAACAGCGGGAAGCTGCGGCGGCTGGTGGAGCTAGGAGCATTCTAGAGGAGATCGATAGAAAGTCTGGTCTATCGCCGGCTGTCGGTTCGCCTCAATCCCCGGCAACGCCAGCTGTTGAAGCGGCACCCGCTACGTATGCAGGAAAGTTTGATCCGAAGGCTATCGCGAAGAAGGGAACATCAACATCTTCGCCCGCACCGGCTGTGCTGGGCAATGATGTTGCTGTTCCACTCCCGTCAAAACCCTCCGCCACGACCTCTGGCAGTCCTGCTCCGGCCACGAGCAGCTCTTCATGTACGTTCCCGCCTCTTATCTATGCTTATCGGTTCACGACTAACCTGAGCGTTCTAGCCACTTTGAAGGCCAAGGGTAATGTAGGAAGATTTGGGCTAGGAACCAGGCAGGCTGGGGAGGCCGAGAAGTCCACTGCTACACGAACCTTGGGATTTGGAGAGGAGGAGTCAACGCGACGGAAGCTCGAGAGGCTACCCACCCCGCCTCTGGAGGATTCGAAAGATACCAACGGAACCACAGGTGGCGGGGCTGAAGACGAGGACGAGGATGATGTTGACATGCATGAGGGGGGCACCGAAGAAGAGAATGCGGCAGCTGCGCGGGCAGCGGCCGAACGACGAGAGGAGCGTTTGCAATTGGCTCAATCCACGGACACCTCGCAGGAAGCTAACGGTGATACTGTTATGGAAGACGCAGCTGACAACCAGGCTCCCGACAGCATGGAAGTTGACGCTCAGGAAGAAGAGGAGGAAGTCGATCCATTAGATGCTTTCATGTCCGAACTAGCCGAGACTGCTCCCCCGAAGAGAACGGGTGGCGCGAAGTTCTCGCGCGCCAAGGAACAACAGCCCGAGGCCATTTTCGGTGATGAGCACGATGTCGACGTGACGGCTGTTGGCGAAGGAGATGCCGATGACTTCCTTGCGATTGCCAACAAGGCAAAGAAGAAGAAGGACATCCCCGCGGTTGATCACCACAAAGTAGAATACGAGCCGTTCCGGAGAAAGTTCTACACCGAACCCTCTGATCTGGCGCAGATGAGTGAGGAGGAAGCCGCAAGCCTCCGGCTGGAACTCGACGGCATCAAAGTTCGTGGTGTGGATGTTCCGAAGCCAGTGCAGAAATGGTCTCAGTGTGGCTTAGGTGTGCAAACTTTGGATGTGATTGAAAAGCTTGGGTATGAGAAGACCACCTCCATCCAAGCGCAGGCCATTCCTGCGATCATGTCTGGCCGAGATGTCATCGGTGTGGCGAAGACGGGTTCGGGCAAAACGATTGCGTTCTTGATTCCCATGTTTCGGCACATCAGGGATCAACGGCCGTTGGAGAATATGGAAGGCCCTGTCGGTCTAATCATGACGCCTACCCGCGAGCTGGCAACACAGATTCACAAGGACTGCAAGCCATTCCTCAAAGCCCTCAACCTTCGGGCTGTCTGTGCGTATGGTGGAGCTCCCATCAAGGACCAGATTGCGGACCTCAAGCGTGGCGCTGAAATAATCGTCTGCACGCCCGGACGCATGATCGACCTTCTCGCAGCTAACGCTGGCCGAGTCACGAATTTGCGTAGGGTCACATACGTCGTTCTCGACGAGGCCGACCGTATGTTCGACATGGGATTCGAACCGCAAGTGATGAAGATCATGGCCAACATTCGACCTGATCGGCAAACTGTTCTGTTCTCCGCCACCTTCCCGCGGAACATGGAAGCGCTGGCTCGCAAGACTCTCACCAAACCGATCGAGATTGTGGTCGGCGGTAAGAGTGTTGTCGCACCCGAGATCACGCAGATTGTCGAGGTGCGCAACGACGACCAGAAGTTCGTACGCCTGCTGGAATTGCTTGGCAATCTGTACTCGAACGAAGAGAATGAGGATGCGCGGGCTCTCATCTTCGTCGATCGCCAAGAGGCCGCCGATACGCTCCTCCGCGAGCTCATGCGTAAGGGCTACCCATGCATGTCTATCCATGGCGGCAAGGACCAGATTGATCGTGACTCAACGATCGAAGATTTCAAGGCTGGTATCTTCCCGGTTCTGATTGCTACCTCGGTTGCGGCGCGCGGACTCGATGTCAAGCAGCTTAAGCTTGTGGTCAACTATGATGCGCCCAACCATCTCGAAGATTATGTTCACCGTGCTGGACGTACTGGACGGGCCGGAAACACGGGAACGGCTGTCACCTTCTTGACGGAGGACCAGGAACGGTACTCGGTCGACATTGCGAAAGCGCTCAAGCAGAGTGGCCAGAAGATCCCGGAACCGGTGCAAAAGATGGTCGACTCATTCTTGGAGAAAGTCAAAGCAGGCAAAGAGAAGGCTAGCGCATCCGGTTTTGGTGGTAAGGGTCTGGAACGACTGGATCAGGAGCGTGATGCTGCGCGTCTGCGTGAACGGCGCACGTACAAGACCGGCGAAGAAGGGGAGGAAGAAGAGGAGAAGGACGAGAAGAAGAACGAACAAGCCGAAGACCGGTTCAGCAAGGCCATCTCGTCCGTCCAGGCCACGGCGTCAGCGTCGACCAGTATGCCCGGGGTTCCCAAGGGCATTGATCTGGATGGCAAGATCACGGTGCACAAGACCGAGAAGGATCCCAACAGCACGTCGAAGAACCCACTGGACAAGGTGGGCTCGGCTGTTGCGGATATCCACGCGCGTCTGAGCCGTGCGGGCGTGATGAGATCCGGAGTGCCCATCGACAACCGTGGGCCGGATGCAGGCGCTTTCCATGCCACCTTGGAAATCAACGACTTTCCCCGTAAGTTCATCCTCCACCCAATCCCATCTACCAATACTGATCCATGCTGCAGAGAAAGCTCGCTGGGCTGTCACCAACCGCACGAACGTGGCGAAGATCCTCGAATCCACGGGCACGTCGATCACCACGAAGGGCAGCTTCTACGCGACGGGCAAAGAGCCTGGTCCTGGCGAGAACCCCAAGCTGTACATCCTGGTGGAGGGCGAGACCGAGCTGGCGGTCACGAACGCCATGCGCGAGTTGATGCGGTTGCTGAAGGAGGGCACGATCGCGGCGGCGGACAGCGACGCCCGGGCGCCGGTGGGTGGACGGTACAATGTCGTTTAGTGGCGAGAGGTTTCGGGAGTTTGTATTATAGATACGGTGACCATGCTTCTGGTCTGCATTGTAGTAAAAGTAGCCTGCTAGGGTATTCACCATTGCGCCATTCGTATACGGAATCCCATATATCACCCACACATATCAAGAGACAAATCCAAATCCAAACCAACACAAGAAAGTACTAAGCGTATCCCAACTCCACATCAATATCAACCCACAACCTCACCATCCACCGACACCCAGTATGTACACACCCCCAACCCTTACTACGTACTCAAATCTCACTGCCACCGCCTCGCCTCAGCCGCCCCGTCCGCATCCCGAGCCGCCACCTCCGCCCGACTCGCCTCATTTAAGGTCTGCGCCTGGGTCTGCGTCTTCTGGGCCGCCAACTTCGACCCCAGTTTCCCCTTGTTGGCCGACTGATTCGCCGACTCGGCGCGTCTCTATACCCCGCCAGACATGCGTCAGCCGGTTCCCTTTCATAGATCTCCGGGATATCGCGTGAAGCAGGGAATAGGGTAATGGGAATGGTAGTGGGGGAAAGGGAAACTCACCTGCGCCGCCAACGCAGCATTGGCCCTCGCGTCCGCGGTGCCCGGTGTTGATGAAGATGTCGTACCGCCGGTTCCAGCCCCGACTGTCCTCCCTCCCTTCCCGGATCCCCAGTTTGTGTGAGAGGTGGATTTGGGGAGCGGTGCGCGGGGGCCGGAGGGGGTTGCGGTTGAGGCTGGATCGGTATTGGCGGCGCCGAGGACGCGACCTGGTTGGGCGAAGGCGTCGGGCGAGTTGGAGGATTTCGAGCAGATGTTGCCCATTTTCTTTGGTGTGAACGTAGGTAAGAAGTGGAGGTAGAGATGGAGGTGTAGGGGTAGCGGCTATGGGGTCCGAGGTGTCGTGCGGGGGTGAGATGGGCGGGTGTTGTTTGCTTGCGCAAGTGTTTGCGGAGGAGGTGGAGGAGATTCGGTACGCTTCGAGCTGTGTGTGGACGGTATTGCTATAGGATTTGCAGTAGAACGGGGTAATTGCGGGGTGTTGCTGGATGGATGTGGCTGGTGTAGGGTAATACGTAGCAGGGTCCGTTCGATGGGGTCGGAATTGGAGATGCCTGGGATGCGGTGCAGGGCCCGTCGCCCGTAGCCGTAGCCGTAGCCCGTAGGCAGCCGCCGGCACGTGCGGGAGCCGCTAACTCAACGGTCGGAAGGAGCCTTACTTGGGTTAACTAAGGGGGTGGTTGCTGATGGCGCTGTCGTTGGTGGGTGTTGATAACGGTTGTATAGTAGGATATTTATTGGTTAGTGGTTAGTGGTTAGTGGTTAGTGGGCTAGCCAAAGTTAGGCCTTGTCTAGGATGTTTGTCTCTTCAGCTACATCTCTCCGGAGTATCACTTTTCAGTGTGGCCGGTGGACTGGATTAGAGAATAGTAACGCGGTATACTGTGGTTATTGTTGTCGAGATGCAATTGGGATTGAGGATGTTGTAGTAAACCTCAGGCATCCATCTCCAAGGCGGCAGGAATTCGGCGGGCAGAATTCGATCTCAGAGATTTCCCGCCCGGAGTCTGGACCGCCCTGCGAAGTCTCAGTGGATGAATGGACATCCTTTGCAGACTCGGACAAATCACTCTCCTGCTGCTTCTCATCATTCGAACGCAGGTGAATCAGACTATGAATTATTCGAAATAAATCCGTCGCATCAATCGTCTAATAAAACACCGAACGAGAACTCTGACAATCCCCGGGGCACGATTGGCTAACCGGCCAGACATGACGCCATCTCCCAAGGTCCTCGTTGCTCGACCCCTCGTCCACAAGGTCCTCATTTTTTTCCCCTCCGATTAGATCTGCTTCCCTCCCTGCCGTATTGCGACCGTATCGGTACCGAAAATACCTGCCCTATCCGCCCTACTCCCCCCCTACTCCCCCTACTCCCTACACTTAACTCCTCCCCGAAAGTTCCCTGAAGAATTGGTACTCAGTACTCCGTACCTCCGTACTCAGTACTCAGTACCCTTGAATATCCTGGACTCGATGAACTGCTAAATCCCACATCGGTTTCCTACATGCGCCCTCATGCTGGCCCCCAAGGTCCTCAGGCTCTTTTGCCCGCTCACTCCAGGCGGTCTGTCTTTTCTCTCCACGCCGCTTGGTGACTCTTGCCCATAGTCTCTGTCGCACTACAGGGTTTTGAAGCTACCGCTGGACGATCCATTGCAGATTCTGCTGTTCTAATTGGTATGTGACCTGTCGTGCCCGCTCGCGTGGTGGAGGGCGACGAGAACTGGGCTGACTTGCCACACCTGCAGTTGGCGACCGAACAAACCCAAATAGTCCTCAGAACAGACCATCAGTCTATTTCCCACAAGTCCCCGCTTCTATCGGTCGTCAGGGCGGAGGGTTCCGTAAGACCGTGACTTGACCGACTCCTTCTAAGGCATAGGTCGCTCTTCTTCCTTGCACGGAGTTACCATCCATGACCTTCCCTTCACACGACACCATGGCCTCGCACACGAAGAAAGACGATTTCTGTCTGGAGTGCCACTGGGAGGCATTCCATCTGGATGCAAAAGACCCGGAGGAGCCTACCGGGGCGGAGGCTCCAGGGCCTCAGTGGAATTGTTCCGAGGAAGAGCACCAAGCGCTCCCCCACTGTGAGGTCGGGGAGGACTGCCCCGTCGACGATGATTGCTGTGACATGGACAATTGCTCCGTCACCTGCCCGTCGGTCTGCGACGGGTTCGTCGACTGCGACGAGGCCGCCGTGTGCTCTGTATCACATTGCGACGACGCTCACTGCAATGACACCCATTGTGACAGCACGGACCCGGTGTGCTTCGACGAGCACTGCTTCGGCAGTGGCACCCACGCCGACGGCGAGCACAGCCTGGAGGCGTTATTAGCTTTGGGCTCGCCGCTGAACCTCGAGTCAAGCGACCTCCTGTCGCCGACCGCGCTGCCCCCGGTGCCGGGCGAGCAGCCCAAGAGCGTCGGGCTCCCTGTGGCCCCCGGGCTCGTGGGTTCCACAGATGCCTTCTTCGCTCCCTTCGTGCCTGTTCCGGTGTCACACTGTCACGCTCACAGCCACCAGCATTTTCAGTGCCACGACTTCTCCAAGGATGCGCACCACGCCTGGTATCCGATGCCTACCTCGGTCAACCCGGCGGATGTCTTCCACATGATGGGGGTGTGTCCGGACCTGACGGCCTGCCATCACCAGTATCATGTGCAGCAGGTGCCGGACTGCAGTGAGCATCCCAAGGCCGGGGACGATTCAGCTTCGAATTCATTTACCTGCTTCCACATCAACCCGAACCCGAACCATTCCCACGGCCACAGTCACATCCCCCACTTTCACACCCACCATGCGACCGAGACGGCCGAGATGACCGACCCAACCACCACCCAAGAACTGCCTATTCCCAATCCCACGACGCACCGCAAACCGTGCCGGACGCACGTTCACCGCTGCCGGACGCACAGCCACGCGCACCACCATTACTCCCCCTACTCCCCGTACTCCCGCCAGTCGCGGTCCAGCGTGAGCTCGCAGCTCAGTCCGGGGAACACGCCGCCTCCGCTGGACGGAGGCTCCTCGTCCGTGCTGACCAGCCCGGAGTACATCCCGGAGGAGGCCCACGTGTGTCGATGGACCACGACGGTGGACGGGGTCAAGAAGCCGTGCGGCGCCACCTTCTCGGACTCGTGCGGTCTGCAGGAGCATCTCATCGGCAGCCACATGGCCACCGTGGAGGGGGCCAAGGGGACGGGGTATTACTGTTGCTGGGAGGGGTGCCATCGGCCGGACGAGCCGTTTTCGCAGAAGTCGAAGCTGCAGGGGCACTTTTTGACGCACAGCAACTGTACGTTGGACTGTGTCTGCATAACCCATTGCTGACTTTGCTGACTTTGCTGACTTGGGGTAGACAAAAACTTCAAGTGTTCGGTCTGCGGCAAGTTCTTTGCGCGGCAGGCGACGTTGGAACGGCACGAGCGCAGCCACCGCGGGGAGAAGCCGTACAAATGCGCCGAGTGCGGCAAGTCGTTCACCGACAGCAGCGAACTGAGTATGTCGTCGGATGCCTCTTAGCCGATGAATGACTAACATGGGTGCATAGAAACGCATTCGCGGACTCATACTGGTGAGAAGCCGTTCAAATGCACGTATCCGGGGTGTAACTTCCAGACGGGCGATGTAAGTCATTCGATTATGAAACAAGGGGATAGAAACTGACGGAGTGCAGTCGTCCAACATGTCCAGTCACCGCTTGAGTACGTCCACCTTTTTTTCTGGGGGGAGGGGGCGAAGAAATATACTGACGGGTCCAGCACACGGGGAACGACGACATAAATGCCATTATCCGGGGTGTACGAAGAGCTTCACTCGACATGGTGGGTGGCCGATGCAGATGCAGCAGAATGATCGGGCTTGATTGAGAGACTGACGGGCGATAGATCAATTGAAACGACACCTTAAAAGCACCCACAAAGACAGCGGCAGCAGCACCAGCACCAGCATGACGATGCCCTCGCCCTCGCCATTGACAGATCAATTCGGCCTGTCGCTGGCCGAGGTGGCGTGACCTTCTCTCAACTTTTCCGGAAATTCCCAACATATTGATACGATATTGATACGATACCCCACAGTATATACATTGAAGGTTGAACTGAAGTTCAGGATGTATTCTAGCATGGATATAGGGATAATGTTCATGAAATCTACCACAATACCCCGAGCAACCAACCCATAGCATAAGTAGTATACACCGCTCCCGCCCCCCCCAAATCCTATACAAAATTTATTCCGCCCGCCCCCTCTCCTCTAAATTCTCAACAGCCCCCTTCAACTCCCTCAACCGCTGCGCAACCCTCCGCCTCACCTCCTGCCGCACCTCATCCTCAATCCCCTGCGGATTCAAGCCGGTGTCGATCTGCACCTCCTCCCCGTTTTCCGGGCCGAGCAGCTTCTCCACCCCCGACCGCCCCGCCGTGTCCAGCAGCGACACGTCCCGCGTGTACAGCGTGTACACCGCCAGCAGCTCGTTCAGCGCGTCGCGCGCCGCCTCCCGGTCCGAGGCCGCGTAGATCGTTGCTGCGTCGGTGCTTTCGGTGGCGATTTCGAATTCGTCTTTTGCTGTCTCATATCTTCGCTCATATTAGTAGGGGTCGAGGGGGTGGGGAGTGGGATTGGGCTGGGCTGGGTTGGGGACAACGTACAGATCCTGCAGCTCTTCCACGATGATGTCGCTGGTTGATTTGCCGGTTGTGTAGGGTCTACTTCCTTGGGAGATTGGCTGGAGGCGAGGGAGGAGGCGGACGGGGAGGGTGGGCATCTGGTTTCTCAGGGTATGGTTGAGTCTCAGGGGGATTGTTGCTGTTGCTGTTGACACATAACGGAGACGGAGGAAGGATGGGCGGGATTGAGGGAGGTGGTGGAGGGAGGAGGAGCGGTGGGGGAGCTTGGTGAGTGTACGGGTGGACATCGCTCCTTGTCTGTCTGCGCGGTGGTTTTAATTAGTATTTGATTGAATTGACTTGAATTGGATGGAGAGTCGGTGGATGAATTGAGTTCGGCGATTAGATTAAGCAACGTTGAGAAAGATTCCAGACGGAGGAATGATGATGACATGTGACATGTGACATGACATAACCTCCGGAGGAGCTCTCACGTGCCTGTCTTTATATCGTACCTGCAACGAAATACTCATACAACAACTCAGACCATACTGCGTAAATCAATTGACTCTATCATTCTAACTCAGCTCTTATTCTTCAGGTAGTGAAGCGCAACCCCCCATTCGCACACACCACACTCCCCGTACACCACCCCGCATCCTCGGAGCACAACATCCCCACCACGCCGGCAACCTCGGCCGTAAACCCGGGCCGCCGGCCGCCCATTTTCTCTTTAATGAGTTGCTTCTGCTCCTCCGTCAACTGGCCCAGCAGCGGATCGTCCTCGACCATCTTGCTCCCCGGCGTGTTATCCTGGAACCCCTGCATCTGCTGCCAGAACGCCTCGCCCGTGGCGAAGTACATATCCCCGATGACGGGGCCGGGGTTGACGGCATTGACCGTCGCGACATCGGCCAGCTCGCGCGCCCACGTGCGCGTCATCGCCTCTAGCGCCGCCTTGGTGCCGCCGTACACGCTCTGGCCTGTGAACCCCAGCGCCGACGAGATGGAGGAGATGTTGACGATGCGGCCGGCGCGGGGGGGAGTGCGCGGGAGGTAGGGGGCCACGGCTTGGGTGAGGAGGAGCGGGGCTAGGACGTTGATCGTGTAGTGCCAGTTGAAGTAGTCGGCGTCGATGGCGCCTTTGGTCGCGTCGTTGAGGAACCGGTCCTTGCTGACGCCGGCGTTGTTGATGAGGATGTCGATCGTCAGTTGCTGCTGCGTAGAAGAGGAGGAGGAGGAGGAGGAGGTGGAGAACTCGGCCTTGGCGACGCTGAGGATGCGCTCGATGGCCGGCGCCGGGTCGGACAGGTCGGCTTGCACGGGCACGCAGCGGATCGAGTGCTCGCGCGCCAGCTGGGCGCAGAGTGACTCGGTGCGCGCCCGTGACGAGTCTGAGGTGTAGTTGAGGAGGAGGGAGCAGCCTTTGCGCGCGAGGTTGTGCGCGATCGCTTCGCCGATGCCTGTTGCCAGGATTAGTTGGTTGCGTGTCTTGTAAGTAATTGATGTAGGTGCCTACCCCGCGATCCGCCGGTGATGATGGCGAGTTTGCCTGCGAGAATGCCAGACATTTTGGGTGCTGTCGTAATGTGTAACTGGAGGGAGGTGGAGGGGGAGAAAGTCAAGTCTGTGTCTGTCGGCAGCAATTGATATACTAGTACTTCCCCGCCGATGGCACTCGACTAACTGATCGCGGTCAATTTGTTTTGTCCACGGCTATGAGATGTACCTCCGGATAATTATTGTTGATCAGCTGGATGCTTGAGATCTCCACTTGCGGTGCGACTCGCTGAGTACTAAGTATACACCGGGAAATTCCCCTATCGGGCACACTCCGGCGGCACGTCTCCATCCTCCATCCATACATCAGTTTACACCTCGACACATACAACAAATCCACTCAACAACAACAACAACAACAAACCTATCCACCAGAGTACAAAGTGAGCTCAACCCAATTTAACCCCCTTAAACCTTCTCGCATTCTCCTCAATCGCCCTCTCCACCGGCAACCGCTCCATACTACTCGCTCCAAAGAACCCATGCACGCCTTTCACCCTAGACAAAACATACTGCGCATCCTCCGGGCTGGCCACCGGCCCCCCATGGCATAGCACAATGACCTCCTCATTGATTTTCACGACGGCATCCCTCACCTCCTGAATCACGTGAATACTCTCATCCAACGATAAACTCGTCTGCGCCCCGATCGTCCCGGAAGTCGTCAATCCAAGATGCACGACGATCACGTCCGCGCCCGCGCGCGCCATGCGCTCGCCCTCGTCCACGGTAAACACGTACGGCGTCGTCACCAGGTCCAGCTCGTGCGCCAGCCGGATCATCTCGACCTCGCGCTCGTACCCCATCCCCGTTTCCTCGAGGTTGGCCCGGAACTTGCCGTCGATCAGCCCGACCGTCGGGAAGTTCTGGACCCCGACGAAGCCCAGCGAGCGCAGGTGCTGCAGGAAGGGCCGCATGTCGCGGAAGGGGTCGGTGCCGCACACCCCGGCGAGGACGGGGGTGTTTTTCACGATGGGGAGGACTTCGGAGGCCTTTGAGGTCGGGTTACTTTTCTGGTGGGCAAGGGAGGGTTAGGCAGGCGGGCGGGCGACCTACCATGTCAACCACCACCGCGTTGGCATCGGAGTAGGGCATCATGCCCGCCAGAGAGCCCCGGCCGGCCATGCGGAAGCGGCCGGAGTTGTAGACCAGGATGAGGTCGGCGCCGCCTTTTTCGATAAATTTGGCGGAGAGCCCGATTCCTGTTTGACGGGGGATTAGTTGCTGTTTGAATGCAGAGTGCTAATGGGGCGTACCAGCTCCGGCTCCGACGATGATGGAGCCATCGGCGATGGTCTTGCGCAAACGCGCGAGCACTTCTTGTCGGTTTGTTGGGCGCATTTTCGTTGGATTTGAGTAAAATTGGGTTGCAGACAAACGAGGTTTGAAAGAGATTGGGAGGGGTAGAGCGAGAATAAAAGAGAAGAGGAGGGGAGAGGAGGGGCAAACAACATCATCGTGCATGTACTCCTCTTCATACATCGTTCCTCAACCCCCACCTCAGCCCTCATCGATTACCTTATTTAATCAAACACAACCACCACCACCATTTGTATAATGATCATGCGCTCATGATCCTACCAACTAGCACAATCCCATAATCACAGCCAGCAAAATGACAGACCACCCTACCATCCTCCTAATCGGCACCTGCGATACCAAATGGGCGGAACTGCAACACACGCGCCAGCAACTGCTCTCATCCCCCGTCCACCCCAGCCCATCCGTTATACTCCTCGACATCGGGCGTGAGCCTTCTCATCATGACGAAATCACCATCCCCCACCCCTCCCTCCCCTCCCAGTTCGACATCGACATCAACAACGACGACCATGAACCCAAAGACTGGGCCTCGCTCCCACGCCAATCCTACCTCGAAGCCGCCACCGCGCGCACCCGGCGCACCATCGCCCACCTACGCACCCTCAACCAGCTGCATGGCATCCTCGCCCTCGGCGGCAGCTGCGGCACCACCGTCGCGACAGCGGCAATGCGCGCCGCCTGCCCCATCGGGTTCCCGAAGGTGATGGTCTCCACCATGGCCAGCGGGGACATCGGGCCCTACGTCGAGGAAACCGACCTGACCATGATGTACAGCGTCGTCGACATCGCCGGCACCAATTCCATTTTGACTAGAATCCTGGATAACGCCGCAGCAGCCGCCGCCGCGATGGCCGCCGTGCAGTTCCGGCGCGAGCAGCAGCAGCAGCAGCACCCCCAAGACGACCCAACCGCCGCCCCCAAACGCATCGGAATCACCATGTTCGGCGTGACCACCCCCTGCGTCACTGAGATCCAGACCCTGCTAGCTGCCTCCCCCACCGCCGCGGAAGTCTTCATCTTCCACGCCACGGGCGCCGGCGGGAAAGCCATGGAGCGGTTGATCCGGGAAGGCCGGCTGGATGCCGTGATCGATCTGACCACTTCCGAGGTGGTCGACGAGCTGGTCGGCGGGGTGCTCTCCGCTGGTCCGGAGCGGTTGGATGCCGCGGCGGCGATGGGGATCCCGCAGGTGGTCAGTGTGGGCGCCTGCGATATGGTGAATTATGGCCCGCCGGGGACGGTGCCGGAGCGGTTTAGGGGAAGGCGGATCTGGGAGCATAATCCTACTGTCACGTTGGTGAGGACATCCCCTGAAGAAAATCAGGAGGTGGGGGGGTTTCTGGTGGGGAAGTTGAGGAGGGCCAAGGTGCCGGAGAAGGTGGTTGTCGTGCTGCCGACACGGGGGTTGAGTATGTTGGATGTGGAGGGGGGGGTGTATTGGGATCCGGAGGCGGATGGGGTGCTGTTTCGGACGGTGGAGGAGGGGTTGAAGGGGTCTGGGGTGGAGGTGGTCAGGAGGGAGGAGGAGGTCAATGATCCGGCGTTTGCGAGGGGGCTGGTGGAGGCGTTGGGGAGGGTGATGGGTTGTCAGTTGGTTTGATCTTGTATTTGGGGAGTATTTTCGGCGGTTTGTCGTTTTGTATGTAAGCAGCAGGCCATGGTCGTGTTGGTGTGGTTTGCTGGAGGTGCAAATGACAGCTTTAGTGCTATGGGCATGGGCATGTCGACGATCCAGCTGGTGGGCAATATATCCGTGGGTAGTATGATATTCATGATCGACTATTCCAATTCGCATGGTAGGTAGCATAAGCAAATATCGTTGACTCATTCTGGCTAGAAGAAGTATGCCAGTATCTTTTCTCTCCAAGCCACTGAATGACTACCGAACACAATTCCTGTGGAATTCATTCCCAGCCACTTTCCTTCGCTCTAAGCCAAACCTGGTGTCATGTCCACAACTTGCTGATTGCGCGAGGGCACGAGTCTTTGTGCTGTTCTGAGTACATAAGCCCCCACAATCACATCCACAACAGTCTCAATATTGACGATCCATAGCCCGGAGCCCGGAGCAAAGGCGTATCTTACCTCCCATCAAGGCCCGGCCTTCAAAAGCCCCAGAATATCAAGGTATGGTGAGCCATCGGACCAGTGTAAACCACGACCTCCCCACGAGTGTCGGCCATCTCCTCAAAGAACCGGCACCCTCCCGTGGCACCTTGAAAGAAGAATGGACCTCGGCACTCGCACGCTTCCACTGTCTGGACTCGCGATGACCCGTCTGCTGAACTGCAATCCATCGCTGCAGTGGGTGCCAGGGGTTCTCCGCCAACACCCCTCGCATATCCCCGAAGCAAGCAAATACCCCACAGGGGCAGCAGGCATAGTATGGGTGCAGAATATGCCCAATTTTGTTTCCGGCTTTGCATTCAGCCCATCCCATTTGGTCTGTCGGCCACAATGGAGACAGCGAGGTGGCAGTTGGATGGCCCAATGGTCGGCTCGAGGATCGGCGAATACCAATGCTTGGTGGTTCATCATGAGAGAAAGAACGGTTTGTGTGGGTGTGTGTGTGTGTGTGTGTGTGTGTGTGCTTTTCGAAACTGAAAGTGGTCGCCCAGCTGCTTCTGTCGTATAGGACAGAGTTAAGATCTGCGAGGTTGGAAGTAGGGCTCAGGATAACTTGAATCTCAGAGAATAACTGTCGGTGACATCCGAAAGGCGGAGGTGTTCTTTATCATCTGCATCGTCCTAGCTCACCTTATTGTCACTGATTATAACGAAGGATCCTATTGACCTTTTTAAACTTTGGTTCTGGGAATCAAGCCCATGATATACGTAGACGTCTCCTACCTTAAAATTCCTGTTCGCGTGCACCTGCAGTAGAAGAGCTCAACACATTCAAGAAGCTGTGGTTTTCATCTATCCTGTCAAACAGAGCCACACGGGGAGTATATCATGATTCGATCGGCCACGGCCATGAGCTCGCATGCATGTATGTTGCCTTTCTATCTGATATAACATGGGTGTTGTTTTATGTACGGGATTTTCCTTTCTGGGTACCGGCAGCGGCGTAATAAGTTTATATGGTTGAAGGTTTCGCCAACTACATAATTAAGGTGTTTCTTCCGCGTATTTTATTGATGCTTTTCAACTCGGGTAATCTAGATATAGCTTTCGTCTGTTCGGACCCCTCAACATCTACCGGCTGCCAACTATGTTCCCGTCGACGCCTCCTGGTACCAAACCATGTATATCTCACCTAAGATCGTGAGTGCCCCGCCCGCCATCGCCATCGATGCATTGTGAGCCAAGGATTCGATACAGTACAGCGTTGAAAGCACTTTAACAGGGACGAAGGCTCTAAGAACGACGTCAGCAGGCTCTATTGGCGTCGGATAAACCCTTCTCTACGGCGTATATTACTACAGTACGCAGCACAGAAAGACACGAAGAAGTCTTGCATCAACTAACAATTGGACAGTTGCTCTAAAGTTTTAGACCGGCCAAAAGCACACGGTCTAGAAATAGGCGTCGAGACAATCCGTTCTTGATACTCGTAGGTGCGTTTGCTGGACGCAGAAGAGAAGGAAATCTCGCCGCTCAGCGTGGCGGGGGTGGATCTACCGCGGGCTAGTCACTATGAGTGGGTGGCATTTGACGGTGGTGAACCAGGTGGCTGGGCCGGCTTGAGTGGGAGAATCTCTAGGTCTAGTACTCATATGAATAGATCCTGAGTCGGGGCCATATTTTCCTAAACACGAAGATAAATAGCCTTTTTGGGGAATATACTAAGTCGGGGGTGGGGCAGGTGGCAGCGACTACGGCATCCAGGCGGCTCGAAGCGCGAGACTATGCTCGGGCTGGAAGGAGTCTTACTAGGATATATATATATAGAGCTTGGTAGGTTAAGCATCATTCGCCTGATGCGGAAGATAGAGGAGAAGCTAGGGTGGTGGATTGAACCAAGTACTCATAGGGTTGCCTGGTTTTTGTTCAAAAGAAAAAGAAAGAAGGAAAGAAAGAAAATGGTGGAAGTGATAATAGACTCTGTGAATTGACATCAAACACGTAGACGTAACTCAGATGCCTTTTTATGCCTCGGGCACAAACGGCTTAGTCAGAGTACTGCTCAGCCAGCGCTTGCTCTAGCATCGGACTTATGCTGTGCTAAGCAATGCTAATATAAGACAATGCTTAAAGTTATCCTTTTCATTCTTTTAACCCTGATCTTAAATGATCTAGGGCGGGTAGAAATTTCACCGAAGCACGGAAGAAGCGTTCTGGATTGTTCGGAGTTTCGGAGCTCTGACGCAAGGAGCTTCATTATTGATTGCAAAGCACAGACTGCAACAAAAAAAACCCTCGATAACAGCTCGATAACCGCCCTCCACAAAAACGACTCCACCGCCACCTCTTCTATTTGCCTGTGCTTTTCCCCACTGGATGGCCATTGCATGATGTAATGCTGTCCAACTCAGTTAGAAAAAGCGGCGGTGAAGCTGCGCGAGTCTGTCTCTCCTTTCCACCTGACCAACAAACTTTATCAATCCCCTTTTTCTTATTCTTTTTCTCTGTCCAAACTTTTCTTACTCTTCCTTTGTCACTTCGTTTCCTGCTAACTGCTAAAATCTCCTCTCAATTGCCTCCCCACAACCACTACCTACACGCACATACACACACACACACAATGGCCCCCCTTAAGCTCAGCAACAAGAACCTCTCACAGATTGCCTCCACTGCCGGCGAGCACCAGGTGCAAGTACCAACCTACCAGCGCGGGGATGCCGTGAAGGAGGGCATCGTCCACGTCGGGGTGGGCGGCTTCCACCGCGCCCACCTGGCCGTGTACGTCGACCAGCTGATGCAGAAGCACGGGGAGAAGAACTACGCCATCTGCGGCGTGGGACTGCAGCCGTTTGACGCGGCGATGCGCGACGCCCTGGGGTCGCAGGACCACCTGTACACGGTGATCGAGCGGTCGGCCAAGGGGAGCTTCGCGCACGTCGTGGGCGCCATCAACTCGTACCTGTTCGCGCCGGACGACCGCGAGGCGGTCATCGCCAAGATGGCTCACCCCGATACGCACATTGTCTCGCTGACCATCACCGAGAGCGGCTACTACTACAACGAGAACACCCACGAGCTGCAGAGCGAGCACCCGGACATCCAGTATGATCTCGACCCGGCCCACGAGACCGCCCCGCGCACCACCTTCGGCTTCCTGTACGCGGCGCTGGCCCGCCGTCACCAGCAGGGCCTCAAGCCCTTCACCGTCATGTCGTGCGATAACATGCAGAAGAACGGCTCCATCACGCGCCACATGCTAGAGTCGTTCGCGCGGCTGAAGAACCCGACGATCGCCGAGTGGATCGCCACGCAGGGCGCCTTCCCCAACGCCATGGTCGACCGCATCACCCCGCAGACCTCGGCCGCCGATAAGACGGCCCTCGCCGACAAGTTCAGCATCGAGGACAGCTGGCCCGTCGTCACCGAGCCGTTCATGCAGTGGGTCATCGAGGACCAGTTCGCCGACGGCCGCCCGCCCTTCGAGAAGGTCGGCGTGCAGGTCGTCAAGAACGTCCACGACGTCGAGCAGTTCGAGAAGCACAAGCTGCGCCTGCTGAACGGCAGCCACTCCGCCCTGGGCTACCCGGGCCAGCTGGCGGGCTTCCAGTACGTGCACGAGGTGATGGAGAACCCGACCTTCAACAAGTTCGTCTGGCAGATGATGCAGGACGAGGTGAAGCCCTTGCTTCCCGACATCCCGGGTGTCGACATCGACGAGTACTGCAAGACCCTGATGGGCCGCTTCGAGAACCCCACCATCATGGACCAGCTGCCGCGCATCTGCCTCAACGCCTCCGGCAAGATCCCCCAGTTCATCATGCCCTCCATCGCCGAGGCCATCTGGGTCAAGGCCCCCTTCCGGAGGCTGTGCTTTGTCGCCGCCGCCTGGTTCCGCTACGTCAACGGCATCGACGACGCCGGCAACAAATTCCAGGTCGACGACCCCATGCGCGACGAGCTGCAGGCCAAGGCCCGCGCCGGCGGCACCAAGCCCCACGAGCTGCTGAGCATCAAGACCCTCTTCGGCGACGATCTGCGCAGCGACGAGCGGTTCCTGAAGCAAATCACCCAGGCCATGGAGGAGATCGACCGCGACGGCATCCTCAAGACCTTGCCGAAGTATGTGGACTAGATTGCGGTACCATATCCCTATATACCTTAGAAGACGGTGAGAAACGACCGAAGGGCATGAAATTGCGCATATCTTAATTTGGGTTACTTGCAAGCGTTGGGGTTTTGTATATAGTTGATACGGTTTCTGCCATTTGGCTTTCGGATATGTGAAGCGTCATGCGGGATTGAGTTACGAAAGAACGAGCATAGAAAAATCTCACCCTTTTGTTTTTTGTTTTTTTTCTTGCTGCATACAAGATAGAGATGATGTTAGATTAGGTTTGGTTTATTTATGTCTTCAATTCATACTCTCGGGTACGGTATACTCCTTTCCATATCTATTGCCTCAGGCATAGCTGTACTAGCTACGATACTATGAGTATATGTCGCAGCCACCGCAAAATAGCTGAGACCCCCGGGAACGGGAACGTCAACGTCACCGCCAACGTCAACCCAAACCACGAACCCAGAATCTCTGGATCCGAAGGTCGGAGTCTACACATGGAAGAGAAGCTTCCAATGACGCAAGATACTCCGTAGGATCCAGCAAGTGGCAAAAGGATAAGCAGCGAAGAAAGAATCGCGTTGGTGGCGAATTCCCACCCGTTTCGATTGCACTCGCCTTACGGGCCGGGCCCACCAGACTACAAGTAGTAAAGAAAAAAAAACAGAATGGGACGAGCCGGGCTTGAACCGGCCACCTTCAGATTGCAGATGTACTGGCCGAAGTTAGTGCTTCAGTCTGACGCGCTCCCAGATGCGCCATCGTCCCAATTGTTGAATACTTGACCTGCTTTAATGTCACATGTATAAAATGGCTGTTGGAAAATAACGGAACTTTACTTCAGAAAGCTTAGCTACTACTTGACATCTATGGAGGCTAGGACATGGTGATGAAAGTGCAACGCTGCAAATCCATTCATGATTAATGCTATGTACGTACATCCATTCCCCACATCTACGCACCCCCGGCCTGTTGCTGCTTCCATTGGTGCGCTTTCTGCAACAGCTTGGACAGGTTGGCGGCCGACTGGTCGTCCGCGGGGAAGACGTAGTCCATGTATTCCTCGTAGCGGTCGTCGTCGAGCTTGCGCCGCTTCTTGACGCGGCGGGGCATCTGTTTCTCGATCTTGTCGATGTCCTCGGGGGAGCCGTGCGTGTGCTCGAACGAGCGCCAGGCGTTGAGGAGTTCCACGCGCTGTGGGGATGGGGGTGATTAGTTGGATTGTCAACGTTACCGGGTGAGAACAACTAACCTCTTCTTTGAGTTCCTTGTCCTTGAACACCTTGTGTGCGCGGGTGAAGATCGCCCGGGCACGCCGCTTGGCCTCGTCGCTGACGGGCCGCTCCTCCTCCTCGTCTTCTTCTTCTTCCTCCTCCTCGTCCGGCACGTTGATCTCGAACCGGGCGTAGTTGATCCACACCTTGACGTGGTCGGTCTTCTCCAGCAGACGTTCGTAGAGGGAGCGCACGCGGTCGTACTCGCCCTCGTACTCCTCAAAGTCGATGTAGGACTTCCACACCAGCTCCGGCATGTCCAGGGTCGGTTGGTCGATGCCCAGCTCGTAGATGGCGCGCGCGCGCTCCGTGTCGTCCAGCCCGCGCTCCAGCTCGGCGTACTTGATCCAAGACTGGCTGTTGGACGGGTTCCACTCGATCTGCTTCTCGAACAGCGTCCGGCACCGCACGAACTCGAACAGCTGCCGCTCCAGGTCGATGTAGCCTCGGAACAGCTTGTCCTTGGGGCACATGCCCAGCGCCTGGCCCAGCGCCTTGCGGGCGGCCGGCAGGTCCATCTGGCGGATCTCGAACTGCGCCTTCAGGAGCCAGATCTTGGCGAAGGTGAACCGCTTGTGGGGGATGAGCTTCAGACACTCGTTGTAGATCTGCCGCGCCCGCCCGGCGTCCTTGGCCTCCATCTCCTCCCAGATCGCGTAGAAGATCCACAGGTAGATATACCGCCGCCAGTGCCGCTTCTCCTGCGAGGGGGGGATCTGCGCGATGGCGCGCTCGTAGATGTCGCGCACCCGGTCTGGGTCGCCCGACGTCTCCTCCAGCCGCGCAAAGTCGAACCATACGTCGTAGTTGCGCGCGTTCTCCTTCAGCTGCTCCTCGTACTGCACCCTGCGTTTCGACAGAATGACATCCTCCACGCCCTCGCGGTCGCCGAACTGCTTCTCGAACGTCGTGTACGCCTTGTGCAGCGCCATCGACTTGGACCTCGGCAGCCGGTCCAGCGCGTACTTGTAGATCGCCCGGGCGCGCTCATACTCCTTCAGCTTGGCCTCGAACTTGGCGTAGGCGATGAACAGCTTCTCATCCATGAAATCCTCCCCGAGCGTCTCGATGGCGATCCCGTACACCTCGCGGACCAGATCACTCGTCCCGTACTCCTCCTCAAACCGCGCCCACTTGATCCAGTTGCGGGGCTCCGGGTGCACGATCGTGAAGCGCTGGAAGATGGCCCGCGCGCGCTCGAACTCGTTGTACCGCTTCTCCAGCTTGATGTAGGCACTCCAGGCGCCCTCCTCGGGCTCCCACGACATCCAGCGCTCGAACACCTGCCGGGTGCCGGGGATGTTGCCCAGGGTCTCCTCCATGTAGACATACTTGTACCACAGCTTGTCGACGCGGGGCAGGATGGTGACGGCGCGGTCCAGCAGGTTGCGCGCGTGGTTGATGTTGCGGTTGCGCATTTCGGATTCGATGTACCGGATCCAGAGCACCACCGAGGTCGGCTGCACGTCCAGCGCCCGCTCGAAGATCGACCGCGCCCGCCGGAACTCCTTCTGCTCAAGCTCCCACGCCGCGTACCGCATCCAGTTGTTCATGTTGATCCGGTTGCGCCGCACATAGTCCTCGAACTCCTTGCGCTTGCGCCCTTGGTACTCGTGCAGCTCCTCCAGGTCCGCGAACCGCTGCGTCGGCGCCTGCAGCGCCGGCTCCTGCCGGTCGACCGCCTCGCGGAGCAGCTGCTCCGCGGAGATCTGCACCGGCGCGGCGGCCTTGTTCTTGACCCGCGGTGGGCCGCGTGAGGCTTCCATTGTGTTTTGGGGAGGGTGGTGAGGTGGGAAAGAGGGTATAAGGTGGTTGTGTTGTCGGGGGTTGGTGGTTATCGGGTGATGGACCCCGGCCGGTGTGCGCGAGCCGCTGCTCAGCTGTCAAGTGGTATCACTGGAATTGGGTGAAAGACGGGCTCTGAGAAAGATATGCGTGAGCTCTTGTAAGAGTGATCCCGACAACGAAGCAGCTCTCCCAAAATCTTCACAGTGTGCCTAAGCAAGCAACACCTGCGCGGTTTGATGATGTCGGGGAATTCGAGACTTGTCCGCCCGACCCAAATTCGGAAGCCCTGCGCTCTTGGTCCGTAGCGCCACCCGAACGCCTCCAGCTGTCCTATGCAGCTTTGCTTAGTCATAGGGCGGTCAGTGGCGCCTCTGGGCAAAACGTCGGCCATCTCCAAGTTCGGCTCAGTCTATTCATAAATCACAACTCACAGCAGGTTTCCACCATGTCGAACGTCGAGGACCTTCTTCGAGATTTTGAGGATGACGACGAGGATCTCCAGGTCGGAGATGGCCTGGACGACGGAAATGGCGATGACGATGACAACATGGTGGTGGACGAGGAGCAGCTCGCTCAGCCAGCGGCGCCCGAGATCACCAACGAGTTCGACGTCGCGCTGTCGACCCAAGACGAACTGACCCGCCTACACAAGGTCCTGCGCGATCACTACTCGATCCGATTCCCCGAGCTCGAGACGCTCGTCACGACGCCGCTTGACTACGCCAAGACGGTGGCGATCCTCCAGAACGGCCCGCTCAACGACATCAAAGCGCTGTCGACTTCCGCCGATAACATGGTCGGCGTGCCGCTGCGGTCCGTCCTGGACGGCCCGTCCTTGATGGTCGTGGCGGTGGAGGGCACGACGACGCGAGGCCGGGAGATGACCGAGTCGGAGCTGAAGGCGGTGCTGGATACGTGCGAGCGGATCTTGAAGCTCGACCGGGAGCGCACCGCGCTGACGGAGAGCATCCAGTCGCGCATGAGCCAGATCGCGCCCAATCTGGCGGCGCTGATCGGCCCGGAGACGGCGGCGCAGTTCCTCAACCAGACGGGTGGTCTACGCGAGCTGGCCAAGATCCCCGCCTGCAACCTCGGGGCGCAGGGCTCGAAGAGAAAGGAAGGACTGGGATTTGCTACGAATCACGGCATCCGGGCCCAGGGCTTCCTCTACAATTCGCCCATCATCTCAGAGATCCCGAACGACCTCAAGCGGCAGGCGATCCGCATCGTGTCGGCCAAGATGGTGCTCGCCACGCGCGCCGACGTCTCGAACTACAGCCCCGACGGCTCCCTCGGCGAGGAGCTCAAGCAGCAGTGCTTCCAGCGGTTGGAGAAGCTGACGGAGCCCGCGCCCAACTCGGGAGCCAAGGCACTTCCCGCGCCGGACGACAAGCCCTCCCGCAAGCGCGGTGGTCGACGGGCCCGCAAGGCCAAGGAGGCCGTCGCGATGACGGAGCTCCGCAAAGCGCAGAACCGGGTTGCCTTCGGCAAGGAAGAAGCAGAGGTGGGGTATGGCACGGGAGAAGGAACGGTCGGACTGGGAATGCTTGGCCAGCAGAACGACGGCCGCATCCGCGCCACGCAGATCGACCAGAGGACCCGGGCCAAGCTCAGCAAGAACAGCAAGGGATGGGGCACGGCGACTCCCGTCAGCGGTACCTCGACCTCTCTACGTGCCTTTGGTGGAGGACCCGGCACCAGCGGCACTGCCAGTGTCCTCCAGGCCCGGGGTCTCCGGGCTTCTGGTATCGGTACGTCCTTGGGTGGATCCGCCGGCACGGCCAGTACCATTGCTTTTACGCCGGTGCAAGGATTGGAGCTGGTTGATCCCAAGGTGCAGGCCGAGCTGAATCGCAAGCGCAAGGCGGAGGAAGACCGGTGGTTCAAATCCGGAACCTTCACTCAGGTTGGCGGGCAGCAGACTCCTGGCAACCCCTCTTCATCACAAGGCCAGAACGGAGGGTTCAAGGTCCCGGCCATGCCTCCGAAGAAGAAGGTGGACACCGGCGACGGCAAGATGGCGCCGCCTCCACCGCCGCTGAAGCGGTAGAACCTTTTCCGCGACATCGCTTTGGCTTTTTCCTTTATTTGCTTATTTGTGATCACGAGCATTTTACCGGCGTTACAAAAGACTAGGCAGCCCTGCATGATACCAATCGAAGAAATTCTGTATGATAAAATCCAATTAAGAAAAAGAAACAAGACTTGGCAGTTTCATCTTCCGAAATCCCTTTTTTTTTTTTTCATTCTAGAACCCAACAAAGGAATTTACAGTCTGGATAGTGTTCAGTAAGTCAACGATTGGCCGTCGGTTCCGATCCCGTGACGCAAACCACCGACTGAATACTAGGTAGCCATGGTTTCGACGGACGATGGTGAAATTGTCTGGCTTGCCGATTTGCAGAGCAAACAACAAGACAGGGCCCCACACATTGGTGGTGGCGCAAGACTAGAATATTTGTTCGTGACAGTTTAACCGGTGGAGACTGGTTGTTTGGAATTTCTTGGGACAGGGATGAAGTTTAAATTTTCTGCAGGACATGGGAAATGTCGCCATTGCTGGCGGCAAAACGTGCGACTGTCGAGGGAGAAGGTTCTCTAGCCCTAGCCGGGATGTTACTTTAGATTGATGATGTGTTAAGGACTACAGTGTATAAGTGCACTACACTGTATCAAGCCGTATCCTCCTGGGGAATCAGAATAACTATAGAATATTAAGCATGAAACTAGCCGACGATCATATCGGGGAGAATGGGGGGTGGAGGAGGCGTGTCTTGTTCAACGCACGGGGAATTATGTGGACCCTTTTTTTTTCGTGATTGCCGGCTGGAGTTGTCGGCATATTGCGTGCTTTTGGAGAAATCTCCCCCCATGGGAAGGGGGGACAGTGGGACGGACCATAGGGAACTGGAGAAGAAGGTAGATTTATTTCATTTCATCTCGTTCTCTTTTTTCTTCCTCCTCCCTCCCCCAAGTCAATTCAATCCAATCCCTTCAAGCGTTCGTTGCATCCTTCCTTTGTCCGTCAGCAACGCGGCAGTTCCATCCCATACACCGGACCACAAGAGATCAAACCGCAAAAGACACCAGGTAGAGAACAATGGCCCCCCAAATAGGCAAACCGCTCTATCCCACCTCCGACACCGAGTCCGTGGAAGAAGAGGCACCAGCTCTACCTATACTGCCCACGACAGGGACAGGGAAGACTCCCCTCCCACTCCACCACCACAGCCTCATCACCACCGACTTCGACGCCCTCCGATTCCACGCCGCCGCCGCCCTGCAATTGCGCTTTCCATCACATAAAACAGTGGCAGCAGCACTCCCAACAGACACCCACCTCATCGTCTCCCCCTACAACCAGCCCGGCCACCTCCTCGACCTCCGCACCCTGGACCGCGCGAACCAGCTCCTCGCGCAGGCCCTCACCACCCTCCAGCCCACGCGGCCCGACTACGCCACCGCGCCCTACACCGAATCCTTCAACTGGGCCTCGGTGTTCGAGCTGTTACGGCAGCTTGCCCTCCAAGACGAGGCTGGCACGTGGCCCGCGCAGAGCTTCTATGTAGTCACCTTCCGCTCGCGACTACGCGCCGACGCCGACGGCGAGCGGCTGTATCTGCTGGATGCGCATTCGCATCAGGAGGCGATGGCCAGTGGGGGGTTGTTGAAGTATTGGTTTGGGAGTAAGGATGCCAGTCATAGAAACTTGGCGACTTGTGAGTTTATCCCCTCTCCCCCGTGGTGTTGTCATAGCATGTGAGGAGTGGTTACGGGAGGGTGAGGCTAATAAGAATGATGTGGACAGGCATCTGGCGGAGTCGGGAGGATGCTCGGCTCGGCGGGTTGGGGCCATGGCATAAGAAGGCTCGGGGTGCGGCAAGGGAGATGTATGAGTCGATTGAGTTTTCGACGTTGCGCTTGACGGTTGCGGAGGGGGTGAGGGGGTGGGAGTTTGGGGAGTGGGTGGATGAGAACTGAAGGGGGAGTAGGTGGAAGTGGAATTGGTTAAAAGAGGATTTGGTGATTCATGGTGTTACTGGGCAGTGGGGGTGTTCTGGATGGGTTGTGCATTTTCATTTCATTCAATGATGCATTTGAGCTGGTGAATTTAGAGTCGATAGATTATCCATAATATACCCTGTGATCAGTTTGATGTACAGTATAGTGCAAGTGAGGTATGCTGGATAACTTATACTGCTGTCCAAGTTAGCGGCACCTGGTTGTTCGCACTAATGCACCGCAGTGTCCACTCGTGGCTGAAAGAAGGTGCATTCCCCGCGCCCGCCACAATCCGCATCCTCCCATTGGAGGAGCAGTCCAGGGACGGCGGCCGAAAAGAGAGATTTTCCACGCGGGATGTGGGGAAAATTGCCCTCGGTTGCGTCGGTTCGGATGATCCGATACGAGAAAGACACCAGTCCCTGAGTAATGTCTGGCTTCTGGATGGATGAAAGACCCTGTAGAGCCGCCTTATCGCCCATCAGAATGCGGGAGAAGCTGCACTCGTGCCGTGCACTGGGCACCTCCGAATTATTCATTCGTGCGTCACGATGGGGACGTGGCGCGGGGCAATCTTCTCTATATAAAGCCCCCGTCCAGACCCCAAGCAAAGGGGACCGTTGGACCCCAGACTGACTGCAGCTCACTATCTGTACAGTTGACCTGTGTGACCCTCAACAATTACTCACCAACACCACCATGGTCGGAGTCCTCCAGGAAACCATCACCGTCAGCGACGGCCCCCTCACCAGCGAGAACGCCGCCCTCCTGCGGCCGTCCGACCCCAACCTGCCCGTGGAGGAACTCCGGCAGCGCTACGAGGCCGACGGCTACCTCTTCCTGAAGCAGGTGATCCCGCGGGCGGACGTGCTCGAGACCCGACGCCGGTACTTCGACTACCTGGCGCCGACGGGGGTGCTAAAGGAAGGGTCGGACCCGGTGGAGGGGATCTTCAACCCGAGCAAGTCGGCGGACGACTACCCGGGCATCGGAGCGGCCAGCGTCGCGGGCAACGGGCGGCCCGGCGGCGACAGCGCGGCCGAGTTCGTCGACCGCGCCATCGAGGCCCACTACAAGGACTGGTACGTCGACCAGCTCTGCAACCACCCGGCCCTGTACGCCTACGTCGCCAAATTCACCGGCTGGGGCGCCAACACCCTCACCTTCAAGCGCACCCTGCTGCGCAACAACACCCCGGGCACCAAGCCCATCGGCGTGCACTACGATCAGATCTTCATTCGCCATGGGGAGCCCACCAGTGTCACGGCTTGGGTGCCGATTGGGGATGTGAAGATCAATGGGGGAGGGTTGATTTATTTGGAAGATAGTATGTCATCTTCTTTAGGATATGGGGGCCATGGGAGGTGGGTGGACTGGGCTTGCTAACTGCTACTGTACTGTGCAGGTGATTCGGTAGGCAAAAAGATCGAGGACGACTTCACAGTCAAGGCCAAGCAGGCGGGGCTGTCGGACGAAGAGGCCCGGTCGGCCTTCAACTCGAATATGACCGCCAACGCACTGCTGTCGGAAGCTCCGGCCGAGTTTGCCAAGGAACACGGTCGTCGCTGGCTGGTCGCGGCGTACGAAGCCGGGGACGTCGTCCTACATAAGCCCCATATGGTATGTTGTTGCCGTCGTCGTCGATGCTGGGTGGGCTCCGCAGTGCATGCTGATCGTCCGGTCTAGATCCACGCCTCGACCGTCAATAATGACCCGGATAATGTCATCCGTCTGGCTACGGATATCCGGTTCTGCGACTCGTCGAAGCCGTACGATAAGGTGGGCTTCCTGTCAGTTTTCGTAGACTAGGGTCTTACTGACGATTCGCAGAGATGGATGAACTTCTATCGGTTCAATGATGGTGTCTAGCGCTGGTTGCAAGATTAAGAGCCAAAATTGTGAAGGTCGTGTTTTTCCTTAAGCGATGATGAGATGAAATTGTATACTGCAAGAATGGACGGCTTATATAGGTGAATTGGGAATATGGAGGCAACGTAAAGAATGCATTTTGTGTGATTCTCCCCATCTGGTCATCCTGCCGGAGCATCAGCATGTTCGGCTTGTTCATTCTCGCCCTCCCCATCATCGTTATCTGAGTTGTGAAAGGTACAGTGACAGATCCTAGCATCGGATATAATTAGCTCAATATGATCGCCGGCGACGGAAAGACAGTCAATAGGAGCTTACCCCTGGTCGTCGCAGAACCCCCCGGTCCAGCCTCCGCCCTGTGCAATGCACTAACTGATCAGCCTTGTCCTTATACGTGCATTGTTCACCTATCGTCGAGGGTCTAGAACAAACGTACGGTATTCCGACAGGCGAGATTCGCGATCTGGATCCCTCCGGGCGTTTGACATGACTTTTGCGCTGCTGCGAGGGCGACTCCGAGGGCCGTGGATTTGGAGGCGAGGGGCACGGCGGAGGCGAGCACCAGGGAGCAGAGGGTCGATATTGCAAGTAGCTTCATAATGGGTAGGGACTGAGATTGCTAGGATAGATGGGAATATGGTTGGAGTGAGAAAGGTCCATGCTAGCAGACGAATTTACCACTACGACGAAGCAAGGCTCGAGGGGGGTGTTGCCATTGCATAGATCTACTGTACGGTACATCCGAAGGTAGTCGCAGAAGCGCAATTATGCTCTCACCTGCAAGTCACCAAATGCAAGAAGCAAAAAAGATCATCGACAGAATCTAAGCATCGAGTCGCGTTCACTACACATGACCGATCCGTTATGAATGAAGATCTCGACAATAATTAAGTATGGGTTGTGTGCACTTCCAGAAGATCAAGTTCCATCCCACCGCCGGAGATCCGAAGTGCCAAGTTGCACGTTAACCCTTGCGTTCGGCGAATTAGCGGTGGAAATTTGGAGCTAAGGTTCAACCCCCCGAACCGCCAATCCCACGGGGCCCAGGATCCGATCCTGATATGTCCACCCGGAGGATTTGGGAATTCGACCTGAAGAGGGCTTTGTCAGTGGATGAGGGCGCTACTGTGCAAATTGGACTAGCTCCCCCTCTTGTTCGGCGGACATCAGGCCAATCGCTGGCGGTGGTCGGAGCAGATCGCAGGCTGATCCAGCTGCATGTCCGTTCAAGTTCGGAGGTTTCGGACAACGCAGACATGAGGGGGCGAGTAGTGGGTGGGGTTTGTTGCGGAGGGGAGGGAAGAGTAGGAGGAGGGGGGGGGAAGAGAGAGTGTAGTCCAGTAAGTAACTTAGTTACTGTTATTACGATAGTTACGAGTACTACGTTAGTTAGGCTCAATGGTAGCGTTGTGTAAAGTAGTGTAGTAGAGGAGTGTACTGTACTGTACTCCGTAGTGTAGGCAAATTGTCTATTCGGCGCGACCGGCAATACAGTTACTCCGGACCCAAGTTGGGCTCAGCCCCGCCAGCACCACCAAACTTATTTCTCTTCCTGATTCCCCTCTTCTCCTACTCCCTCCCTCCCCCATTTCTCTTTCTTATCTCTCTCCCCCCTTTTTCTATCCCCATCCTTCTAGTAGGTTGTCCTGGACATTCCTCTTCATCATTCCAACTCCGTGTTTGTTGCTAATCCTCCATCCTAGTCTTCCTTACACATCACAATGGCCGCCCCCGCTCAGAAGTTCAAGGTCGCCGACATCGTATGTGTTGCCCCATCAAGCATTGACAATCACCTCCTGATAATCTTTTCAGTCGTTGGCCGCCTTCGGTCGTCGCGAGATCGAGCTCGCCGAGATTGAGATGCCCGGTCTCATGGCCATCCGCCGCAGATATGCTGAGGACCAGCCCCTCGCCGGCGCCCGCATCGCTGGTTGCTTGCACATGAGTATGTTCCGCTTCGGTGACTTTTTTCCAACCCAGCTGCTAACCCTGCCCAGCCATCCAGACTGCCGTCCTCATCGAGACCCTCGTTGCCCTCGGTGCTGAGGTCACCTGGTCCAGCTGCAACATCTTCTCCACCCAGGACCACGCCGCCGCCGCCATTGCCGCCGCCGGTGTCCCTGTGTAAGCTGACACTGAATTTTCTCTCCGTCCCGGCGGTCCCCACGCTAACAACCCGCTAGCTTCGCCTGGAAGGGTGAGACCGAGGAGGAGTACAACTGGTGCTTGGAGCAGCAGCTCGTCTCCTTCAAGGATGGCAAGAAGCTCAACCTCATCCTCGACGACGGTGGTGACTTGACCTCCCTCGTCCACGAGAAGTACCCCGAGCAGCTCAAGGACTGCTACGGTCTGTCCGAGGAGACCACCACCGGTGTCCACCACCTGTACCGCATGCTCAAGGAGGGCAAGCTCCTCGTCCCCGCCATCAACGTCAACGACTCCGTCACCAAGTCCAAGTTCGACAACCTGTACGGCTGCCGCGAGTCCCTCGTCGACGGTATCAAGCGTGCCACCGATGTCATGATCGCCGGTAAGGTCGCCGTCGTCGCCGGTTTCGGTGATGTCGGTAAGGGCTGTGCCGATGCTCTCCGCAGCATGGGTGCCCGCGTCATCGTCACTGAGATCGACCCCATCAACGCCCTCCAGGCTGCCGTCCAGGGCTACCAGGTCACCACCATGGAGGAGGCTGCTCCCCAGGGTCAGATCTTCGTCACGACCACCGGCTGCCGTGACATCCTTGTTGGCAAGCACTTCGAGGTTATGCGCAACGACGCCATCGTTTGCAGTAAGTTTTCTGCCTCATTCTCTTCGAAGAATATGCTAATCGCTCAGACATCGGTCACTTCGACATTGAGATCGACGTCGCCTGGTTGAAGGCCAACGCCAAGTCCGTCCAGAACATCAAGCCCCAGGTCGACCGCTACGAGATGCCCAGCGGCAACCACATCATCCTCCTCGCCGAGGGCCGTCTCGTCAACCTGGGCTGTGCCACCGGCCACTCTTCCTTCGTCATGTCCTGCTCTTTCTCCAACCAGGTCCTTGCCCAGATCGCTCTCTTCAAGGCTGAGGACGTTGCCTTCGGCCAGAAGTACGTCGAGTTCGGCACCACCGGCCGCAAGCCCGTCGGCGTCTACGTCCTGCCCAAGGTTCTCGACGAGCAGGTCGCTCTCCTCCACTTGGAGCACGTCAACGGCAAGCTCTCCAAGCTCACCCCCGTCCAGGCCGAGTACCTTGGTCTGGAGGTCACCGGTCCCTTCAAGGCCGACCACTACCGCTACTAAGCGTTTTTCTTCTTTGTGTCCACCGCATACACACCTGTTCGGCATTGATTTCGGTATACCCTGAACGGCTAGAGTTTTTCAACATGGTCACGATGTTACGAAACAAATAAAAGGGGTCTTTTTTTTAACAATGGGGCTCAAAAGCATTGTCTTCAACGGCAAGAATAAAAGTGGCATGGGGGTTTGATTGGGTTGTTTTATACCATAAAGATAAATAATATGAGTTTGTTTGCATGCAGTGACTGTAACTCTGATTGTGCGCCTAGCATCACCGTACATGCCCACTTCTAGTACTCTTGACTCTTGAGACTGAAAGCAGTGAGCCCAATTTTCAACATTTCAACAACAATGTCCCATGATTTCCCCATGCACCCTTCTCCACAAGACCGTCAGTGAGATCCTTATCGATGAGTGGGTGGGGGGGGGGGTTGTGTTCGGTGGAAGGGACGGAAACAGGATTCCTTTGTATATCTGGCGGTAGAGAGAAAGGGGTTGCTTGAAAGTAGTGTTATATTTTGTTTCATTCAGACTTATTATGTCTGAGTTGGAGGTGATCTGATAGTACGCAGCAACCTCGCATGTGGAAGATGTGCTAGATTGCATAATGCGATTCATGACCCGTCATCCAGCTACTTATGCAAATCATGCCCGAGCCCGCAATGAACTTACCTGGGCACATGGATCTCAAGGAGACCAATAAACCACAGCAACAACCCTACCTCTCCCTCAACCCAACCATTTAAACCATACGATATCCCCATTTCTACCATCCATACTACCCTCACCCGGGTCTCCTGCAGGAGTTCCTTCGACGCCTGGCGGGCCGGAAATGCTGGGCCGCGCTGGGGCTGAAGACGCGGAAGGTGGTTTTTAGGTGTGCCCTGCTCCCAACCCCGCATTTTTTTTCTTGTTGCTTGTTTTGTTTTGGGGGGGGAAGTGGTGACGGGAGAGGAATGGGGTGGGAGGCGCATGTTAATTTCGTGGGCGATGGGGGCAGTGGCGTGCTGTGGGATGAGGTGCGGGATGGGCGGTATAAGTATCGGCTTGGGTTGCCGGACTTGGGGTTTGATGATCCGGTACGGAGGGGGACGGGGTGGGATGGAACTGTTGGGTTGCAGGATTTCCTTAGGGAGACGGGGGAGGTGGAGGAGGAGAAGAAGGGGAGGGGGTCTTCTTGAAGAGGGCAGGTTTGTGTCTTGTCTCTTTTCTTGGGGTTGTGGTTGGGGTTGGTGGGATTGGACTGTACATATCTTTATTGCTTTTCTCTTGATGGAAAGAATCTCCACGGTCATACTGTACTTGACGCATAGCGTATAATTGTCTACTTCTGTTGAGGTATACTTGGGATGAAGAGGGGGAGAGCACAGGGGTAAGACAGGAAAACATACAAGACAATCCAAGCTTGCTAGTGTCAGATAGACTCCGCCAACATCTAGATGTCTCGCAGCCTACGGCTCAGCCAGCTCGGCACACTCACTGATGTTACGGTTGCTGAGATAATGATGAGGCCGGGATCACGCCGTCCGACTCAAATCACCACGCGAAACTTTAACAAGTCTCTTTGAAGAACGTCCTGCTTCTTCTGCTCCAGCTCCTCCATGTCCCAGCTCACCGAAGCGAATCGGCCGGCCAGCCAGTCGCGCCGCTCCCGGGCGAGCCAGACCAGCGTGTCCGCGGCCAGCTCCGGGGTATCGGTCAGGACGGATTGCCTCTCGGGGGGCATGTTCATGGCCAGCTCGGTCTTGACGGCGCCCGGATGGAGCGCGATGGCGACCAACCCTTGCTGGTGGTATTCGGTGTCCATGAACTCGGTGAGGCGGCAGAGGGCGAACTTGGTTGTCTGGTAGGCCGACGCACCTGGAAACATGACATGGGCACCCCCGCTGCTGATGTTGATGACCGTCTTCGTTTGCGACCGGAGCAGCAGCGGAACGAAGAAGTGGGCGGCGAGATAGGTGCCTTTGATGTTGACCTCCCAGGTCCGCCACCACTCGCTCGGCTCGGAGTCGGCGATGGGTTTCCACTCCTCCAGGTAGCCCGCGTTGTTGATCAGGACATCGAGACGGCCGCCGAGCAACTCTGCCGCGGTCTCTGCGGCCGCGCGCACCGAGCCTTCCGAGGTCACGTCTACCTTCAGGGAATGCACGAATGGCTGGGGCCGGTTGGCCTTCATGGCGGCGTGGTGGACGGCGGTCTCCACGTCGGTCAGGTCCGAACGCGCGAGGAGCAGGATCTTCGAGCAGCCCGCGATGGCAAAGCTGATCGCGGCCGCCTTGCCGATGCCCTTGGAGGCACCTGTGATCAAGACCGACTTGCCCGCCAGGTCGGCTTTGGCGGGTTCGATGAACGGGTACGTGTCCTTGCGCGTCGAGACATAGCTAGCCACCGCAGGCCAGTTTGCCAGGGAAGAATCTGGGGCCGACATGGTCGTTCTCAAAAGGAACCCGGAGATGTATGTAGAGCCGGGGTAAGAGGATGAGGTGAGAGCTGCGCTAGGGAGCTGCGTTTGCTGGGTGGGTACCAGGTAGGTAATTATCCCCTCGCATGGATCGAACACAAAGAAGCCTCACTTAGTAATAGTAAGTCACTCGCCCATGATACCATTCCTCGAACGGAGATTGCGTTTTTAAACGCCGTCGTGTTCTCTCTGGTCCGTTAACTCCGCGGCCAGAAATCCCCTAGTTTGATGTGAAAACATGTTTCTCCAGCTTCGGCTGAGGGTTGCCTCTTGCGCGCCCCGGCCTAAGTAAAGCAGCCGTGGCAGCCGTACAAATATAGAGGGCAGGAATCAAATCTATGTAAGTTTGACACTCTGCTACGGTACGACTGGCAAGGGTCGTTACCCCATTCCATGGACAAACAACGGACCAGCGGTCGCTGGTGATGACTGCTGGTTCGAAGGGTTAACAAGCTCACGTTGTCCAACTTGGAAGTTTCTAATGTCGTTTCAGAAGATCGCACGTCGCCCGGATAATAAGCCGCAGGAGCATGTACAGTTTCTCATTGGTGTCTAGGGAAAATCAGGCCCAGGTGTTACAAGGTTCGTTCTGCATTTATAAATGCACTACATATGCTGCGATTCTAGCATACTCCAAAGAACCAAAGAGACAGATTGTTACTAATGTAAAAAAAAAACCCGAAAATAGAAAGACTGCATCACGCGTTATCGCAGCATCATACAGCTCCTACTCTGACAGACGGAGAACTGAAAGTTTTCTGTCATCACTCAAACTAATAATAAGACGAGCTGGAATCAAGTCACCATCTTAGAAACTATACTTCTATACCCAACAGCTTGACCTGGTTATCATGCGTGGTGTGAAAAATGCACAAAGGAGGAAATGCTCCTTTTGAATTCTTGAAGACCACAGTTTTTCCCTGGAAAAAACCACAGTTTTCGGTCTAGCAATCAAGGCTCAAAGCCAACTGTCTCTCCCGATTTCGTAGTGCACATATATGTAAAATTAGATGTAGGATTTGTTCGATGATCTGTGAACTACACAGTAGAAGGGGGGTCTAAAGTGAGAATAAATGCCACTGTGGTAGCAAGGTGGATAGACTGTAATATTGCAGAGGCTTTTCTTCACATACTACATACATAGACTAACCAGTTATCTTTGATGACGAGAGGGGTCTTGAACATAACACCAAGGAAGGGTGGCAGGAATGCCGCAAACTACCGTGCTAAAACAATTATTCTGTGCAGGCTGTGTACGCCCCATCGGCTGCTGAAGAAATAGGTACAGTTTAAAGAGGCTGCACCCCTCAACAAATTGCAAAGAGGTAAATAGCGGTACATACAAAACAGGAAGAATATCTTACCCTCTTCAATGACAGATAAGCCCGGCAAAAGATATTTGTCACTGAGCGCCGTGCGAATCTGCGGCGGACACGTCACTCGCTGTGCGGGGTGGGTGGTGTATGTACGGAGTCCACGGCCGCAGGTGAAAAAAGCAAGACACTTTCCAATCGGAAAAGAGATAAAAATCCCCAACAGAAATGTACTGCACTAATAATTGCTGCTGGCATATGAATACAGATCAACCTGAATAGGGGGATACGAAAAGCACCACGGTTGCTTGGTACCTATTAATATAGTTCTTCTGACATATGTTTATGCTTCTTTGTTGTTGTTCCTCAGCATGCGCATTACCACCCCTCCTTGTAACGTATCAAACCGACAGAAAGCACGATTTGGAATAGATACAGGGTCCATGATTAATGGCGTGGGAAGGATTGTAGTAGTTTCTGAACCAGTAGGAGTTGAAGGACTGCAGGTGAGCTGGGTTCGGGAGTAAATACGTGCTAAGCGCCGCCTCGCAAAGTGGGGTGGAAGTATGACTTGGTGATAAATTTAAGTCATATAAGTTGTACATACCAACCCAGCAGTTGAGCCCATGTTCCTCCTCTCGATCTAGACAACCATACGAAAACACATTTCCTGAGAACCTGTTCAGCCCTGCAACAATTTCCGAGTCACACCCACCCCCGACCTCATGAGAAACAGCAGAAAACATTCCTACTTCATCCTCGGCAACACGGACCACGCCCCGGATGGATCAATCTGCCTGGGACAGATCATCACCGACCTGCGCAAACCGTATTGCCCTCTGGCCCCTGCCCGCCTGCCGCTCCCCAAGACCCACTGCGCCCTCCAAACAGACTACACGTGTTCGCAGTCGTCCACCAAATCCCGATCGGGCGGGGTGACCTCCGCATTCCTCGCACAGCTGGGCTCGCCGCTGAGTGCGGATGTTAGTATCTGCTCGGGTCGCGTCGAGACGGAGGAGTGGCATTTTGACCGGCTCGAGACTCGATTCATCGAGCCCGAAAGGGAATATGTCCTCGGGAGCGTGCTGGCCGCAGACCCCAACCCGGTGAGGGAGTACCTCGAGCGCGGGAGGTATCTCGGCAAGTCGGTATATATGATCACCGGGATCAAAGTGGGGATGGGACTGCGGTTCCAGCGCTCCAGTGGGCGAGAACGCGCGGTTGATGCTTCTGTCTTGGTCGATGCTTCCGCACTGGCGGGGATTCCGGTGCAGGCGGGGCCGACGGGGGGATTCAAGCGGCACGGGGAGGTTCGCGAGAGTTTTCAGGTTCGCGACGAGTTTGTGTTCGCATATCGGGTCCGGAAGGTCTTTGTAAGTTGGCGGGATCCGAAGAGGGTGGGTTCACAGGAGGTTTATGGTGGGGAGTTGATGGGGACTGGTGATGATGATGAATCTGATGACGATGTAGAAGACAGCGAGGAAGAAGAGCAACCGGGAGAGATTGATACAGTGACCTTGGAGGGGTGGGATGTGGGATCGTTGTATGTGCCAAAGGGGTTTGAGGAGGTCACTGTGCAGGAAGAAGGCTCCGGGGAGGAGTGCCAGGTCTTGAAGTGGTCCGATTGATTTTCAGATAAGTCTCTTGTTAGAGCTTTGTATATCATCAAGACTCTTCTGAAAACTTATACTAGCTGGCTCGTGTGTCCCTTCCCCCTTCAAATGTGTTGGTTCTTCTCACTCCCCCCTTACCTTAGGGATCCTCGTTGAGTGTGGTGGAGATGATATTGCGAAATTGTGTCTTATAGGACTGAAATCTGCTCCTAGCTCCTTCCCAGGGCACAAGAATGTCGTAGTTTCCAGTCTCCACACTCATCCCCTTAAACAAGCGACGGATGCACTCCCAGTTATCTAACGTCTCCTTCAGGTTCAACGCAGCCGCGTTGACCTCACAGTAGGCCAGCATGTTGGCGGCCAAGGCGGCAGATATAGGAGTTGCCACCGATGTCCCCGACATATACTTCGCACTTCCATGGAGGGCCTTATTATCAATCACGTCTGACGGCTTTGTCGCTGCGTCCTGTGTATTTGAGTATCGTGGCCACGTGGAGAGAACATTAGTACCGAGAATGCTGAAGTTCAGATCGTTATTTCGAGCATTGGGTGTGAAGGCAGCTGGCTTACAATGGCCATCAGCGGCATGGATGCCAAAGACAGACCGAGCCTTGGCTGGATAGGCCACTGATCGCCGGTTACCATCATTCGTTGCAGCTGCGAAAACCACAACTCCTTTGTTGTACGCATCGCGAAGCAGTCTATTGATCTCGGACGTCTCTTGTTTGAGTCCAAAGGACATGGAAATGATATTTACCTTCCATTGGTCCATGGCGTGTCGAAGAGCCTGTGTGATGAGATGAGTATTTCTATTGAGGATTGGAATTTGGGGAAACGATCCGGCCTTCCACTGACCTTTGCCACTCGATTGTGAATCTCTCGGTCGTGACGAAGATCTTCCCTCCGGGTTGCAATTCGGGCGACATATAGATCGACGCTGGGAGCGAACCTGAGAATTAGACCGGCAACATGAGTACCGTGACCATCAACATCACAAGCATCGAGTCCGGCGGGTTCCGCCGAAAAGTCCTGGTATCCCTGGTCTTTGAGCTCCTGTCGGTGCCAACGGGCCTTCACAAACGCATGTTCACCATCAATCCCGGTGTCAAGCACTGCAACCCTAATCTTCACATTCTCATCTCGACTATAACTGATGAGGACTTTGCAAAATGCACTAAAGTCTTTCATCCATTTTTCAGTCGCATCGGACCTGTTGCGGACGTGCCGGGTTAGGTATACGATAGTTGTTTCCCGTGTGAGAGGAACTGTAGACTTACCGTTGTGAGTCATGACAGTCAAAGAGGGTCGCCTCTCCATCTTCATCCGTATAATCCTCCTCCCCTATAGTCTCCTCGTTCCTCATGCAATTTCTGTCGGGTGTCACAATCACCGCTGCATCCTCGTCTTCCGGCCAAGCCCCCGGAAAGGAAATGGGCGTTATCTCTACTGCCTCATCGTCCCACTTTCCTACTAATCGTGTAGCTGCCTCACTCTGAGCTGTAGCCAGATCGTGAATGGAAATCATGACTCTGGAAACCACCCTGATCACTGAGGTTACCCGTTTCCACCTTTGCCGAGCGAGTCTCCGAGATAACCTCCCTTTTGCGGTCCTTTGGATTCGGACAATCGACAAGACGAAAAAGCATAGGCAATACCACTTCTCTCGTACAGCAGTCCTGTGAGCAACATGTATACTAATAATAACTACTCTGGTCACTCGCTTCCAATTTTGCAAAATGCGCTGACGGTTGAGCAGCGGGGCGTCCAGCCCATGAGGGGGGGTTTCTCCGTCGCGGAGCACGGTCTTGTATACCGAGGCAGCTTCTTCGAACCTTTTTAATTCCCAAAGATCTTTGAAGATCTCGATTTGAACCGCGATAATATTTTCACGAATACTACCTTCGTTCCCGTGGTGATTTGTCTCCTGTCGCAGTTGCTGCTGCAAGCAGGCAAGAGTCCGTCGGTCCCATTTCAGTGCGTCTTCGTGCCGTAAGAGCTGTGCACTTGAGTCCGCAAGAAGCTCGACGACTGACTTTGTCTGCTGCAAACTCTCTGGCTGTGTGGACCAGTAATCCAAAGCCACTTCCAGCAACTCGATCGCTTCAGCGAGCTTGTGAGTGTCATTGTCTGTTTGTTGTTCGCGTAAGCATTTGGCCAGCTCGACCCGAGTTCTCGCCGCTCCTTTGCTGCCATCAGCCTTTCCCAACGCCAGCCAACCTCTCAGGGTTTCCCGGTTATAAGATTCTGCCTCAGCGAAACGTTCCAGGCCAAAGAGACATTCCGCATAGTGGCCGCGCAGTTTCAGGATGTTACTTGTCTTTTGGGGATTCAGTGATTCCTGCTCTTGAATTATTCCCGGCCACAACTTGCAACTTGCCTCCCAGTTGTGTTCTCTATTGAGCTGAATTGCCCGGTTAAGTGTTTCAATCTGTCGACGGCATCTGGCCTTCTCATCTAGGCGATTCATTGGGTCCTTCACGCTGTTGGCGGCAAAAGAATAAGTTTGTACGCGGTCCTTTTCCAGAGAATTGCAGCAAGGTCGTCAAATTATCCTCAGCCTCATCTCACCACGCCTTGAAATAACCCAGGTGAAGGGAAAGATTGGGCATCAAATGTGCAATTGTTTGCAAGACCTGTTGTGCTTAGTCATGTACTGTTAGTCAACTAACTTAACTAAATAAGTTACTACTAACTTAACTACTACGTTGGCTAGTTAACTACCCCTCTTCTGCCACAGTTGGTGCGTAAGCACTAAATAACTAAACAGGGTGCATGAAATAGTGATAGTCTCTGTGCGGCGCCTAAATAGCACCAAGCGACTTGGTGAAAATCTCTGTGGCTGGAAGTGAGAGTCAGCGATCAGAGAGTAAGAGGTCTTCCAGCCTCGTAGATATAACTATATGGGATGTCCCAGTGTTTCTTCAGAGCATACGAGAGAAACTGCCAGTCGCTTCCATGAGATCAATGCCAATTGTGACAAAGGGTTGCCTTTTATGACTACTCCATGCTTCATCTATGAGTATATGATGGTGATAAGCCTCCATGCAACCGATTTCTTCATTATCCAATGGAAGTCTCCGCCGCCCGGTTGTTTCCAGTGCTTCTTCGAAACCATCCCAAGAGCCTAGAGCCATTTCGCCTTCGACCTTCACTACTGTTGCGCGAGCACCGCCTACAGCGATACCCCATCACTCAATCTCCACAATTCACGTGCGATCTTCCTCGTCTGCCACATTCTCCGGGAAATTTGGTGCGGTCTTTGGGTCACTCTTCGGGCTTGTATTTCTCGTCACCGTTTGGCTCTACTATCGTCATCGATCCATACTCACAAAGGGCTCAAGCCCGTCCCCAAGTAGTAAATATCCCTCGGGGACTTCAACCCCGAGGCCGACTCCCCCACCATCACCGGATCCGAGACACTCCGACCCCTTCAGTGGTGATCCTCTACCTTCTGTCGAACCACCGCCGCAGCATCCGCCTGATTCTTCTCGAGCTCAAGAGCAACCAGAACCAGCGAAGAACGCGACCCTTGAATCAGGTGATGGCGGCAAGACATCTCAGGTGGCCAATACCGGAAAGAAGAGAAATGCTGGGGGAAACGCTCGCGCAGAGCAACTGCCATTTGATACAACAGACCGCTCAGAAGCACTTGGATCGCGACCCGGCGGCGCTGGCCCCAGCCACACTTCCAATCAGCAGGCACCAACAAAAGCAGACTTGGATGAAGGTTCACTGAATCAACAGCCGGAAACTCAAGCATCCCTTCCGTCTCCAGAAGGAGTGACTGGAGACGGGCGAAACGGGCCTTGTCAAGCCTCCACCCATGCCAGCCGATTCCCGCGACCGGCGACCGGGAAATCGGCCAAAGACCCTGCTCGTTCATCGAAGTCCAGCTCTCCGCGGCCAAAAGGTCCCAAAGCTGCAGCTTCCAGATCGGCAATCGATCAGACTACTCAGCCAGCGAATGATGCAACGGCCCAGCTTCCTCCGCTGCAAGAAGAGACGGACCAAGCGGCGGAGGCCGACAGAGGACAGCCCTCTAATGTCACAGACGCTGGAAATCTACCACAGCACTCAACCAAGTTTTCTTCTCACCCGAGGTCAGAACGAAGGCAGTCCAAAGGTCTCCCAACTGCAGCCCCAAAGTCGACAATTGATCAAAATACTCCACTAGCAACTGATACGACGGCGCGGCCTCTTCCGCTGCAAGAAGAAACAGATAAAGCGGCCGAGGCCGAGGCTAAGACTGATATAGAACAGCCGTCCAATGTCGCAGCTACAGAAAATCCACTACAGCACCCGACAAGATTTTCTTCTCAGCAAAGGTCAAAACAAAGACAGTCGAAAAGTCTCCCAACTGCAGCCCCAAGACCGACTTCTGAGCAAAATACTCAACTGCCAGCTGAAGTAACAATCCAGCCTCCTCCGCTATCGGAAAAGACAGATCAAGCAGCTGATACTCTCACGTGGCAGCCATCCGATGTCACGGATACTAGGATCTTATCCGGGCATTCCACGAGATTTCCTTCTCAGCCAAGAACGAAACGCAGGCAATCCAACAACAGGGTTCGCCCACCACGGAATAATTCGGCTTACACAAAGTCACCGGAATCAAGCAGGAGACACACTGCCCCCCCTTCGTCTGCATCTGCAGCCATGTCTCACAGGCCTGCTCCTCCAGGCCACGTTGACTTCCGAGAAAGCCGTCATGAAGGCACGATAGAAGGATCTGGCGGCTCAAAGAGCATCAGACTCTCGTTGAGGTCTTCATCATCGAGCCATCGTTCTACTTCATCTGGCGCTAGTTCCAAGTCTTTGTCATCGGAAGAGGTCGAATCATTGCAGAGAGCATTTTCTCCCAACGAGATTAGCATCTCACTAGTTCATTCGGAGATAGAACGTCATCAATATTCAGATTATGCCGAGGTTCGCCCTCCCAGTGTGGTGCCGGAAGGACCTGCGGAAGAAATCCCCCATGTCCCAACCGGGCTTTTTGACGGGGAACTTTTTGAGAGTCCTGACTCAGATCTCTCGTCGGAGAGATCCTATGTCTCCGCCAACGAGCCGGCTTCAGGGGAAAAAGAAGGCTCAAACACTACTTCCGATCGCCCCAGGCCAAGACGACATAGAAGTACAGCATACTCGGCTCGGACATACCCCATAAGAACGGCCAAGGAACGCAGCCCCAAGGTCCACTCTGTTCCCGCGTCAGAAGGCGGACCGGGCTTTTATCAATTTCCATCCACCGAGCCTGGGGTGACGGTCGAATTGCGGAAGCCCACAACCTCGGACTCACCGAATAGCATGTACTACAGCCCCCCAACATTCCAATACCAGAAACCGATGCGGCCAGTCACCTATTGGTATGGCCAGAGAGCCTCGTATCGATACAAAAAGCCCAGCAAGTCCACGCAAGATCCCCCGCCGCCCCCACCGGCCATCGTCACACCCGCTCAGCCTGTGTCAGGGCCTTCGCCACCCCCGGCGCTGGAGGTAGAGTCGCCGCCGGGCAGTATCTACAGATTGCACGCTCGTCCTGTAGCTAATGCATCCAGTTTCTTGCGGTTTGTTGCAGGGCAAAGGTCGGCCAAGGTACGTTTTTAGCTGTTTTGCTTTTCCCACCCCCCCCTCCTCTTTCTGTCTTGCCTACCCTCTTCAGTCTATGAGTGGGTTTGAAATTCTTGCTGAGCCTGTTGGGTATTTTAGCGTACATTCCTTAAGCCGAATCCATGACAAGAAAACAACGCTACATGACTCGTAACATCATCAGAACATCTAGGTGCATCACTTCACAATCGACGGCTACTTACCCCAGTCGTGGGAGGATTGTGTTGGATCTTTCATGCTTCTGGTACCAGTCTTACTATCATCAAATTGTTATTCAACAATCGCTGCTGTTCCAGTCGAGCACCAGGGGCGGCGTCGTATGAATAAATTTTGTAATGGAACGTGTAAGCACACAGGCGCGAGGGTCGCTAAAATCCAACAGCAACAGGAGGCACAGCTTCCATGCCAGAGAAAGACAGTACTCGTGGCTGCTGCTGAGCTCTTCCTCGTCTGGGTCATTGATGGGTTGGGACATCCGCATCAGTGCAGAGACTCGGAGTTGTTATGGAGGGCTGTCCAAGATAGTGAAGTTCATCCTGTTGATCTTGCTTGAGTGAAGGGCACATCAAGCCACAGTAAGATTCTGCTAGATAACTAATTATAAGATATATCGGGACATCCGTATAATGCATAAGCCTTATCATATAGATAAAGCTGATGTTTATAATAGAGAATAAAAGACTAGGTTCTAAGACTATATTTGGATATCCATATAGTTATGTGCTTACATCTATTAATGAGCAGGTTATTATGTAGCACGTAGGCGGAGTGATCGGGTCAGCCATCGCAAATGTTCATTTGTAATAGTTTCAACAAAACACCACAGGGATTCTTTGAGATACCCGATGAGAGCCGGCAAGGCAGAAGGAGTGATAGGTTATAATGTTACTTGGGAGAGCACAAATGCCGCTAGCATTGTCAGCGACAGCCGCTTTGTCCCCCCTCCCCCAGGACAAACTGCTATATTATCGATCGATCGATCATCCAAACCGGGATAGAGAAAACATCCCAGCTGCGAGAAAATCCGAGCAATCTTGCCTATCAGCATTGATGCAGATCACGAGATCCAGAGCCATGTACACCGGCTTGAGCAAAAAGAGGAGGAGAGATTGTATGTGTACATATGCAGGCCGGTATTGTGACGAAACCTTAGGCCTACTAAGTTGCCCGCCCGCCTACAGAAGACCATGGGTCTAGGACCTTCACCTCTCAGGGATAGTAGTTCTTTTTGAATAAATGAATGAATGGCTGGATGAATATAATTTGTAGATAGTGGTGGGTTGCCAGCACGTGATCAGCAAGGCTAAAAGACCGAGGCTCCTGCTCTCTTCCGGCTCTCTACCTAGTACTAGTAGTCATTGCCACCTCTTTTCAGGTTACATTAAACCGTCATCTCGATCAACACTCCAGTGTGCACCAAAGCATCATCCCCCCGAGCCGGATGCCCGATGTAGAGATTCGGGCGGGCGTGGTTATGCACTGGTAATGTCGGGTCGTATCCGAAGTGGCACAGCGCATACCTCTACTGCCGGAAAAGTCCAGACGAGGATATGGAGGGGATCTACTTGAGGATTAAGACATCCCCGACGCCCCGAATATTCGGGAATGGGGATGGCGCATGGTCTTTATAGAGGAGTCCGGCCTGACACGGAGCCGCAGGTGCTTTATGGACGAAAGCCACGCTTTGACTCAATTCCAGAGCTTCTAGACTGATACGTGAGTGGGCTGGGGAGCTTGGATGCCCGCAAGCTGCTTAGTCTCCGCCGGCATCCAGGTGGGTGTGAGACCGATTGGAAGTCGGATTGTGATGAACACCTTCTACTCTGTTAGACTTTTCTCCAATACTTGGAGGGATAAAGAAAGCTATTGAGAATTCAGAGTCCTGGCCCTCGGGTGACTCTTGATAAGCGTCGGCCAAAGCATGCGAGCAAAAGCAGCAACAAAAACAGATATCATAAAATATATCCTCAGTCATATAATCTATCTTTAGTACAGCAGCCAATCAACCAACCAGTACACTATATAGTCTGTAGAATCTACTAATCAGCACAGTTGACCAGGAGTCACCTGATGGCGACTTCTCGTGAAGCTCGGCACTAGGCCTCGCCACAGGTCAGGTTTGGCCTAATGTGAGCCCCAAAGTTCAAAAGTAGAACTACTGTACTAGACTATAAGGACCAAACGCCACGAGAGTTACACCTTCCACCTGATCTATGGAAGCCTCAGTGTATCCTGCTCTGGGCCCTTCCCAGTTCCATCAATGCCGTTTGGATCAGCTCCTGCGTACTCTGCCGACGAAACTCGCGCCGTGCCGCCTGCAGTCCCTCCTCCCAGCGCCGCCATCGGGGCAGATCGAAGTAGCGTGGGTCATCCGGACTATCCCCGAACCCCCGCCGCGCCTGACAATTCTCCCACATCCGCGCTCCGGCATAGATGAACCAGATACAGGCCGCGCGCACCGCCTCCTCCACCGGTTCTTCTTTTTCCTCAAATGCGCTCCGGCACGCGTACAGGCCATAGAGCGAGAAGTCCATGGGATGGCTGAGCTCATCCGCCGCGGCCGTCAGCTGCGCCATGAACGCGTTCCGGTTCTCCCACTCCCGGACCTCGGCTGGGGGATACTCCTCTGCCTCGGGGTATGCCTTTTTAACATAACCTGCTTGGTCCCAGTCAGCGGAGGTGGGTGCGAACGAGCCAAACAGCGGCGGAAAGGAGAAAGGAAAGAGAGAAAGGGAGGGGGTCCACGCACGGAAACCAGATCTATCGGCCAAGTAAATGCGGAGGTAGGGAAGGTCGGTCCAGAGTTTCAGATCATCGGCCACTGTCGGCGGTTGCGCCGTGACCGGGTCGATGACGGGAGTCTTTTGAAGCTGGGCGACGAACTCGATGAGCTTGGCCTGCTGCGCAGCCGGGGTGAGACTCGCGAGTTCGACCAGCGGGAACATCGTAAACCAAGCATGATTGCCTGCGCCGTTTGTGTTGTTGCTGCTCGGGGACTCGTCCCCCTTCTGCGGTGGGATCTCGCGGCTCTGAAGGAGTCGTTGGACGGCCGCGGTAGGAGAGGCATCGGGTTTCTGGAGGAGCTCCGCAAGGACTTGGACCTCCGGTCGCTCCAGGAGCTCGGAGCCGAATTCTTCCAGGAAGGCCTCCATTGTCGATGGTGTGGAGGTCGGTGGGGAGTTGATGAGTGTGGTGTTGTTTTGGTTGATGAAACAAGGTAGAAGATGCACACGATGGGTACTCATTTTAAATGGTTAATGATTAGTCGATGGCGGTAAGCACTACCTGGACTAACCGAGACAGTCAGTCAGCCACGACCGCCGGAAGCAATCTCTTTGAGGTTATTTTGTTGGGTGTCCTAGTCTGGAGATCGACGGTTTGGTGACCCTTCGTATGTACAGCATGAATGCTAGTGGCCGAATCGTAAGCTGTCAGCCCTGCACCTCCAACCGGCCCCAACCGGCCCCAACCGGCCCCAATCAACACTGCCCTGATCACCCAACGTTGTTTGGGGCTGAGAATCCATCTCGGCCCTCATAGAGTTTGACTCCCAATTATCGCAATTGTCAACAAGATAATGGGGTCAAAAGTGCAGGCTATATAGGGCTACCGTCGCTGCACCTACTGTTTGCCAGGTCCATCTCGCATCAGCCCAGTCACTCATTCATTCATTCACTCACTTCATCTTATTATAGTTTCTCTCCTAGAACTCACATTTCTCCTTCTGAAAAATGTTCTTCAACCTCAAGCCCGCCCTTCTCTTCGCCCTGGCCCTCACCGCGGTCGCCAGCCCGATCGCCAGCGAGTCCGATCCCAATCCCAATCCCTTGGAGGCGCGCGACCTCCTCACCCTCGTCCCCCGCGCCCAAGTCAAGGATGTGAACTGCGGCGGGGCCAAGTTCACCGCGGCCAACATCAACGCGGCGATCAAGCAATCCAAGGTCGTCGAGACGGCGCGAGCGGCGGGCCAGAAGGGGTATGGCAAGTACCCGGAGACCTACGGCAACGGCGAGAAGTTCTTCAAATCCACCAGCCAGCTGTATGCGTACCCATTGATCTCGGGGGTTTATTCTGGAAGTGAGCCATCCTTTTTTTCCCAAAAAAGAGAGTTTTGGGTTGGTTTGTGAGAGATACATATATCATCAGAGTTTGCTAATCAAGGAGACTTTTCTTGGTGGCAGAGTCCAGTGCCGGTGAACCTGGCAAGTATCGGGTTATCATGAATGAGAAATACACGTACATGGGGTCTGTGTATCATCCCCCGGGAACGGGGAATAGCTATAAGCTGTGTGTCAATGATGAGGCGGCGGCGACGACGACGACCACTACCACCACTACCACTACCACCACTACCACCACCACAACGAAGGCGGCGAAGACAAAGACCTGACGAGGTGGGGAGGTACACTGCATTTCAGGATGAGTTGGAGCACGGTCGAATCTGATGCATTGAATTAGTGATGCTATCAAGACTGCGACAGGTTGGCGAGAGATTTTGTTAGGGGTAGAACTTGTTGGGGTCAGGATATGGCTATGCTCACTCTCCTGGTCGCTATGTCAGCCATGTCCAATATAATAACTAGTCTGCTGAGTTTCCTAGGTTTTGTACAGTTTAGTTTGAGCTTAGACCAAAAATATATACGTGGTGGTGTGCTCTATGTGTCTACCCTTACCTCACTACCAAAAGGCAAGCCACATGGGCACTGTTTCGCTGGGATGAAAGAACCTGCACATGTGAGGTTTACCATGTAAATGAGTTGTTAAGTCTTAAAAAAGGCGCTGCAGACGATGCACGCGCACTTAGGATGATTAGATACTGTGGATAAGTAGGGCGGAATTGACTCACGCTCCCTGGAACAAAGTTTCTTGTGCAACATCTGTTGGCCTGATTATATGATATCCTAGACTGTCCCCAACGATGGTTATGATGAATATGATTGATGGTGAGAGTACATCTCTCAATGGTGGACTCGGGGAAGCCCGATAGCTAACCTTGGAGCTATTCCTACAATTGCCACGTAGGCACCAAAGATCATGAAGACAGGCAGGCGGGCAGGCAGGTACCAGGCCAGTGATTACATAGATAGACTAATCAGGATCAGGACTTTTGCTGTAGAAAGGACTATCTTCATCAAAATTCATTATTTCTGTAAATTGGACCAATAGGACTCTGTCACCTTTGATCGGGCCATTATAGCATCACCAAGCTAGAACTTTGTTAATCAGCTGAATAACTTTTCCGGGATACTCCAGGCCCAACTCATTCCAATGACCATCTTCCTTGACAGCGCTAGGAATATTTCGAATCAGCTTCTTTCCCGACGAGATGCACTTGTGACCATCAAACTTACACTTTCCCACGTGGTAGCCAAAAAAGCTGAGCTGCTCTGCCGGAAACTTCGCAGTGGGGCGTACTGGGTCGGAGCTCTGGGCTGGGGATCTCTCCTGTCTCCGCGACGACGGGGAATGCGATGTCACCTGCCGCGCATTGCTGACACGGGGCAAAAATCTTTTGTATGGTCGACATGTCGCTCCAAGGGATACTGACCCAAAGGCAGGCTTCAGAATCAAAAGGTGGGCGGGTGGCCTCCATGTCGGCTCGCTGAGACGACTTTTCCCCAAGACTTGACACTTGTTTCTCCAAAGCCTCAACTCTCTCCACTATCGACATGAAATATAGGCTATCGAGCTTGCCTTCGAGGTTATTCAATGCGTTCAGTACCTGAGTGTTATCCTTCCTCTCATGTATCTTAGACTCCAGTGATCCAAGACGGCATTCGAGGATCGAGTCGACACGCTGGCAAAGGTTGTTGGCAAAGTCATCTTGGATTCTTCGGTCCAGAGTAGAGGCAAGTTCTTGCAGCCGCTCATGATTTGAGCTCGTGCCGTCCTGGATTCCCTTCAGGATTGGCAGTATCTTCGCTTCGTGGCAAGCTATTTCATCCCGCACTACCGATCTCTCGAGGCTTTCGTTCATAGATTGAAGACCCGAGGTCGCAAACGCGTGAGACGCCTCATTGGCCTGGGTTGGAAGTTCAGCCTTGTCCTCAACTATCGAAATTTGTCGATTGCTGATGGTCTCGGCGATCTGCTGTAAGTGGGTGATCTGTGCTCCAAGTAGATGGAGATTGCCCGCAAGCAAACTGGCCATTTCCTTGTCTTGCGCAAGCTCCGCCTTCTCTTCGGTCAATCTTCCGATCCTTTCTCTTGCATTTCGCAAATCTTCTTCTAAGCTATCTTTCTGTTTCTGAAGTTCTGCGCTTTTTTCTCTCTCCGCACTGGCTGCATTCGTCGCCGAGGTTTCCCATTCCTTGAGGTCGGCGACGTCCTTTTGCAGATTGTCATGTTTGGAAAGCAGATCATTATGTTCGGAACTCAGGGCGTTATGTCTGGACCCCAGGTCGTTATGTTCGGAACTCAGGGCGTCATGTCTGGACCTCAGGGCGTTATATTCGGAACTAAGGGCGTCATGCCTGGACCTCAGGGCGTTATGTCTGGACCTCAGGTCGTTATGTTCGGAACTCAGGGCGTCATGTCTGACAATCAGGTCGTTATGCTCAGTCACCTGGTCTTGCAGAAGAAGTGCCTCCTCTTGGAGCCTCTTCCTTTCTCTCTCTGCCTCCGTCAACGCCGTTTCCACATTCTTCAAGTCCTTCAAGTTGGCCCGAAGTTGTGTGATTTGATCTTCAAGGCTTTGATTCTCTTCTCGAAGTGCTCGGAGTTCCAGCGCTGTCGACTTCTTGGAATCGGCCAGCTGTGCTTGGAGCTGCAGGTTCTTTCCCCGCTCCGCTTCCAGCTCCCGTTGTAAGGAAGCAATTTTCTGCCTATCATCGCGCATCGAAGCCTGGGTCTCCTCCCATTTGACCGGGAAATATCTTATCATGTCATCGAGACTAGGTCCTTCTATCCTGGTCTGTAACCCCTCGTCACGATGCCCGTCCTGCTCTTTGGGTTGTGAACGCTGAGGTGGGTTGCTTTGACTGTTATTTTCTGAGGAGTGCGCCTGGTGGTGTTCTTGTAAACTAGAAACACGACGCCTAACGGGACCGATGCGGGTAGGAAGCCGGGTCTGTGATAGAGTGCTCTTTGTAAGTGATTGCGGGGATGGTCGAGGGGTCCGGCGCAGCGATCCCGAAGGCTTTTGGCCGAGCATCTGGGGATCGAACGGTAGCGAGTCAGAAGAGTCTTGCGAGTATTCCGACTGACTACTTCGAAGTGACGCTTTTGACTCGGACATATCTGCGACAAGAAATAGGGGCTAAGCTCGAAGAAGATAAATATATCTCAGATGCTCCGGAATATGGTTTTCCAATGCTATGCGAGGAACTGGAATTATCGAGGGTATAGATATATCGAGCATGTATTGTAGGAAGAGAACAACCATCCCCACACAATTTCGACCTTCTCCCCGGGATCACACGTCAATGCTTCCTAAAAGCCTTGTTAGAACGGTTGGAGAACAGTAGTGCAGTTCGATATGCGCGTAAGCCTTGATTGACTATATGGTTCACCGGGTGGTGGAACTGATTCGTTCCGACTGTTTGCCCCCCCGGTCGGTGGCTTGCATGTACCCTGGAAATCCTGACCATTGTCAGCACCCGTTAGCATCGGAGCGCCAGTGGGAGGCCATGTGGATTAGAGAATGACAAGACAGAACTTTGAGGGTGGAGCCACGTCAATCCGACGTCCGTCTCCGGGGCAAGAAATGATGGTGAGCGAATATGATGGGAAGTGGCGGTTGTGGAGCGCCCACGGTCACGGCGATGCGTCCACTCAACAAGCCGACTCTCAACATGCCAGTCTAGTCTTCTGTAATCACCACCTCAAGGCTGGCTCACCGGTAATCCATCTCCGTTTATCTCGTAGGTGGCGCTTTCTCTGTCAAACAACTAGCCTGTTGCTATACTGCATGTCTCAATCGAACCCGGTCAGGGAAAGTACATGGACCGTCATGAGGCCTCTTGGAGGAAGGACAGGCGGATTAACAGTGAGCGTGCTTCTAGATGGAATGGGTCTCTTACTCGATGGGGCAAACATTGTGAAGGCAGTGTAGATGGAGGGTCAACTTGCAGTAGTTTAGGCAGTTTACATAGTTCGCTTTGTTTTTCTACAGGCGTTATCTCCCCGCGCCGGAGCCGGAACACCTTCCTTGTTTCCTTCGTCTTTCCTCACGCTTGAAATTATACTCAGATAGCACCAAATAGCATCATCTTGGTCTTGCTTGATCGGCTTTCACATAACCAGAGATAGACCAGGAATAGAGTCCATGAATGGCTTTCTACTGAGATACCCAATATTACTGTATTTAGAACAGCTGGATTCTTATAAGCTGATACTATGAACTAATATAATACTTCACCTGCAGTATTAGATCGAGAAGTATATCTTCTTGGAGAAAAAGTGGGACTCGCCTGAGGCGCTGATTGCCGAGTTCAAATAAACAAAGATTAAAAAGAAGCAGCAGCGCAAGATAAACTTGAAAATGAAATTACAGAATCTTAAAAAATTTCACATAGATAGATGTGTACCCGGGATCGTCTAGATGCTGCCGGCGGGGACTTCGGAGACAATCTGGAAAATGAAAAGAGACATATATTGTAGTAAAGCCGGTTGGTGAAGAATCTTAAGACAGAGATAGAATGAAGAAGCATGTAGATTGTAGCGTAAAGGTGGAGGAATTGGAATTCTAATAAAGATTGACGTACAGATGTACCTTAATGTTATGAAATTACAATCAATAGTGCATAAATACAGTTTATGAGGTGGATCTTACACTAACCCCAATAGTCCTCCGGCAAGTGTCTCGCTTTGGTTGACATAGGGTGCGCTTGTGCAATCTATATTTTATCACAGGTAAACATCTATATAACATATTGCAGAATTATGTGCTTTGCCAATAACTCATTGCATTATTTATTTTCTTTCATAGAGCTATAGTACTAGTGCAATGTGAATGGATTAGCTGAGAGAATATGCGTAAAATCATCCTTCAAAGTGTAAAAACAACCCCGTTCTCAGGACAGCTAACATACTAGTACTGCGAAACAAAAGTTCAAATGCACTGACATGTCAGCTTCCCATCGATATTGGCAATCAGCGTGTCTATTTACTCATTAGCCATCTAAACGATCAAAGCTTGGTTTTAGGTACGGAGGTCCGCTTACCCAAGGGAACATAAATCTCGGTCATAGCCGTAGGGCTCTCGTCATACATCCACAAACGAGTGAGACTGAAGAACAACAGCCCTCGGTGCAAGGATTGTCAGCCGAGCAGTCAGCGACCACTAAGGATATGAGGGAGAAAGAAAGACAAACAGCTCGCGCTGCAGAGAGTCGCATGGTGGCACGGCCTCCTGAAGGAAAGATGAACGACTGACTCTAGAGAGAAGGGAAAACGGAGATGAGAATGGATATTGAAAGACGCTGTGGGAGAACTTGAGGGATTATATATATCCAGTGCAGTAGAGCGCGAGCCTGTTCTATTCCTCAATTGACGATATATTGCACATACAAACCGTACAGCACTTTCACTCATCTCTCAGATTACGCCAGCCTGGGTCTATCGTTTGATGCTTTCTCGCGAACTAGTTCAGCACAAAGCCATTGTATACGCCTGAGCTTGCTCGACCCCGCAGGTCTCATTTCAAACGCCGATCCTTTCAGGGGCAAGACCCACTACGACCCACCTAGGGTCACCGCTAGGACCGGATAGCGGCTTTCAGCAGGGGATAATGCTTGCCTATATATCTAGACTAGATTACAACGGAGGCAACCGAGGACTAATGAACTACTCAGTAGAATAGCTCATATTGGGAGCACGTTTAGTGCTTACTTACGCACACCGACTATATGGATGGGTGAGCGATACTTTCGCAATGTGGAGCAAAAGTGTAGCTTAGCCTAACCTGGGAGGGATCTTGCGATTCTGGTGTTCTTCTACCCTCATGCTACCTCTATGTTGTGACCCCAGATTGCTGCCGTCGCAATAATAATTTTCATTAGGATAGGACCACCCAAGGGTGTCCACCCAAGGGTGTCACACCCACTGAGATTGTGGCGCGAGGATTTGTCGCATAGGGCCTTTCTTGAAACTATCCTTGTGATGGGAAATAGCGCCGCTCGTTTATACATATCCATTCTTCCCGCAGATTAAGGCTCGGAGACTACCTTAGTAGTTTCCTGGGCTTCCAGCGTTCAAGTTCAGAGTGGGTACTGATGAGGATCGTTGGGACTGGTCTCGTTGTCTCAGAGTGGGGCATAAGTTTCTAAGGTAGGCTACTCGAGATATACTATCACCTGTACATCGGCGTCAGACCCATCGAATGCAGATGAGGCCTGATCATCACTGAGACAGTAGCTATTCCAACCAGAAGAGAACTTGTCAATTACCGGGTTGTTGCGTAAGTTTGCGAGTGTCAGGATCTCAATTGAATGCTTTGGCTACCTCTGTAGCTGATGTGCTGTGCGTAAGAGGATTGATTCCACGCGTATTCTAGAACAATGGACGTAGTTCAGGGCTAGAGCTACTTAGTAAGCATTACAGGGCGGTGCTAGCGGATTGAGAGATAAACACATGCAGCTTCCTCTTCTTGCACCAGACGTGGCCTTTGTTCTTTTGTCCCTCCACAGAAAGCAAATGCTTTGACACACCTCAATATACGATGGATCACCGAGTCTTTGTTGAACCGAGCCGGGACCCATGCCTTCACGGGATCAAATGGACAGCCATGGCCCGGCGTGATGGCCTTCCGAAGACGCCCGTCCTCAGCGTTATCAGATTCATGTTTCGTCCGGAGGCGGATTTTATGGATGAACAGCATGTCGCACATACACTATGGCAGCAGTCGCTGGTCTTCATATCTACAGTCTCTGGCTTTCAGCGTCTTCTCTGGGCTCCGATTTCGGATGAATCTCGGAGGGCGGTACTTTTGATTCAATGGCGCGATGGAACCGCGTGGCAGGAATTCCAGTTGTCTTAAGGGCTTGGTCTTCTCCTTCCTCTACTTCAAGAAGTGCCTCCTTTGAATCATAGCGTTACACTCACTCTCCCTCCGCGCTTTGCTTCGGGTGCTGGCCACTTTCTCGAGCTGGTGGAACTGTCAGTCAAGCTGGCCGAGAATGAGTATGACCCGGCAGAGCGGAGTGGATGGATTGAGGAAGAATGGCAAGCAGTGGTTGAGTCACTGGCAACGGCACCTTCAGACTTTCGCTTTCCTGGGCTTATTTGTGGCAGTGGGGGATGGTTCGAGGAACAAACGCCGCTCGAGTCCCGCGCCTTTTTGGGCCTTTTGCTCTGGCGAACTCCGCGGGATGCAATCACCTGGACTCCACATCAGACTGTACGCCACAAACTACAAGCCTTGATCGGGCACACCATAAGACAGTCCTCCTTTGTTGCAGCTTCTATACATGATTGCGGCTCCTCGAGTATGTCTCTCTCGGTCCGTTCATCGGCATCTCTCGCCTCTTACTCTGGCACGATCTTCCAAACCCAGATATCCCCGCCGCCCCAATACACCCCCGATAAGGACTTCGAATATCAAACTCGCTTTGACGTCCGGGCTCGCAAGAGGATCGATGATGTCGCCTCCCGTCATCGGATCTGTCCCAGCCCTGAGGCCATCTGGTGTCCCATGGGTGCCATGGGCCAGGTAGGGTATCCAACGTTTCAGGATTTCCCTTCACCAGCTGAAGCACCGACAGTCGATGTTTTGTGGCTCCAGTTGAACGAACAGCACCCTGAAACCCTGTCCCTCTTGCGTAATCTCCGTCTCGCTATCTACAATAGTCTAGGATTTCCTCGTCGACGCTGAATGTCACAAGCGCATCCTGTGGTATGCGTATCAGCGTTTCACCAGCACAATGTCCTGCCCCACTGCAAGGGGCCAAGTCTACATCCATCCTTCGCCTACTCTCGCCGTCCGTCCTGTCGCGCACGGCTTCCATGATGAGGTGGGATTAGTGCCGCACCCTAGTGACAACTTTCCGCAGCAACAGAATTCCATGATCCGGTTCTCAGCTAGCACGGTCTGGGCGAGTGCGGCGGCCCGGGAGGAATGGTATGCTGATTTTGCGGACCAAGCGGCCCACTGCTATGAGCGGTTGGGGTATATTGTCGACTGGGTGCAGCTTGTCGCGGAGAGCGCGGAGAGTGTGATTTTGGAGCTGGAGCCTGTTGATGCAGAGGTCATCGAATGGTGGAAGAGTGGACGACATCAGGCGATGAGTCGGTGACGAATATTGTAGTTGATCCGGTAGCGGATAATGATCTTCGGGGAGGAATGAGAGATCCTCTGTTTTGTTCACGTTGCATGTAGAGCGAACATCTCAGCCTCGTTGACTGCACTTATGCAGGTGTGTATGACGTGCTTACGTCTCTGCTCGGACTGTAGAAAGAGCGTCTTGTAATCTGGCGAGTTGTTGTTGGCCATTGATCTGCCAGAGGGGGAAATAGCTTGAGACAGCTGCGACAGGTCTCGATTGGTAGGTACCTTATCCAGGATGCCTGTCTTTTTTTACTCGCCTTTCAAGCCTAGAACTGCTTAACTTGGTGTTGAAGCAGAACTGTGTTCTGTATAGACTATTCTGCAGCCTTATCAACTTTTCTTTTTAAAGAAAAAAGAGAAACTTTGTATAAAACTATTGAAGCCCAGGCCTTAATCTGCGAGCTCTTGCAATTTTTATTTGATTTTCCAGTTTATATAAATTTACAAGTGTCTTTCCGAATAAAAGAAGTTGATACGATATAAGGATGTTGGTGGAGTTGGGGTATTGAGTTTGATTATTTACTAGTAGTCTTAAAAGCATATTTTAAAGATTAAAAAGAACAGCCGGTGGCACGGTATTCACTAAGTATATTGATGTAAAAGAAGACCTTCACGTATACGCTACTGTCTTGCACGTGTGAATGGGAGAGTTAGCCACTGTGGATTTCTGTTCGATGATTGATTATGAGACATGTCAGATATCTGTTTGAGTCTGGATTATCTATAAGGCTTGGTATGTAGATGAAGCTATTGTCTACCTGTGTCCAGGCGTCCAGGCGTCCAGGCAGCCACGCGCTTACGTTCATTGACCAGGGTCCCTGGTCAGTCACATGCCTACTAGGTACCTTATCTTTCCTTCCTGCCATCCGTCCATTCCTATCTCCAACTCTTCAAATATTGCTCTCTCCTCCCTTCTCTTCTTCCAAAATTGATCCATCCCATCCTCCATCCTTGTGTCTGTATGCTGAACCTCGAACTTCAATATGGCAAGCAGCTGCTCGCCCGCAGCGGACAACTCATTTGGACCGGTTATCACCTGCCTAGCAACTTTTGACTTCACTCTGCTATTCGAACAGAGTATTCTATCCATCGGCCCATCGGCCATTTTTCTCCTCGTGGTCCCTTGGCGGTTTCGGTCGCTCTACACGGCAAACATCAAAACGGTTGCTAACAAGGCTCATTGGCGCAAGCTTGTCCGTCGTACCTCCATCTGATTGTCATTGGCACATATGCTAACAGCTGAACTGGCCAAATGAAGGCTGTTGGGTTTTGTCTTGTCGGTCTACAAATCACATCGGTGGTCGCATGGGCGCGCCACAACCTCATCAGGACGGCCCTCCCTGCCATTGTCCTGTCGCTGGTGGACTCTTTAGACATCGCTGTCCTAACAGCCCTCGAACACGACCGTTCACTGCGCCCGTCATCGCTTCTGAGCATCTATCTTCTCATATCAACGCTATTCGATGCTGTGCAAGTGCGCACCCTATTTATCCGGCACTATCCATATCCTTTGCCAGCACTAGCTGCCGCAACCGTTGCATTGAAGCTCGCCCTACTCTTGTTGGAAGTCCAAAATAAACGCAATGAGGCCACCATTTCGTGACATCTCGCCCGAGTCAACCAGTGGAATCTTCGCTCGCACTGTCTTCTGGTGGCTCAACGGTCTATTCCTTAGAGGCTTCCGAAAGCTTCTGACAGTTGAAGATCTATTTCCGACGGACGAAGCCTTGAGCTCAAGCTATCTAGGACGAAGAATTCGAAGAGCGTGGGCCAAATGTACGATTCTCACTCGTGGTTTTGGCTCATGACATTCTCACTAAGCTTTCAGTCCTGCAGACAAATCTACCCATACACGCAGCCTGATACTTGCGACCGTGATCAGTCTACGATGGGCAATATTTCGAACAATATTACCCAGACTATGTCTGATTGGATTCAGCTATGCGCAGACATTTTTTATTCAGCGTGCAATCGAGCATCTACACAGACCCGAAACCCAAGTGACAAGAAACGAGAACTATGGCCTAATCGGGGCCGCAGCACTTATCTATGGAGGAATTGCAGTATGTGAATCCTAGTCAATTGACCGCAGAAGCTCTAAACAATTTTAGATCTCGACGGTGCATTACAAACACCAACTATACCGGATGATCACTATGTACCGAGGCGCGGCCGTTGCATTGATCTACGACCACACCATGGTCCTTGCCGATGGCCCTCACGATGATTCAGCTGCTGTAACCCTTATGAGTACTGACGTTGACATGATCGCACGGTCGCTCGAGCAAATCAGCGAGACCTGGGCTCGATTGGTGGAGATCGCCGTTGGTATCTGGCTCTTAGAGCGTCAGCTCGGTGCCGTTTGCGTCGCCCCGACTCTTGTGATTCTCTGTAGGTTCTCTCCACCTCTTCGATTCTTTGTATCTGAGACAATGCTCTGCAACAGTGTGTACATCCGTCCAGACGTATATGGCAACTTTCATGCCTGCAAGGCAGAAGGTCTGGGTTGGGGCTATCCAGCGCCGTGTGAGCATAATTTCCACGGCGTTGCGGTCGATGAAAAGTATCAAGATGCTTGGGCTATCTGAAATGCTCGCCACAACTCTTCAGGCACAAAGAAAGCGAGAGCTGAGCTTGTCTAAGGACTTCCGATGGTTAATCGTGTGGCTTAACGTGGTCGGTAAGTATCCCATCTCCTTGCAATCGCTCGAGTCCACTGACTGTAGGAAGCAAGTCTGCCTCAAATGTGTGCCTCTCTCGTCACATTCGCGGCTTTCGTTATCCTTGCCAAGATCGATCATTCAAATACACTGTCTACTGTACAGGCTTTTACATCCCTTGCGATCATCAGTCTCATCACGAGCCCGGCGCTACAGCTCCTGGCATCTATTCCGGCTGTAACAGCCGCTCTGGGGGCCTTTGACCGCATCCACAAATTCCTCGTTTCTCCTTCCGTGGATTTCAATTCGTCAGAAAGGGACCTCGAACCTGAAACGGATAGCTCCAGTGGACACGGGTCAATGGTTGAATTGAAAGCATTGGAACCCAAAACACAGCCCAATCTCGACCAAATTGTTCTTCAGTTGACGGACGCGGATATTCGTCCGATTCCTGGATCTGACTTCTCTCTAACAGATATCAACCTCACAATCAAGAGAGGCACTGTGACGATGCTTATTGGTCCTGTTGGAAGTGGAAAGTCCACCCTCTTGAAAGCAGCGCTGGGTGAATTACCCTGTGAACGAGGAACAATTACAAGATCATGGCCAGATGCCGGCTATTGCAGCCAAAATCCCTGGCTTCGGAACACCACCATTCGCAAAAATATCAGTGGTTACTCAGTAATGGACACCGAATGGTACAAAGAGGTACTGAGAGCCTGTGCATTGGAGCAGGACATCTCCCGAATGCCGCAGGGTGATCAGTCTATGGTCGGCAGTGGGGCGCTCAAGCTGAGCGGAGGACAAAAGCAGCGTCTCGTACATCACCAATTTCTATTATGGTCTCATCGTACTGACAATCTCACAGGCAATAGCTCGAGCCATTTATTCGCGAAAAGGGCTCTTGGTACTTGACAATGCTCTGAGTGCTGTTGATATAAAGACGGCACAGTACGTGCTTGAGGCCTGTTTTGGCCGCAATGGAGTCTGCCGGCAAATAGGCACGACTGTAATGATGGCAACTCACACAGGTCAGTACAGGCCAGGACAATCTCGAGAGCTATATCTGAGTCTTAGTTTAGACCAGCATTCGCATGTCGCGGATCACATCGTCATGCTAAGTTCGAACGGACGTATCGAGAACCAAGGCAGCGTGCGGAGCTTTGGCTTAATTTCGCAGCCGATTACACATGCATCGGAGGCCAGCCCGGAAACCCCAACTGCCGAAGATGAGAGTCAAGACAAGCCTGCCTCTACGAAAAAGGTGGAGACCCTCACTGTCGATGACATCGCAGATATAGCTCGCCGCACAGGCGACGTTGCAGTCTACACGTACTACATGAAGGCCATCGGATGGCCCAGCATCTTGGGAGCTTGTCTGGTTATTGTCGTGCACACATTCTCCTCTACCTTTCCCCGTAAGTCATCCACAATATGCATCCTACTATGCTAATTAGGCTTCAAGAGGTGTGGTTGGAACTGTTCACGAACGACGGTGGAAAAAAGACCGCCCAGTTCATTGGTATCTACGTTCTCCTTGCCGTAGCTGCCTCAGGGTCCCAGGGGCTTATGATATGGTAAGCCTATAACATGATCTACCCTCCGTGTATTCCTAGCTAACTGTTGATCCAGGCAAATCATGATCAAGATCGTCATGAGGTCGGGATTAGAGCTGCACCGGGTTCTTGTCCGAACTGTAGTCGATGCGCCGATGCATTCCTTTGCTGGAGTTGATTCTGGCGTCATCTTGAATAGATTCAGCCAGGACATGACCCTTGTAGATGCTGTCCTACCCACCATGGCTTTCGGGACCGTACTGAGTATGTTGGATCATTGTCACTCAATTCTAAAACTAATCCCACGTTCAGGTGTTGCGCAATGCTTTGCCCAGGTCGCACTGATATCACTGGGGTCAAGCTACATGGCTGTGACGATATTTCCGTGTTTACTGGTACTATATTGTGCGCAGAAAGTCTACCTGCGAACTTCAAGACAGGTCCGATTTCTCGATCTCGAAGCTAGAAGCCCACTTTATACACTATTCGTGGAGACTCTCGAGGGTCTGTCTACTATCCGAGGCCTTGGATGGCAGCGCTCATTTGTGGCCGAATGCTTACGCCGACTCGACGATTCGCAAAAGCCTTACTACCTCCTCTATTGTATTCAGCGGTGGCTTAACGTTGTCCTCGACCTGCTCGTTGCTGCCCTAGCTGTGATACTCATCGCACTAGCCACGTCGTTGCGTGAGTCCACCGACCCAGGAAAGCTCGGAGTCTCCTTAACTGCAATTATGGCTTTCAGTCAGACCCTGCAGGAGGTGGTATCCAGTTATACCTCTCTGGAGACCTCGCTTGGTGCGATTGCAAGGACAAGGTCTTTTGAGATGAAAATGCCTTCTGAGCATGATGCGCGGGAAAGGGTGGTACTGCCACCAAGCTGGCCTGCCGATGGACGGATCGAGATCGATTCTCTTTCTGCCTCATATGAGTGCGTGTGTCATGTCTGACAAGATAAGCCTTTGACTAATGTTCACTACAATACTACAGCGGTACCACGCGCGCGTGCGACAATGTGTCTCTGAGCATTGAAGGCGGTGAGAAAGTCATGATCTGTGGAAGGACTGGCAGGTGAGTCAGAGTCTCCGATTGCATGTGGTGTATCTTATAGCTATCTCTCACTGACCTCTTCACAGCGGCAAGAGCACCCTTGTCTCAGCCCTCCTGCGTCTTCTCGACCCTCTAAGCGGCACGATCTCCATCGATGGGATTGACATCTCCACCGTCCCCCGCAATGAGCTTCGCTCCCGCATCATCGCCATCCCGCAGGATCCTTTCCTTCTCCCTGGCTCCATTCGCTTCAACCTCGATCCTACCAGCCGTGCGGCGGATTCGACTCTGCTTTCAGCCTTGGAGCGGTGCAGTCTTCTGGCTGTGGTTACATCGCGCGGAGGCCTGGACGAAGAACTGACGTCTGCGTCCTTGTCGCAAGGCGAGGGGAGGCTGTTCGCGCTGGCTGTTGCGTTGGTGCGTAAGTGGAATCGGGAGCGCGACAGTGTGGGAAGTGGTGGTGGCAGCGGCGGCGGCATCTTAATCCTAGATGAGGCGACCAGCGGTACCGACGCTGCGACTCACGCTTTGATGCAACAGGTGGTAGACCAAGGATTCAGGGGGTATACAGTTCTACAGATCTCGAATCGACCTGATGAGGTTCAAGGTGTTGATCGGGTGGTTAAGATGCAGAATGGGCGGGTGATGAGGGGGTAGGCTTGCTTAGGGCGGTTGTACTTGGGGGTAAGTCGAAGAAGATCTCAGCACGTCTTACCTTCGCAAAGCGGGCACTTCAAATTTCGTACCTAGGTCTTTAGTAAATGGTTACCGACGCGGTATTAATACAGGCATCCAAGTAGTGAAAGAATTCCCGCTTGCCGAGTGGTTGCAATTAGGCTGCTGGAAACAGCCACCCGGGGCCTGAGGCCGGACATTGTCATGATATAAACATGCAAATCATCAACCTCTCTTTTCATCGATCCGATGCAGCCGGCAATGGGCCTCGGGAGCTGCATTGATGCTGACAGGGGAAACTGTTCGGATTCCCTCTAATCTTGGATGTTTGTTAGCGTCCAGTCCGAACACTCAATAGTATAGCAGTTCGTCTCGGGGAAGCGGAGACAAACCGGCGTTGCTGACTATGCTAGCAGCCTTATATCACAAAGCCCTCCTTTTTCGTCCACCTTTACCTCTATTTGGCCCCTCTCAACAGAGAATACCCCGGTAGTTTTCCATGGAGAAAGCATGGCAATAACACGTGCGATGGTGGACCAAACCACTCCTCCCAGATACGATATATATTACCATTTCTCACACGGTTCACTAACCGCTCTCCCCTGCCTGCAACACACACAACAGACAAACAAGAAGTGTGAAAAATGCCCGATCCTGACCCATCCGTGATCAAAGAAGCGACCATGCGCGCGCCGACAGTGACGTTCCCGCTGGCGCAGGTGTGGAAGAAGGGCCTTACCCTGCGCGCGGGGGCAGTGGACTCGAAGACCGTGGTGGCGCCGCTGCTGGAGCTGATCCGGGTAGAGAAGGCGAGGCCTGGGTTTGTGTTTCCTTCAGTGGTGGACATCGAGCATGCCCCGAGGGCGTATCGCCGGTTCTCGAAGCGGCTAGAGACTAATGTTTTGATTCGGTTCGAGGGCGGGGCGAAGACTGGGGAGGAGGGTGCCGGTGGGAGTAGGCTCTATTATACAATCATTAGTATTTGTATCTGGCTTGTTGATGGATGCCTGCGGCTAGACCGCAGGATCATGCACAGTCACTAGCATTGTAGTCATCGTTCGCACAGATCTTTATGCTGTTTATATGCTCCATTAGAAATCGTCTTTCCGCCTGCGCGATGTCTGACAGCCGGGGATTCATTGTACCTGTACTGTACAACCAACTAGATCGGCCCAAATGCTGTTACCTATAACGTCTAGAGCTATGAGCGTCTATAAGAGCCACCCCAGCCTGTTATCCGCGACCAATTGCTCAGTAAGTATCAAACTTCGCGGCGAGGCTACCAGAAACTCTCCATACATGCTATCTATCGTCACCGATCATGCGGACACCAGTACAGGACATTGAATTCAACCCATGTTGAGACATCCCCCTAGGCCCCAACCGTCTTCCGTAACCGCGGCTCCAGCGGAAACACCTGTTCTTCGACCCGCACATCCTTGTAGACGATATCCCACCGTTTCCGCAGCGGCTCGGGCGTCTCCCACACGTACTCCGGATCGCGCAGCCACAGTCGCAGCAAATGGCGTCTATGAATGTGTTAGCACAGGACACCTCTTCTCCCACAAAGTGAGTGGGGGGAGGGGCAAAGATCAACGTACTCCTTCCCCGGCTCATCCCGGAACCCATTCCGGGCATGAAAGATGCTCAAATTGTTGATGTACTGCACATCGCCCTTCTGGAAGTCCAGCGCGGCACTGTGCTGCTCGGCCAGGAAGTGCAAGGCGTCCAGGGCCTCGGCCTGCGCCTCAGTGATTGGAGGGATGTCCGCGGAGCGGGGCTGGGCCTGGAAGCCGGTGAAGTAGCGGCGGGCGTACTGGATGAGGACGCGGTCCGGGGTGGATTCGGTGGCGGGCTGGAAGTAAAGCAGGGGGCGTTTGGTGTAGGGCGATGCGGGGTTGTTGAAGCTGTGTTGTTTTGTCAGTGTCCCCGGTGTTTGACGTTTCAGTTACACTGGTTAGGTTTTGGGCCGGATGCATACCCATCGACCACCCAGTCCTGCGATAAGGTGTGGATCAGATCCGGCCGCTCGCGCGCGAGGATGTTATACACCAGCCAGCTGCTGGCGATCTTGCTTTCGCCGCCGGATGCCGCGGGGTGGAGGCACAGCAGGGAGACGATGTCCCCCGCGTCGGTGTGGAAGACTTGCTTGTCGGCTGTGTTCGAGGGCGCGCCGATGGTGCCGGTGGGCGTGGTGCGCGTGATGTCCTTGATATGCGAGAGCACGAGCGACGTGCCGCTGGAGAAGCGTTGGTCCTCCTGCCGTCCGCGGATGTTACCGACGTGCGCTGATACCCCGGCGTAGATGATGATGTTGTCTTCCCGTGAATAGTGGTCGATGCGTAGGCCGCGCAGGACGAAGAATCCCCGGCCGAGGTGCAGTTCCCTCGATTGCTGGCGGAGGCGATCGTGTAGCGCCGGTAGGGGGAAGGTGGATTGGTTGATTGCTCCCCAAGGGAGATTGCGCGCTGTGATGCTCAGGATATATTAGACAAGATGGATGGGGATGGGGATTAGGGCTACTTAGGGTTGGGCGTCGATGCCCTAACCTACTGTACCTTTAAAGCTCTGCAAGGCGGCATCAATCTCATCCAGCTCGCTGTCGGTCAAACGCACCACCCAGTCATCGCGAGACTCAACATCCTTGCCTTCCCAGACGAGTTTGGAGACCAGTTCCGTGGGAAACCCATCGGGTACTCTCTGGGGGAGGGTCTGCGTGGCCTTGCGTCGGGCGGTTCGGGCCTGGTATTTGTCCCAGTCGGGATGATATTGAATGTCAGGCTGGACGAGAGTCTCGACGGCAGCCATGGTAAACGTATGCGTGCGTGCGTGTTGATTTGTTTGGATGGGGCTGGAGTATTTGCGGGGTTCTTATCTATTCTTATCTGTGCTTACGGCGACGTTGAGAGCTGAGATGTGGTGATGACCGGGATGCAGCACGCCATCGCTCCACCCATGCATGCATGCGCGCCATTTCAATCCGGCATCTTCCACGATCGTGGGTTGCTCTCTCCACCATCTCAACGTTTCTATCCCTCTAAAAAGCCTCAATCGAAAATTGGTCGTTCGCCCACATGCTCACCAGGATTCGGCGATCCCCCGTCCACGGCTTGCGCCCGTGCGACACCTGGAAATTATCCACCAGCAACAGATCCCCTTCCTCCAGACAAAGGTCGATCTCCAGACCATCCACCACCTCCTCCAGTCGTTGGAGGTACTCCGCAGGAATAACAGTCCCATCGCCATAGTCGCACGGCAGATCTATTCACACTTGTTAGCATTCAATCGGATTGTTCGGAGGGGGCTCTGTCAATCCGTACATGTCATTCCATCGCGCCCCAGATACGGTGGCTCCAACGCTCCCAGATCACGCGTCATTCCATACCGACCGACCAACCCGTTAAACCAAACCGGTCGTCCGCTAGCAGGAGCGCGTCGAATACCTTCCGCACGAATCAGTACTGCACCCGCACTCGAAGACTACGTAGGGAAAGGACGTACCCGGAATATACTGCGTCAACTCCAGCGTATCGTCCTTCAACCACCGAAAAGTCGGAGTGAGCCTGCGCACCTGCGCTTCAACCTTGGCCTTCTGCGTGTCGCGAGCATCCCCGGCCTCAAACTCTTGTCCAAAGCTGTGCTCGCCCGCCCAATTGAACTCGTTTCCCCGGCCCTCGTGACCCGGGGCCCGGAAGACCATCTTCATGGCAAGGCCCCGTTGGTGGACCTCGTGCACGAGGTCAGGCACCGCTTCCTGCAACCTCTCGTAGACCAAGGCGCTGTGTGCGATCGGGGTTTGTCCACCGTGCGGGGCTTTCGTCTGGCAGTAGAAATGGATGTTGGACGGGAAGCGCGTGTAACGTGAGTACTAAACACAAAGACAATTTTTAACCATTCATTTTGCTTCCTTTAATGAGAATGTAGTACTGAGTACTGCAGCCCACCTCATTGTGCTGGTAGAATCGACGATCGGACGGTCCCTCGTTGGCCGTCCACACATTCTCGGCCACCAGGGTGCGTTTCCCGGCGAGACCAATCTGCTCGAACGGATGGGAGCCACGCGCTCTCTCGGCAGCGTTAACGAGTCGCGCGAAGGTCTCTGCGGAGGGATGGCCGATCCCGTGGATGAGCACGGCGCCGTGTCGCCGTAGTAGCTTGGACAGGCGTCCGGACTTAGCTAGGGAGGTGATGGCCGTCACGGCATCATCGACAGTCGGCACGTCACTGCTGGCTGCTCCATCCGGGCGGTGGATTTTCAGTCCATAAGGAAAGGCATTTCCATGCACGGTCTGGGCGCCTGGCACGTCGAATGGTTGGAAAGTAGTAGTCATAGTTTAGGCATTCATTGGTGTTTTTAAGATGATGATGGAGCTCTCTCTCCCACATCGGTCAGTTTAATACGGGCTGCGGATTGCGGTGGAGTGGGGTTGGTGGGAATAACGCCATCCCAGCTGCAGGTGAACTCATCCACTAAGACTTAACCACCTTGGCAGCTAAATTCCCTTCGGAGTGAAGCCGACAGGATTCCACGAGCTTGCATTTTCGTGGCGTTTATCACGTCATTTGCAGATCGGGACTAAGGTTTAATCAGATCAGTATATAAACTACTTTGTTCCGAACCGGGGGCTATGGCTGTACGTTCCAGGCCGGAGTCAAAATGGGCAGCGACACAATCTCCAAGGCGCCCGTCCAGACACATTCGTCTCACCCTGACGATGACAGCCTCAAGGGTGGGGAACGACTCACCGTTAACGAGAATCATGTGCTCCAGGATCGCAAGATTGGAGTTCTGGGAGCCATCTCGCTGATTGTCAACAAGATTATAGGTGCCGGGTTAGTCCGTTTATTTGCCAATCCAAGAACATTTTATTTCTTGCTAACAGAAGACAGAATCTTCTCCACCCCCTCGACCATCTTCAAGCTCTCCGGCAGTGTCGGGCTGTCGCTACTGCTCTGGGTGATTGCGGGGATTATCTCCGCCTGCGGGGCGTTGGTCATGCTGGAGTTCGGCAGTGGGATCCCTCGCTCCGGGGGTATCAAGGTGTACCTGGAGCGATCCTTCGCTCCCAAGCGCATGCAGACGTGCATCTACCTCTTCTTCTGCCTGTTCCTGCAGGTGTCTGCCAGCAACGCGATCACCGCCTCCGAGTACCTCCTGTCCGCTGCCGGGGTGGAGTCAACGACCTGGAAGGAACGCGGGCTGGCCATCGCAGCGGTCTCCTTCGCCGTGGGTGTGCACACGGTGGCGCCCCGGGTGGGACGGGCGATGCAGGATGTGCTGAGCATGGTCAAGCTCTTCACGCTGCTGTTCATCGTGTGCACGGGGTTCGCCGCGCTGGCGGGGCATCTCCGCATCCCCAAGCCTCACAACTTCGACGTCAAGACCTCCTTCGAGGGCACCTCGAACAATGGGTACGATATCGGCACCGCCCTCCTCGACGCCATCTTCTCGTACCAGGGCTACGATAATGTGAATGCCGTTTTGTCTGAGGTCAAGAACCCCGAACACACCCTCCGGATCGCCCTTCCTTGCGCCATGGGCATCATCACCGTGTTGTATGTCCTGGCTAACGTGGCTTACGTGAGTAATCCCCTATCATAATCACTGTTACGACCTGAGATACCGTAACTGAACTCCATTCTACCGGAAAATAGTTCGCCGGCGTGCCCAAAGAAGAATTCCGCACCGCCAGCGTCACGATCGCAGCCAGCCTGTTCCGCAACGTCTTCGGCGAGACCGCGGCCACGCGAGCCCTACCCGCCCTCGTAGCCCTATCCGCCATCGGCCATCTCCTAGGAGTGGCATTCGTTGTCCGTAAGTCTTCTTCTTCCACCTCTAAAATCCCTTCAAACCCCGACTCAAGCTGATCTGATCCCGGAATGTAGCGCGCCTCCTCCAAGAACTCGCCAAAGACGGCATCACCCCGTTCCCGGACGTCATGATGCAGAACCGGCCGTTCAAGACCCCAATCGCCGCGCTGATCGTGCACCTCGGGGTGACTGTCCTGTTCATCTGCGCCCCGCCGGCAGGCGACGCCTTCAGCTTTGTCGTCGGGCTCTCCTCGTACCCGATGTGTCTGATGCTGACGGCCATCACGGTGGGGCTGGTGAAGATGCGCCTCTCGCGGACCGGGGAAGGGTGGTCGTCCTCCTACACGGCGCCGTGGCCGGTGATTGGGTTCTATCTTGCTGCGAATATTGTACGTTCCCCTCATTCTAAGCATCCAGTTGCGGATTGTTTGGCTAACATAAAGGGATCGTGTGTGAAGTTCCTCCTGGTCATGCCGTTTGTGCCGCCCAACTCGAGTACGTCCAGTATTCCGTATTGGTTGAGTCCTGTCGTGGCGTTGGGGATCCTGGGGCTAGGCGTGGTGTACTATCTTCTGCGCTTTGTGGTGCTGCCCTGGCTGTTTGGGTATAGTCTCCATCCCGTGACGAAGGATTTGACCGATGGGTCGCAGGTGACGCGGTTCTTGATGCTGAAGAAGCGGCGGTAGTGGAGGGTCGCTCTGGACTCTTCCTACAGATTTGAACACAAAATAAATACAATGCTGAACGAGCTTTCATAGGATGTATAGTATTTCCGGGTGTCTGAACACCTTTAAGGCTGAGCAGCTTTGCGAAGTGCATTTACTTCTCATGACTTCACGAAGTCTCAACACGCCGATGTTGAAATACGTAGAAGGGGTAGCCATACTAAACTGGATTCTCAGAGGTCTCGTCAACAAGCGCTAATCTTCTGGCTTGGAACTCCCAAGGCTTGCGTACGCGTTATGAGTCGCATTCAGCGTGCCGACGAAACATATTCAACCTCCGTCAAGACACTAAAAGCGTCGTCCCCTCCTCGCTAGAGTACTATATGTAATAGATAACAGACGCTCAATGCACTGGCTTTTACCTCGGTAGGCTTCCAGTTTGACAGCCGGTAAACCAACCGAACCAATGAAAATGCCCGTACCGTACGCGGCCCAGGATCCGCCCTCCCCTGCCTAAGCCCTAAACGTTGATTCTTCGGGGATGAGAAAAGACGGTGACGGCCGTTCTCATTCTATCTGAAGGTTAGATAAGGTAAAGGGCGCAGGTACTCGAGGTCAAACTAGGTTAGGAAAGCATAGCAGCCTTCTACCCATTTACTACATAGGCAAAGGGATGGCTACTCGGGCTGGCAACATGCGCAGATGAAAAGGAAACCCTGCATGGAAGGCCGAGGTACTCTGCTTTGTCACCATAGCGCATACACGTAAGTGGAGATGAAGACGGAGATCATGAGATTGACTAGTGCAAGTACAATATTCTGCTAGAGGGGATGTCAAATTTACTGTAACAATTGCCTGACAGCAGACCTCCGCTGCGGTGATAAGCCTTCGTGATAAGCCCTGATTGATCTGATAAGCAGACTGTTTCTAAGGGCGGAAGAACGACATCCGCCCAGATAAACCAGATGGATCTTAAACTCAATCCCGGCATCAAGGTATATGTGCGCATCTAAATAATTGCATATATAGAATGAGGGGTAGAATGGCGTACCACAAGCCTGACTAGACAACCAACTCGAGTTCAGAGACCGCAGGCAACACAATGCTGAGGATTCGACCGTCACCATCCCCAATAGCCCCGAGTGACTGGACCCGAACTCGCCGGGAACTGCTCTTCGCCACCATTATTCTGGGCTCATGCGCCACGGGCTCCCTAGGACCCCTGCTTGTGCCAGGCTTTGTGGTCGTTGCGGCAGATCTCAATGTCAGCCTGACCAGCGTCACCCTCTTGAATGGCAGTCTTGTCATGGCCCTGGGCGTCAGCGCCTACGTCTGCTCCCCTGTTGCCAATTACTTCGGCAGACGACCAGTGTACTTATTCACCACGCTTTTGGTCCTGATTTCGTGCTGTTGGGCTGCGGTTGCGAAGTCGTACTCCTCGTTGATCGCATCCCGTGTGTTCCAAGGTCTGCCCCAATATCCAAGAACCTCTGAACGATACCAACATACTAAGATCCTCTATGACCAACAGGCCTAGGCATGGGAGGATTCTTCGCTCTAGCCGGAACATCGTCCATCAACGAGGTCTTTCACGTGCACGAACGGGGCCTGCGCGTCGGGCTCTGGAATTTTGCCGTCATCGTCTCCGTCAATTTGACCCCGATCATCAGCGGATATATCATTTCGGGTTTGTCCTGGCGCTGGGGTTTCTGGCTAGAGGTCATTCTTTTTGGCCTGCTGCTCGGGGCGGTGGTGTTCTGTTTCCCAGAGACGTCGATCCCATCGGACCGGGACGACGAGGCAGATGATACATTCACAGCACCAACGTCAAATACGGAGAAACTTGAGGAAGCAACAATCACAAGCTCCCGTGTGTCCGCCATTCCCACACATAACCTCCTCCAATTCCCGCGACGACCCACCAACCAGATCAAAACCCTGGGAACATCCCTCCTCTCACCCCTGGCCCTCCTCCTCCACCCCATCGTCATCTGGGGCTGCATCATGTGGTCCGTGACATTCACCTGGACGATTCTATTAGGTGCCGTGGCATCGCAGATTTTCACCGCGCCGCCCTTCAACATGAGCACCGTCGCCGTGGGCAACCTCACTGGGGTGGCTCCCTTGATCGGCTCCGCGCTGGGGACGGTGCTGGGGGGATGGCTGTGCGACTGGTGCAGTCGGGTTCTCCCCCCCTCGCCTTCTTCAACAAATGCCACTAGCGACCATTCCAACCTTCCCGATGATAACATACCCACGCATCCTGCCCCGGAATCCCGTCTCCCCGTCCTCCTCCTCGCCACAATCGCAATGGCCACCGGCTCCTTTGGCCTCGGCGCCGCCATCGCCCACGGCTACTCCGGGGTAGCCTGCGGAGTCTTCATGGCCATCCTTAATTTCGCCGTCGGCATGGGATGCACGGGCATCGTGGCGTACTCGAATGATGTCTGTGGGGACAGAGCTGGAGATGCGTTTGGGTTGGCGATGGTTTGTTTCTCCCCTGTCCCTTCTCACGTGCGACCATGAAAACCCAGTGGACGTACATATCCTCATTGCTCTCCTGCATGTACTCAAATTCCTCATGCCTATAATGATTGATAGTGCTGTGCTAACTGGGACTGGGGAAGATATAGATCGCCAAAAGCGCCTTCGCATTCGGACTCACGTTCGTGTACAATGACTTCCTGGCCCGAAGCGGGCCGCTGGTGTTCTTTGCGACCTTCGGGGCGCTGAGTGTCGGGGTTATGCTGAGTACTATTCCGTTGTATGTGTATGGGGAGAGCATAAGGGGGTGGGCGGATGGGAGAGATCTCCTGCGGAGGGGGAGGGGGTGAATTCCAGTCAAGATGGGTTGTGGAGATTGAGGGATGCTTCGTTTAGGGCTATGTAGAGGGTAAGGTAGGGTTGCTCTTATTTTTTGCAGTCATCCCTTCATTTTCTTTCTTTCCTGATGGTCTCACTCAGTATTTATTCCCCCCCCCCCCCCAATTTCCAGGTTTAGGAGGTCGGAGGATATTTTGAATAGAGGTCTTGTCAAGTCTTGTTGTCATGGCAAGCGACGTATCTCGACTAGCTAAGTACCAAACTAGTCGGAGAGGCTTATTGGAAGGATCAGCCTATCACTTGGCTCTGTGGAGATAGGTACCAAAGAACATTCTGACAACAGACATGTAAAGCCCGATTTATTTTCTTCTTCTTTTTTTTGTTTTTGCAAAAGTTATGAACGATGAGTTGGAGAGATCAGGCACACGTCCATGGTATAAGGCAGCAGTTCCCACCGCGTGGCAGAATTCTGTAAGTGGATTGGCGCTTGATGCCCCCATATTCAGGCAGCAGTTGCTTCCTTATCGCGTTGCCTTACGTGATTCCAGCATCGCTTATCATCCTCTCCTTCTCTGTACACAAATCAACCATTACTGCAAAATCACCTTCTTTATACCGCACTGCTATGTGTCATCACTGAAAGAAGAAGGCTCTTAAGTCCGACTAACATCCCGCCTCAAGATTTGAGCCTTATCGAGTCCCACATTATGGACTCCAATAGCTCAAATTCCCGCGTCTCGTTGGCCTGTGAGACCTGCCGCAGACGGAAGCGCAAGGTAAGAGCATCAAATCGGCCTTCGCGCCACATCTTCATAGCCCCGTGAGTGACTGGTAATGATGGCGCCTCTAAGCTGACGGGAAAGCTTCCTCCAGTGTGATGGCTTGCGCCCCGCTTGCTCGTTGTGTATAGCCAAGCGTGCAGTTTGCCAGTACAATACCGAAAAGCGCAACAGGTCTGCATCCCCAATGAGTAGTCTTCTGCTCCTATTTTAACATATTATCCAATCATGACAGACGCAGAGTTGACGCGGACTATGTGAGAGGGCTGGAAGATCAGATCGCGATGCTCAAAGAGGAGTTGCATCGATCCCAACCCTTCAACGCCGTCACTTTGACCGAGAACGTCCCGCCCGGACGAAAAGAGGCTTGTGCAAATTCCCCTGACAATACGGCAGATCCTGCTACTGTTGCTTCTGCTTTACCAGACAACATGTCAACTGCGATCGAAGACGTCAGCGCCCTCATCTGGCGCATGAGTATTGAAAGCAATGGGGAAGAAGCGTTTATTGGACCGTCGGGAAATTTCTGTTTCCCTGTCTCCCACCGGGAGGATCTGAGCACGGGTGGACAGAAGCATATGCCTTCTACGACTCTCCCTAGCCCAAGCTCCTGGGAAAAATCCTCCGGATCTAGCCGGTCGGACATACGAAGTAATACAAGCTACCTGCTCGCTTTGTTCACACAATGCATCAACCCCATTCACCAGTTCGTCGACACTGAGACTCTGAATAAGCTGCACGGCGGTCAGCTGAACGCAGACCTCACACTAATTAAGACCGCTGCGTTAGCCGCTGGCGCACTTTACTCGGATGATGCCAAGAACAGGACGGTTGGCGAGGAGGCTGCAGCTGTGGTTGACGCCATGGTCATGCAGCACTGTCGAGAATCGCCAAGTGTTCATACCGTACAAGCTTTATCTATCATGTGTTGGCGGGAGCTGGGGCTCGAGGAACACAACATGGCTTGGATGTACAACTGTGAGTGCACTGAGTGATTCCAGTGGGCTGGTCCATGTCGAACTGACAAACTATAACCATGAGAAGCAATGTGTGCCAGCATGGCTCTACACCTAGGCCTACCAGTCAGCATGGCCCAGGAGACCAAATTATCCGATGCTGAGTCCATCAATTCACTCCAAGAGGTTCACCCTCGTCACAATCAGTTGAGAGCGCTCTAGTCATCAGTGTTCATGGATCGGTATGTGAGAGCAACATCGCGATGTGATTCTCCCAAACTGATGCCACCGAGACAGAATCGCAACATCCCTTTTGGGACGCAACTGTATGCTCCCATGGAGGCGGATCAAGACCCAGTTCTTTATCAGCACCGTTGGGCCCGTACCTTCTCTAGACGAGCTAGCCTTTGACCATCAATGCCGCTTGTGGTTCATCCATGATCAACACATGGATAGAATGTATGTTTCCGCCGGCGAAGCAGGACCAACCCAGGAACTCCAACTCATTCAACTTAAATCTCCAGCTACTCGTTCGAATTCACAAGCTTGAGCAGCGCTCAAAAGTCCCACATCTTGTTGAATGCGCGGGACCAGTTGTACGCTTTTCGACGACAGATGGACCCTCAAATCCAATTGAGCCGGACCCGTGCGATCGTGCCCTCGATCATCTACCTGCACATCTCGTACCACATGTCGCATATCCTCATCCACCGACCGTATCTCAAGCAAGCCACCCAGCGAAGCAGCATGTACCAGCTATGCGTTCGCGCCATGTCCACCGCCGCGGCGTCGATTGTCCGACTCCTCCGCGAGTACCGCAAGGTCGCGCCGGTCGACCACATGCCCCCGTTCGTGGTTCACAGTGTGCTCACGGCAGCCGTGACGCACCTCTGCAATGCGACCTCGACGTACCAGGCCCTACGAAGCGCGTCAACTGCGCAGTTTCGGGTGTGTTTCCATGTTCTGTGGGCGATGCAGCAGCGGTGGGTCAAAGCGAGGCGAGCGATTTGTCTCTTGCGGCAGCTGGCGCGCAGATGGCAGGTCATGGGGGCGTTGCCTTTGCAGCACGGGTTTCCTGCTGTTTCTAATCCGAGAGAGGAGGCGCCAGAAGAGGAGCAGCTTGAGTCGGAATGGTTGCCCACGGAGGCTCATGAGGACGAGGACACGGCTCTATTTGACTGTGAAGAAATAGGGACCGCCAGCATCTTTCCGGACATCTTCCATGAGACCGGCTTCGACTTATTTGGAATGACAGACTACCAGCATGATTTTCTTAGTGATTCAATCTAGCATGTTATCTCCATTGGACTTTAACCTGCGACGCGCCACAGTTATTTAATATCCGTTTTTAGACCACCAGCTCTAAATTAGGTGTACCTTCAAGTCTCAGCCTCCTCAAGCGCGTCGGCCATTGGGATGGTTTTATCAGGACCAAAAGGTCATCTTCAAGTGGTGCGACAGTTCGCTGACAATCGGGCGGGGTAAAGCGGCGGAAGATAAATTCCGCCTCGATAACCCCGCGATAATCTGATAAGAAGCTATCTGAATGAGCTGCAACAGTCATAACACTAACACTTGATTAAGGTTATCGCCGTCTCTGCTCTGCTTGCGCTGTGTGAAGCTTCAGAGTGCGTATACTTTAACCTCCCAGCACCCAAGCTTCTAAAGCGCCCCCATACAGTACTCTACCCACAAATCCAGCAGCACAATAACCTCATCATGCGCGCCGCTGCCACCTCAACAGTCCGCGTCGCCGTCACCCAAGCCGAACCGGTGTGGCTGGATCTCGACGGAACGGTCGCGAAGACATGTACTCTGATTGCTGAAGCCGCCAAAAAGGGGGCGCAGTTGATCAGCTTCCCCGAATGCTGGATCCCGGGATACCCCGCTTGGATCTGGTAAGGCAAGCCCTTCGCCCTGCCCTAACCCAATCTCCCCTAACAACTTGGCACTCAAACCTGACGCAAGCACTCCTACAAACCCTTCTAGGTCCCGCCCCGTCGACATGAACCTTTCATCTCTGTACATCCAAAACTCCTTGAAGGTCGACTCCCCGCAGATGGCGACGATCCAGCGCTGCGCCGCGGAGCACAAGATCGCCGTGGTGCTGGGCTTCTCGGAGCACATCCACCACTCCCTGTACATCGCGCAGGCCATCATCGACTCGGACGGGAAGATCCTCACGCTGCGCAAGAAGATCAAAGCCACGCACATGGAACGGACCATCTTCGGCGACTCGTTCGGCGACTGCCTCAACAGCGTGGTTGACACCACCGCTGTCGGGCGCGTCGGCGCCCTCTCGTGCTGGGAGCACATCCAGCCCCTCCTCAAGTACCACACGTATGCGCAGCGCGAGCAGATCCACGTCGCCGCCTGGCCGCCGCTGTTCGACGCGGACGATCAAGAGGAGTGTTTGTACAGCATGTCGCGCGAGGGTACTTCCCCGTTCCCCAAGGGGACCACTTCCTTGCCCACTCAGTATCGGCTAACACCGCGAATCAATTGCAGGAACCATCGCCCTCGCCCGCACCTACGCCATCGAATCCCAGTCCTACGTCCTACACACGACAGCCGTCATCAGCCAGGCCGGGATCGACAAGATGCAGACCGCCACGGGGAGCATCATGAATACCCCCGGAGGTGGCAGCTCCGCGATCTTCGGGCCCGATGGCCGCCTGCTTTCGGCGCCCATCCCCAGCACGGAGGAGGGGATCATCTACGCGGACTTGGACCTGGATGGGCCGATTCACCGGACGAGAGCCTTTGTCGATGTCTGTGGGCATTACAGCCGACCGGATCTGCTGTGGTTGGGGGTGGGGTCGCGAGACCGACGCCACGTCAGGGAGTAGAGGTAGACGTTGAAAGGGGTGGTGAAGAATGGTGGTCAAGGTCATGTACTGTCCAATCCTGCTTTCAGTCTCCAGGGCTGGCATGCATCCTGTATTTCTTCGTCCTCAGCTCTGCTTTTTGTCGCCTGTAACCTATAAGAAAGGCGAGCCCTGATTTTCCCCGGCTACGTATATATTTTCATAATTCTCGCAACATCAAGGATTTAGCCATACAGCCACACCCGTGATCACCTGCTCTGATAACCCTCCTTCGCTTCCCCATCAATCGCTTCCCTGATATACTCTTCAAAAGAAATATAATCAAAATCCGGATACAATTCTTTCCCACTCCAGCACCCCAGGTACTCTGCATTCTCAGGAGTATTATTCCCCCTGATATCCCAAGAATAAAACAACTGCGCCGCAACGTGCGCCAGTAAGGCACCGGTATCCCCGGGGCTGTGGGTCAGCCTCATCCGCGCCTTAGCCACCTCATCCCGCGCCTCCGCCTCGGATACCTAGTCACATTACTGTTAGGTAGGTATTCCACAACAACCTTGGAAGGATGAAAATAAAAAAAGAAAAGAAAAGAAAAGGAGGGGCGGGGGCACTGACAAATCTCCGCTCAAGCTTCTCCCCACTCGACCGCTCCACCACCTCACACACCCGATTCAGCGTATAGACCTCATTGTACACATGCACCCGCCGATTAAAGGTCCGCGGATCGGCGATAATCCGCGCGACGTAGCGCCCCACGTCCCGCAGGTCCGCCAGCGCCGTCGGCACGTTCCCATCCAGCCCCAGCGGAAGGTCGTGATGGGTTAACGGGGGCAGGAGATGGTCGACGCGGCCCGAGGGCAGGCGCGGGAGGGTAAAGTTGGTTACACCCACAACCCGGCCACCTCCAGAATCACCCGCACCAACTCCGCCGCCGCCGACAGCTGCGGACTATGCCCCGTGTCCAGCTCCCGCGTCACCCACTCCACCTTCGTCGCCTCCACCATCGCCCGCTGCGCCTCATACGGCACCGCGCGGTCCTGCAGTGTGTGAATGTATGCCGCCCGTCCACGAAACGCCTCCGTCGCCCAGCTCGCCTGCGGACACGGACTCGCAAACGAGGTATACCCCTGACTGAGGGAGGACCGGGCCGCCGCGGCCGCGAGAACGGGCTCGACGTCGTAGAAGAGCGGCGGGGTGGGGTCGGCGCATTTGAGGAGGTTCTCTTCTTCCTAGAGCACAGACAGACACCGATCAGTTTTAATTCGAGGTAAATCGCACACAGGCATATTCATCGAGCCAATGGCAACGTCAGAAAGTCTTGCTAGTAGGAATAGCCAAGGCCAAGGCCAAGGCCAAGACCGGTGGGGTATACATCCAACTGGATATGAGGCGGCAACTGCCCCCCAAACCCATCAATCACGCTCGATCCATCCCCGCCGCGGGGAAGGATGCTGGCGATGAAGATCTGGCCCAGTATCGCCGTGGACTTGCCCTCCGCGGTGCGGTCGGCGGGAGCAAGCCCCAATGCGGCGGCGCTGGCGGGCATCCCGCTGTAGGAGTGGCTGATCAGGATCACGTCCTGCTGGGCTACATCCAGTAGGGGCAGGAGCAGGCGGTGGCGGATGTAGTGGGTGTCGTCGGCGGCGGTGATGAGGTCGGTGGCGCCGATGCTGGGGAGAAGACCCGTGAAGGTGCCGTGGCCGGCGGATTGGAGGAGGTGGAGGAGGTGGGCGTAGTGGGAGGGGTTCTGCGACGCGCCTGGGATGAGAACGAAGATGGGTTTCTTGGGGTGGGACATGGTTGGATTTGGGCGTTTGAGGGTGGACTAGGTAAGATTCAAGGGATGAAGGAGAAATTGAGAATCAGAGGGAGAGAGTTGACGGCATGAAGATGAGGGTTTTATAAAGCTGTTGTTCGTGATCGAGGCGGTGCCCTCAGGTTGTCAGCTTAGTATAACTGACTTTTTGGTGACTGCGTAGTGCACGCACTATGTCTGCTAGACTTACGGATGGTACCGCTCAAGCTTAACTCTGATTCGATCTCCCGCTTATGGTGGAGCACCAGTGCAATGATTTGAGTGGCTGCTTCTGCTTTAGCGTGAACTCTTGCTTCATCTCAGCTCCGGTGCGGATCGGCTTGCTATAGTGCTTACTCCGTATACTCTCTCGCCTGGACCCCAATCAATGCTCCAAACATCAGATTTTCAGCATGCCGGTGCACCCGTGTCACCAGAGTGAGCGAGTAGCTGAGAGAGGTTGCTGCCAGCCCTTGCCTATCCTGCCTAGGCACATGATACACTACAACCGCAGCGGGTAAATTAACGTGGATGAAGGAGGTGGAGGTCTCCATGTTAGGGTCGAGGACATGCCAAAAAGTGAAAGACTAAGTTCGGAGCTACTCCGCGGATGATACTGACTACATTAGGCTCAAGGAATGGCAACGGTTCTGTGGTAACCAGAGGGATTGTTCGTTGGGCTTGAGCATACATAAGGAGTAACTAGGGCATGCCGTGCCACATGACCTCGGCTATAGGAGGATCTCACATCTCACATCTCACATCTCCCCACCTCGAAAGTCTCCTCCATCAATCTATCCAAGCCGACCTCTTCATTGCTTCAGAGTGAGCACACCCGGTCGCCACGGTTGAGTGTTGTAGTCGCCACTGCTATTGGGGTCCTTGCCCTGATAGAGCAACTGGAGGTTACAAGGATCGACAGTCATCGTCTGATCCGGGTTGTTGCGCACCAAGTCGCCGTGACTAATGTCCTGAGTCCAGGTGGCACCACTGTTGGCCTTGCCCGCGAAGGGCTGGTTCTCGCTCGCCGCCTGGGGCGTCCACGCCCCGCCGAGACTGCTAGCCGTGAAGGACCGGAAGTACCGACGCCCAGTCGAGCCGATCGCCTCGACGATCATCAGGTACTTGCTCTGGCCCTGGCCGCCCTGGACGGTGTACACCTGGACCGCCTCGAAGATATCGTTCCGGGCGCCACTGAGCACCACCTCGTACTGCGTGCCGAAGTTTCCAGGGAAGTTGCCGATGGGCATGCTGGCCCGGTAGATCTTGCCGTTGTCGCCGGCGAAGAAGAGATACATGTTTGTGGCGTCACCGATCACGGTCTGGTCGATGGCACCCGTGCCGGAACTTTCGCCGCTACCGAGCTGGCCCGAGAATAGGGGGTACTCTGCGGACCAGCTGTTGACGTTGGTGGGGTCGGTGGAGGTGCGGTAGGTGAAAGTGCTGGACCCCCACTGGGTGGCGAGCACCCAGATGTTCTTGGGCTGGAAGTAGAACAAGGTGGGGGCCACGGCACCGAAGCTCGTGGCGATTTGGTTGGCCTGAGCCATGTCCGCCCAGTTGGAGAATGGACTGAAGGTCATCGACCCGTAGCTACCTTTGGTATCGGTGGTTGATGCATAGACGATGTGCTTGCCATTCCAAACAACATCGGTGAAGTCTTTCAGGCTGGTCCATCCCGACTTCGGAGTTGCGAGAGCTCCGGTCGAGGTCCAAGAGTAGGTAGAAGGAAGAGGGCAGCTTGCGGAGGCAAAGGGTGCAGAGACAAGAAGGCAGATGCCAGACGACAGCAGACCAGCTTTGGCCTTGAGGAATTTCATTTTGGTGGATTCTCCTCTGCAGCAGAGAAGGAGAAATAATGAGTTGGTATTGAAAGTCTTGGAGTACAAAAGACAACTGATGGGTAGAGGGCCGCACCCCAGTTGATATACCTTCGAATCTGGCTCAAGGATTTAGTAATCCGTCCGGAGCAATGTCTTGGTTTTGCGCTCGCTAGACAAATTCAGGTGTTTCGGATAAAAGCAGGGTACTTGGTTTCTTCTGTTGTCTGATTCTGATTCACCAAGTATCTTACAGTCACCAGCTCACACTGGCGCCTAAACTACATCAGCCAGAATCACCTGTCCACCGGACCATTGCCCTGATCAGAACGGGGTTTCAACATAGCACCGCACCAAGATAGCCGTTAAATCATAGAGGCATAATGTGCTTCGGCATTGGTTCATGGACCAGCTGCCGGAATGTTACTGCCTGGCAAGTACACGCGAAGGAAGGGGAGTCTAGACGTGTATCGTTGTGGGGTGCCAAGTCAATTGGTTCTAGGCTGATACACTGCCCCGAGATGAAGGTTTCATGCCAAAACAATTTAAACTTCGACTTCCAACTGCTAGTGACCGCATCATTGACACCTGTCAGCATGAAAGTGATCTGTAGTTGCCATTGTATCTGCAAGCATTGATGGAGGTTCACGAATGACCACATATCAGTGGTCTCTGCCCGACCTCTTTGGGACTCCGGAGTGTGGCAGATTCCCAGTGCATAATCCATCAAATCCCGCTTGGAAATGGAAGGTCTCCGCAGGAAATGCTTGGCATCGGCTATTCCCGCATACAGTCTATTCAGGGTCAAACTATCTCTGGAACCGAGGTAAACCCTGGACCCTGATGGGCAACCATCGGCAGGCTATGTGGACAACCGTGCAACATCGGTCTCCACCCCTGTAGATTCAGATGGCCTTCATAATTCCGGTGAGCGAGCTTGGCGTTTCGGTCTAGCCAGCCTAAACCTCTTCATTCACCCGTTCAGGCTAATCACCATTCGAAGTATCATTTCTCGCCTACGAGCAATGAAGTAGATATCTGAATAAGGGAAACAATGCAATATCCGTTCTGAATTGGGATACTCCACCGGTCAATTAGCTAGACCTCGAGCATCAGCTCTGTATTCTGAATCGTTCTGTCTACAAATACTGCTCCATTCCCACGTAGATGCTGCCATTCCCATCTCTCGTTTTATCAACCTCAACATCATCATTCATCCATTCATTCATTTCATTCATTCATCAAGCTCAAGAACAATCATCCCTTCTTTCCAACATGGTTCAAATCAAAGCAGCTGCTCTGGCTGTTCTTTTCGCCAGCAATGTGCTCTCCAATCCCATCGAGCCCCGCCAGGCCTCGGTGAGCATCGATGCCAAATTCAAGGCGCACGGCAAGAAGTACCTGGGCACCATCGGCGACCAGTACACTCTCAACAAGAACGCAAAGACCCCGGCGATCATCAAGGCCGACTTTGGCCAGCTGACTCCGGAGAACAGCATGAAGTGGGATGCTACTGAGCGTGAGCACAGACCTTGCAGGAAACGAGTGTGATTTGATTCTGATCAGCGGATAGCCAACCAGGGACAGTTCTCCTTCTCGGGGTCGGATTACCTGGTATGTATCCTTCACAAGACCCGACAGGTGCGCCCGCGTCTTACATCCTCCAGGTCAACTTCGCCCAGTCTAACGGAAAGCTGATCCGTGGCCACACTCTCGGTACGATTGACTCAGTACTACAGTCCATACTTTAGAAGCAAACTGAACTCGACCAGTCTGGCACTCACAGCTCCCGTCCTGGGTGCAGTCCATCTACGATAAGAACACCCTGATTCAAGTCATGCAGAACCACATCACCACCGTGATGCAGCGCTACAAGGGCAAGGTGTACGCCTGGGTAAGCCATCCCCAAATGGCAATCTTTTGAAGTCATGACGCCTTCTAACCTAGTCAAGGACGTTGTCAATGAGATCTTCAACGAGGATGGCTCCCTTCGCCAGAGCCACTTCTACAACGTCATCGGCGAGGACTATGTGCGCATCGCTTTCGAGACCGCTCGCGCGGTGGATCCCAACGCCAAGCTTTACATAAACGACTACAAGTAAGTCATTCTTCTCGATTCTCGTCTCATGTCTCGCATTCTAGCCCTGATTCTAACCCCGCCGTAGCCTGGATTCCGCCTCGTACCCGAAATTGACCGGCCTGGTCAACCACGTCAAGAAGTGGGTCGCAGCTGGCGTCCCCATCGACGGAATTGGTAAGTCGCGCGACAGTTGAGGTTGAAAGCCAGCGTGTATACAATCTAACATGTTATTCACGACAGGTTCCCAGACCCACTTGAGCGCGGGTGCCGGCGCTGCCGTCTCTGGATAAGTACCCCCGCTCGTTGGTCTTGCACTACAGCGAAACTGACTGTCCTTTACAGCTCTCAATGCTCTCGCCGGTGCAGGCACCAAGGAGGTCGCTATTACCGAGCTCGACATCGCTGGCGCTAGCTCCACCGACTACGTGAACGTAAGTTACATCACTACAAGTGACACGATCGATGTTACTGACACACACCTAGGTCGTCAAGGCGTGTCTGAACCAGCCCAAGTGCGTCGGTATCACCGTCTGGGGAGTTGCTGACCCCGTAAGTGCCTGTCTCCGTCCGGAATCACAGAAAATACGTGACATACTAAGACCGGAATCTCTCTTTTAGGACTCGTGGCGCTCCAGCTCCAGCCCTCTGCTCTTCGACAGCAACTACAACCCCAAGGCTGCTTATACCGCTATTGCGAACGCTCTCTAGTGGTCGTCTCTGTCATTGGTAAAGCTTGCAGGTCAATCTAGGTGAATTCAGTGACTGGAATGTCGTCGTGATCGTAGGATGAATGGTTGGGGCTTGCGGGTTGCTTTTATCTATTTCACCTGAAGTCATTATCATGTTGCTGAATCTTTCTCTTCTCTTATTGATCAATGCTGCGCATTGTTTTCTTCATACAAGATTATTTTACCTGCAATCCTGAGGGCGGACCAGTAGAATCGCGTTGCCTGCCACAATCTTACTCTAAGCTACGCTACCACCCCCTGCTTTCCACCCCCTTAATCGAAGCAACGGCAATCACTCACACTCTAAGTGCTCATTGTGATATGCTCACAAGCGCTCTACATTGTCACTTCGCCTCACCCCTGGAAAATGCACCTTTCGAAAGCTGTAAATTACCTACGATACTCTACATTCCTGCGTCTGCTACCCGGACTGATTAGAAACACGAAAACATGCAGATGCCAGCCGCGTGTGGCTGTCCATAAATCAAGTGTCTGGCGAAGGAACCCCCTCCCCCCCAAGCCATCGGCATTTATTCAGGGTCCGCGGCACATTAGGAAGAGGCCAATCACAGCTATCAAGTTACTCACCTTGCACTCGGGCGTCTCGGCAACCGCAAGCGATCAGCCTTGACTGCGGCGCTAGTGCATCGGGGTAATTAACAACGGGAATTATCAAGCGTCCGCAACTGCCGAAACGAAGCGCCACGGGGGGGATCCCCACTTCAGCCTTGGAAGACTTCGGCGCTAACTTGGCGTACAGACATAGTATGAGGATGATCACTCCGTCTCCGTTTCCGACCTGGACCCTGCAGTCTTAGACTGAAACAAGCGTCCTCATTTTGAATGGTCTGAGGCTGGTTCGCCAATAACCACCCCCCTTCCCAACGGAGTTCGAGCTTCTGCACCTGAGGTTCCCCGCAAAAAGAGTCGCAGAAGCTGGGCACTTCTGCCAGAATTCCCCCCGGAGAATGACCTGTTCAAGGGTCCTTGCGAAGACCTGCTAGCTACCCTGTTGGACTTGGCATGCCATTGAATTGGAGAGCCTCGAGGTTGCAGTTCTTCATTTTATCCACTTGAGCCATCAGAGGTAGGTGTCCACCCTACCTACGTAGCTACATAGCCGGAGTCTATGTGACTGTGACATTCTGAAGATCATCGCCAAGCGACGAAATGTTCAAATCGAGATCGGCAGAGGCTTTTTTCGTCGTTCCTTATATTCTCATGAGGGGGTGGATTGAGACCGAGAACTCGCCACCAGTAGTGCCTCACCCCTGTATTCATTTCTATGGTTTGAATACTGATGACACCTGCAAGAGGTGGAAGATGCTTAGATTCTGACTACGTCGGGCTATCTGGGAGGAACTAGCTAAGACCACTCGGGTGGGCTGTAAGCGAGCAGCCTGGCAAGACCGCAGGGCCACCGTCAAATACTCCTTGTTATAAACTTGGTGCCCTACTACCAGGATGTTGAGGGGGATCCAAAGGATATTCCTATCACTGTTAGGTGGGCATGGATGTAGTTGATTTGGCTCACAACGATCTATTATTCCTGCACCCAAAGAATTGTCAATTTGTTTGGGGTTATTTCTGGGACTAAGAAAAGAAGCCATAATCCCTGGAGTGATTTGGTCGTTCTCGCCCAACTGCCTTGGTCTCAGTTGGTAGGAATACCATAGTCATGATGATCGCTGGTATGTTGCGCAGTGGCTGATGCAGTATGCAAGTACCCCGCAAGCCTAGCCACGCCCCGGTTACTTGTGCTTCATGGCCTCAACAACCACCGTTGACTAACCAAGGCGGTGCCCTCTGATTATACATTGGAGCAGAAAAAGGGCAAAGGTATCCTGTTGATTCCAACTCCCAAATGCTCTTTTGCTTCTCTAGGTCTCTTGTACCCACCCGTCCACCCAGTAGAAGAATTGTAGGACGGCCCTTCCGGCGACAGAGATGTACTGTCGCGAACAAGAGAGCAATGAGTATTATGTCAACAGGACCGATAGGTAGACCCACCACCCCAACCTCCCAACTCACCTGCCCTCAAAAGCAAGGACTTCAAATATCATGCCTCGCAAACCGACTCGCCAACCTCAACCGCCTCCCAAACTTGAGCAGCACAAACGGATATGGCACAAACAACACAGCCAAACACCCGAGCAGCGTACACGCCCATCCGATCCCCAGGTTGCGGAACATGGCCGTCGCGAACAGCGGAAACGCCGCCCCGAAGCTCGACCGCATAAAGTCGTTCCCCGCCAGCACCGAGGCCGCATACTTGGGGTAGGCGTGCGCCTCGTACGTGAAGATGCTATTGAAAATCAGACAGCCGCCTATCGAGAACAGCCCGGACGCGAGGATCGGTACGATCCAGTGCACACTCGCGAAATTCCCGGTCCAGCCGAACCAGAACAGGGAGATGGCCAGACAGACGGCGCCGACGCAGGCGGACGGGAGCTGCGCTTCCGGGGGCAGGTTGCCGTTGCGGTCGAGGTAGCGGACCTGGTAGTGGGCTTTCCAGTAGAAGTAGCCCGGGATGGCGAGGCAGATTGTGCCGACTAGAATGCCTAGGAAGGCGAGGCCGTTTTGGCCGGCGTTGAAACCGTGGAGATCTTCAAAAATGATGGGGAAGGCTTCGAACCAGATGTAGAGGATTCCGTAGATTAAAGAGATGTAGAGGTTGAGGAGGAAGACGATGGGCTCGAGGAAGCTGAGTTGGAAGGGGCGGATTAGGGCTTCGAAGAGGAGGTCCTGTTCCCGCCATTAGAGATTGCTTTGGGGTGATGCGTAACGGTCTGATTCGACTTGTCTTTTGATTCAGAGGGAGGGGATAGGCTCACCTTCTTGCTCACACTCCGCAACTCCAGCTCCGACTCAGACACACAATCCGTATTCCCGGTGATTTTGCGCACGCGCGCCGCCCGCCGCGAGAGGATATTGGGCGCGTACGTCTCCGGCAGGGCCACGAACAGCACCACCAACGTAAACCCGGACACCCACAGCAGCGGCCAGATCGTCCAGGTCCACCCCTTCGCGGCGGCCGCAAACCCGCCCACCAACGGCCCCAGCACGGGCGCCGAGATGGCGAAGCACCCCCACACGGCGATCATGTAGTCGCGGGCCCGCGGGCTCCAGATATCGCCCATGGAGGCGCCGCCCGTGGCGAGCGCGGGCGAGCCGAAGAACCCCGTCAGAAACCGGAAGGCCAGGAACATGCCCAGGTTGCGGGCGTAGATGACCCCGAAGTTGAAGAAGACGAAGACCACCAGCGTCAGCACGTAGGTGGGGCTGCGGCCCACGGCGGGGAGCTCGGACAGTGGGGACAGCAGCATCGGGCCCACCCCGTACCCCAGCACGAAGAGCGTCAGCCCCAGCGTCGCTGCCACGCTGCTGATCCCGAAGTGCTGCGCCGCCGAGGGGATTCCCGGCGAGTAGATGGCGGAGCCGATGTAGATGGCGAAGGTGAGGAGCCAGATCTGCGAGCTGACCAGGAGTTTCTTGGGGATGCTCCAGTTTTGGGGGTTCTGTTCGTGTCAGTCAGTCAGTGAGTGATTGACTAGATTCAACGGTGAGATACTGATGTATGAAGGCATCCATACCTCGGGGTCATCGGGCGCCCAGGTGATGATAGTCGGACTACCGCGCTGTGCCGAAGAGGGTAATGCAGTGGCGGAGGTGGCAGTGGACGTCCTTCTCCCCACGCGGGAGGCCTGCGACATAACCGTGTACAACCCATAGGCTTCGAGGTCTTCTTCATAGCTATCGTAGTCCGAACCTGATGGTCCGGATTGCTCGGGTTTGGCCTCCTCCGGGGCTTTGACGTATGTGGTCCAGATGGAAGGGTCTTCTTCCTCGGGGAAGCGCAGGAGTCGGCCGCCGCTGAACAGACGCACCAGCTTGCCAAACCCGGTATCGCGGATCGTTTCAATCATGGCAACTCTTCGTCCAGTCACTTAAGATATTGATCCTGTGCCTGTGGATTTGGGATCAAATGGTCGACTCCCGTGTTATAAAGTCCCGTTGAGGTTCGTGACTATATCCGTATAGCCGGGCGTAAATCCGCATGACGTTGCCGAAACTCACGCTCCGGGGGCGCACCAGTGATTGTATCCGTCGGATGGGCGGTCGTGCCATCAATGCATCAGAGCGGCGGTATCTGGACCCTGTTTAAAGCTTTTTTGACTTTTGATCTGGATTATCAAGCTCGGTTCGGGCGGATTTATCTCTCACCGGTGAGGTTGAGCTAAATAAGTCCTGGCCACCAAGTTAGTCAGATTCTGTCCTGGGAGTACTCGGGATGAATAAATTCCGTCTAGATTGTCGAGATGAAGAATTGATATAATCAAGATCTACCTATGCATGTTCTTTTGTATAAGGAGCATTTGTATTCGTCAAGGCGAAGTGTGATTTTAATCATCGGTGTAGCGATCTCAGAGAGCACCATTGACAGGCTAGCAATCTAGAATCTTCATCCACCCTACCAGAAAGATTGAGATAGCACATGGAGTCGCACGAGAAGAATGTTTTAATACTTCTAGAAACGTAGGAGATAAAGGAATAAGTCCAGTGAATCTATCTCTCTATCTATCTATCTATCTATCTACTAGTATCTATGCTACACTGTTCTCTTCCAGGAGGGTCAGAGCCAACCTCCCCTCTATCTATTTACACATTTTTCCGATCCTTCGAATTGTATCGTTGACAAGCCAGACCACACAAACTGGAAATGCAAGATGCTTCACGGAACTTGCCGTTCCGCGTGCTGCGAAACAATCTGACGATCTAGTTCGCGCACTGATGCACGGTCTCAGTCTAGTAGCTTGCCCTGATGATATCCGAAGCCTTCTCAGCAACCGCATACAGAGTGCTGGTCAAGTGGCCGCAGAGCTGGAAGGGCAGGATGGAGGCATCGACCACGCGGAGGTTCCGGGTGCCGTAGACCTTGAGCTCGGGGCTGACGACGCCGCCCTTCTCGCGGGGCAGCATGCTGTTCGTGCCGACGGGGTGGTAGTTGGTGCGGTCTGGTGGTCGGTGAGGTTAGCAAGCATTCTACAGAATATTTTCATCACTCTACAAAAGGGAGAGTGGGAGAGGGGAAGGTTGACAGCGGCAGGAAAAGCTTACAGGTCGACTCAATCCACTTGGTCCACGTAGCGCTGGATGCATTGGCTGGAAGCATCGCGAGGCCCGGGGAGACCTCCTCGCCCACCAGCCCGCTCAGCGGGGCGGTCCCCAGCGCCTTGCGGATGTACTGCGCCACCGTGATCTGTGCCTCGGCGTCCTGGGCGAACATGAAGTAGTTGGGGTTGATGGCAGGGAGGTCGGAGGCGTTGGCGGACTGGATGTGGACACTGCCGCGGGAGAACGGGAGCAGGGGCCAGTACTCGATGGCAAAGGACTGCCCGCTGGGGGCAAATACGACCTCCGTGTAGGGCACCTGCTCCTCGAAGATCAGATCGTACTGGCGCTCGAAAGCCTCCAGGAGATTGGCGGCCTGGACGGCCCCGTTCGAGGCGTTGGCGACGGTCTGCGCGTAGCTGGCGAGCTGGGACTTGACGTAGGTAGCCAGCGCCGTGGCGTTATCCTCGCCGTACAGCTGGTTGACCGATGGCAAGACTGAGAAGGTGGCCAGGCCGGTCAGGGTGTCGACGCCGTCCCAGGTGAGGGCGTTGTTGGTCTGGTCCTGCAGGTTCTCGCCAACCGTGGTCAGGTTGACCTTGACGGGGATGTTGTGCTTGCTGAGGAGGGTCGGGTTGCCCACGCCCGACAGCTCTAGAATGGCGGGCGAGCGCAGCGCACCGGCCGACAGGATGACCTCCTTGTCTGCGTAGATCGCCTGCGTGCCGTACTCGTTGGTGACCTCGACTCCCACGGCCACAGCCTCCTCGCTTTGGGTGGTGTTGGCCCAGATGACCTTGTTCGCGCGCGTGTTGGAGATGATCTTCAAGTTCGAGCGGGCTTCATAGGGCCAGTAGTAGGCGCGGGCTGCGTCTTCGCGAACGTTCATCTCCCGGTCCAGGGTGTCAGGGTGGACGGTGAATCCGACCATCTGGCCCCCCTCCGAGTCTGGGTTGTACTCAACGCCCAGTTTCCCAAAGGTCTGCTCCAGAACGGGAAAGACGCTGCTGTTGGTCATGGATTTGGGCCAACCGACCTTCAGAGGGCCGTGCAGGCCATGATAGCTGGCATTGTAATTGGCTCCGTGGGCAATCTGGTCCTTGGTGGGCACTTGGAAGGCCTCCGATTTCTTGTAGTACTGCAACAGTGTCTCCCAGTTCCAACCTTCGTTTCCGAACGTCTCCCAGAGATTGATCTGCACGTCCTGGGCTCGGGTATAGGACATTCCTGCGTGAGGGAGCTGGTCAGTACACAGCATTTTTTTTTGTTTTTTTTCTTTCTGACTTGTGTTTGCGTTGGAAGGAAAGAAGACAAGCCTACCATTGATAGTGCTGGTACCACCCAGAGCCTTTCCAGCACGGATCGTCTGCTTCAGACCCCCTGCGTAGGTCTGGTTCTCAGTTTGGTAGGCCCAGTCAACCTGCGTGCCGAATGCGGTGCTGTAGCCCATAACATTCGACACGTTGAAGTTGTTCAACGCGGACTCGCCGGCCTCGATGACTGCCACCGTGACATTTCTCATCTCCGAGAGGCGGTTGGCCACCACCAAGCCGCTGGTGCCTCCACCGACAATGATGAAATCATAGTGAGCGGGCGAGCCAGTATGGGACTTGGCCGCCGCGCCTAGCGAGAAGGCCGCAAGAGCAAGAGAGGGAAGAAGCATCCTGGCGGTGAATTGAAGTGATGATAGACACACACCATGATCAGACGTCAAGATCCGTCTCTTATACATAAAACCCCGGTCCCGACCACGTGCCTAACATTCATGAGGGACCTTATCAAACTCATCTGCAGGCACCAGGCACCGCCTCCGAAATGCCATTCTTCACGCTTGGTAAGACTGACCACTTGCTTAATCAAGCCTTAACAATCTCAACCGCGCGGGACGCCCCGTATAAGAGTGGATCCTAGACATGATACTCAGCCAATCTGAAGTCTCCGGCCGTCATTGCTCATCCATACAGATTGATTTACGAATCCCTTAGTCAAAGATTAATCACTCAGGGTCTCCGGGCCAAGACGAGACACCGGTATAATTCCGCACGGCATGCCGATTTGTCAGGCCACGTTTATTGTGAGTGCATCGGCATTCCGAAAAGCGAGGTTTCAGAGAGCACAGCGCTAGTTGCAAAAACCAAATAAATTAGTCAGGGGATCCTAGAATGTTCTACACTACATTAGTGTGGATGTGCGGGATAATAGATCATTCAGCATACATAACAAATTCACAACAGTCAGAAATCTGGTCTGGTGAATTCACTTTTCCGGGTACATGCAGTTGTTCTCTAATACCTGCCTTCTCCAAAAAGAGAAGGAATAGATAACAAACAGACGAAGGCGGACCAAACCACGTTACTTCAAGTCATGTTTTGTCGATTTAAGTACAGTTCTTGCTCCTTGGTACAGTAGACCGCGTCTACTGTCGTTGTAAGGGGGGGTGGGGGGGGGGAAACATGCAAGTGGAAGGACAAGCTCCCTACTATATTATTTAGGCCTTTTCTAGACTCTCGTATCGCAGCGCCCGAGCAAAATAGTACGCGTATCTTTGTCTATGCTTCTCACAAGTCTCATTGGTTCATATATTCTTGATTACGGGATGGTATCTGTTAGTTATCGCATCAAGCCTAGTTTGCTATGTGTATAGCCCACGAGCCAGAAAGTGCTACAATCATACATACCTGTCTGCTATATTTACAAGTATGCAGTTGCTGACTGAATTATTCATGTCTTAGTTGTATATTGTATAAATGAGTGCAGGGGAAGGTAAGACACGCTCATGCTATCTAGGCGTGGGCATGGCGGCAAGTTGCCATCAAATAGTATCAAGCCAAGCAGATCTCAACCTTCTTATGCTACAATGATTAGAAGATTCATCTCATGAATTGAAACATAAATCTAAGTAACAACATATGTAGGGTTTGGCCATCCACCCTCGAAGCAATTGCGGCAGCACGGATCAGCTGACCTATACTACGGCGATGGCAGTGAATGTTTTTTGTCTAGAACTTCCATTCTACCACCCTTTCCTTTTTCTTTTTCTTTTTCTAATTTTTTTTTCTTTTTTTCCCCTTCTTGTTCTCTTCTCATATTCCTTGCTCACCCCCGTGATCAAAGGTTGTTGCTCAATTGTGCGATGGTGGTATGATTCCCGCGGTAAATCCGCAATCCACGGAACCAGCCCTCCAATGCAACCTGCACGACCCTTGGTTCACCAGTTCGGCAGATATTCACGTCATGGAGATCTTCTGCAGCATCATAGATGTAGCTTAATTCAGCCTAATTATGGCTCAGCCCTTAGCCCCAGACAGAAGACCGTGACGTCCTCGAAAGGACGTATTTCCAAGTTCTGTGGTCCGTTCTCGACTGCGGACCCTCCCGATGCTGCAACGAGGGCCCTCACGCACACAATTTGAACCAGACTCTGGACCAGTGACTTGGAACCAAGCATTGAATTTCCAGAAAGGTCAACTTGGAGCGCCCTGGGGCAGGAGTGCGGAGTGCAGTACACGTAAACCATCCACAACCCCGCCATGCGATGCATGACATGATATCACTACTCACCACTATATATACACTTACATGGACGGAAGCCCCCAGGAGTTAGAACATCCATACTTGTTTGTGAATTGATTCCCACCTTTACTTTATTCTCGATTTTAGCCCACGTTGATTACCCCAATCCTTTCTTACAGAGATAAGCTCTTCACCATGGCGCCCCGAATTGCCATCGTCTATGTATGGTCCTCTTCCTTGCTCACCAATGGCTTCTCCCAATCAACCACACCTCAACTAATCACTGTATATGATAATTCTAGTACTCGATGTACGGCCACATCGAAAAACTAGCCCAAGCCGAGCTCAAGGGCATCCAATCCGCAGGCGGCACCGCCGATCTATACCAGTAAGCATGCCCATACCACCCCAAACACCACACCCACGAGACCCTTTCCTCATGCCCCATGCCCCCATGCCTCCACCCCCAACCCTAACACCTGCTCCAGAATCAAAGAAACCCTCCCCGACGAGGTCCTGGCCAAAATGCACGCACCGCCCAAATCCACCTCCGTCCCGGTCATCGAAAAACCCGAACAACTCCTCGACTACGACGCCGCCCTCTTCGGCATCCCCACGCGCTACGGCAACTTCCCCGCGCAGTTCAAGGCCTTCTGGGACCGCACCGGCAGCATCTGGGCCACCGGCGGGTTCTACGGCAAGTACGCGGGCCTCTTCGTCTCGACGGGCACCCTGGGCGGCGGCCAGGAGTCGACCGCCATCGCCGCCATGAGTACCCTCACTCACCACGGGTTCCTGTACGTGCCGCTGGGCTACAAGACGGCGTTCCCGCTGCTGGCGAATCTGGAGGAGATCCATGGCGGGTCGGCGTGGGGGGCGGGGACTTTTGCGGTTTGTCTTTCCTTCCTGATTGCTCGGTTGGGTTTGCGAGGGAGTGGTAAGGGGTTTGGATGATTGTGTGCTGATTCTTTTTTTCGACGGAAATCTAGGGCGCGGATGGGTCCCGCCAACCGACGGCGCTGGAGCTTCAGATTGCCGAGACGCAGGGGAAGTCGTTCTACGAGCATCTCTCCCGCGTGAATTTCGCGTGACTACATGATAGTTCGACCAAAGCGGAGACCCCTGCCCCTGCTGGGGGGCAGCAGCGCGATACGGTGAAGGCGACGCAGCCGGAGAGGGCTGTGCAGCAGGGGGTTGGTGGTGGTGGTGGTGGTGGAAGTGCTCAGCCTGCTCAGCCAGCAAAGAAAGAGGGTCCATGCGGGTTGCCCTCCAAGTGTACTATGATTTGATTGCTTAATTTATGGTCTGGTCGTAGCTAATGTAGGGGAAGGTTTGTGACTTGCGTGAGTTGCTTTATATAGTTTATACATTTATAGGTGTCGTAATCTTGATAATCCATAACATACCCCAAAAGAAAAGGCCCTCGACAAGGTCTTTACGTCTTTGAGAGCTGGAGTAGTCTAGGCTACCACCATACTTGACGGATGGAACAACTCCGTCTTCCTTATAATCGCAATCTTTGCCAGACTATAATCCTTTAGCTAATTCTTATCAGTCTCCTGATGCAATCCACACTGCAGGGTAACGAGAGAAGATCAGGTTTCTCTATAGGTCTGTTTGTAGAGTCTGCTAGAGCCTTACTGTCTAGAGGTCGATTGACTTGAGGGGTTCTCCTCTCCGGCTAGGCAAGATACCATTGGGCATATACCATATTATGAGAGCATTCATCCCGGGAGCTGGCCTTAGACACTACCATATGCGATAAGATCTCTGCGCGGACGATCTTCATTGTGAGGTGCTTTCTAGAAACGATTGGACTGGTGTCTATGGTGCTGTCGGCCGTCCTCCTGCCGCAGAACATATCGAACGACTACCAGGGTTCCTGCGGTGCTGGCGATGTGGAAAGCCACGGTATACTCGTTCATCATCGGCGCTTTTTGCAGGTGAGAGGGTCGACGATGCTGTAGTGTATCATGCTGGCGATGTTGATTCGGGCGCTGGAGACCTGGGGTTTGCTTGTATGCCGAAGCTGGGGTATCATCTGGCGTTGTACTTCGGGATGTGATTGCAGACGGTTGAAGGTATGTCATGAGGTCAGTTGCAAGAGGAGACTGTGGTTCAATATGGTGGCGCATGCGAACCTTCTGGACGAGCTATATCTAGCAAGCAACGCATCAGACATGTTTCTGCCTTCCAGCCAAGTCAGCCTAGGTGCTCACTCACGATAAATAGTTCTCGTCATGTACTCTTGACAGTATCTTGAAGAAAACACCAGAGCACAAGTAAAGTCGACTTCGATAGGTCATCTATCGTCCTCTAGGCTTCAGTTTCCCGCCCTGCAGGTCTAATTCATGGCCCATATCAGCTAAAAGACCTTTCTCTGATACACTGTAGAAGAGAGTGCAAACAACGCGTGGCCTGATATCAGAATCCGACATCATTCACTGTAAAATTCGCTTAACGTGCCAAATCCGGCCGGTAATCTCTTCATCACATTCACTGATTCCCTAGATCCTCACGGACTGGGCTATAAATATGACCTCTATCACCACCGATCCCCCTCCTTCTTTCTTCCTCACCACCCTCTCTCTCTTTCATCCTCATCCCTCCTCTTCTCGTCTCTCCTTCATCATCCCCATCGATCATCGATCCTCTCTTTCGATCCTTTCCATCTGATATACTCAGTCTTTCCTTCACGATGCTCTCCTTCAAATTCATACTCCTACTCTTCTTTGGTCTGTTTATGCAGACTGTCCTGGCCACCTCTTATGGTCCTGTTTCCGATGTTGTTACTCTTCGTGACGACGATAACGCGTCCCAGGCCCCTGGAAATGGATTTGTCACGGCTGTTTCTGACTTTGGTGATGATACCTCTGGCAACGGTCTCCATGAGATGACTACTGGTACCTCTTCTGTCGATACGCTCCCGAACCGCAAGCCTGTATGTCTCTTGCCTTTGACAGCACACCGATATCAAGCTAACATAGACCAGAAGGGCTGCTGGGGCATGTGCTCCCCCTCGGACATGTGTCTCTGCAGGAACAAGAGCGTCCGGGTGTATTGCTACTGTGAAACCCCCGGCAAGAAGTGCAGCTGTGGGCGTGACGCGCTGGCTTCCAGGGACGTGATCGAGGTTGATGCAACGGATACTGTCGTTGATGAGGGTACAGTTACTGATGCCGGTGTTGGTGGTGCTGATATCTCTGATGCTGTCCCCTCTGATGCTGTCCCTTTTGATGCTGTCCCCTCTGACGACCCTACCTCCGAAGACATCGACTCATCCGACGAAGACACCTCACCCATCAGCATCCTCTCGAACAAAGGCGTAAGCCTCCTCCCCCTCCTACATCCCCATAACGAAGACACAAGCTAACACACCGCCAGAAACAACAATGCCACGGCAAGTGCACCAAGTGCCTCGGCAACTGCAAGGACAAGTTCCAGTGCCTGTGCAAGGGACGCGATGTCGTCGCCCGTTGTGGATGCGAGAGACTCGGGGAGAAGTGCCAGTGCAAGGGGCCGTGGCGTGCGGTCCGAGGCGTCACCTCTGTCAACAGCACTACGGCCGATGAATTGGAGAGTGCTACACCTTCTGTGGATGTAGCTGCAGACGATCTCGACGGTGCAGCAATCCCAGTCCCCGGTGTTTCTCTCATCAGCGACAGCGAGCTCATGGAGTCCAAACCTACAGTCAGTCTTCACCCTGACCCATAAGATTGTGCTACTAATGCGAGTGAGTGCAGACCTGCCACGGCGTGATGTGCTCCAAGGACGGCAAATGCCACTGCAAGCATGGGCCCTATAACATCGTCTGCCCCTGCCACCGACTCGGTGCTCCCTGCTACTGCAAGAACTGGCGCCGCGATGATGATGATGATGATGTTTCTGGCAGTGTCGACGCGGCTGTTGCAGAGACCGTCGATACCACCTCCCCTGCGACTCCTGTGGCTGATGACAACACCCCCACCCCTGAGGACGAAGATACAGAAGCGTCCTCGCAACCTGGTTTTTCGCACGCCGTGAACGATGAATTCTCCACCCTGCAGCGCGTAAGTCAGGATCCAAGACACCAAATCGTCCACCACCACACACAGTCAGATACTAACCAACCCCCCAAACAGACCTGCTACGGCACCTGCAGCCGCAAACACAAATGCAACTGCCGCGGCAAGACCTGTCGCTGCCAGATCCCCGGCGAGAGCTGCAAATGCGTCTTTCCCTTCCTGCCCCCGAGGGAGCTTGAATCCATCCCCACATTCCCCGGTGATGAGGCCGAGGCGGAGGTAGATGATACGGTCATCACCTCTCCTGCCCCCATCGAAGACATCGCTACCTCGTCTGCAGAGGACACGGTCATCCCCTCCAACATCAACGAAATCACCCCCCAAGAAGACAAACCCCTGAACCCCGAGGAAGACGCCACCGATACCGAAACCGCAACCTCCCCCATCGAAACTGAAAACTCTCCGCTCCTCGCGCGTGGCGAGGTAAGCAGCCCCCCAGCCCTACCCTCTAATCCCCCCCTTCCCAGTCCACACCCATCACTAACGCGATAATCACGAAACAGCCATGCTGGGGCGTCTGCGACAAATACCGACACTGCTACTGCGGCCACATCCGCACCAACTGCAACTGCTCCAAGCGCGGCCACCGGTGCTACTGCGCCTCGGGCCCCAACGATCTGCCGCCTGGGATGGGGTCGGGGGTTACTTACTGATTCCATCCATCACAGAAAAACACTTGGACTGGAGAGGGGTTTGGGTCCGGTTTGCGCTTGGACTTGGACTTGGTCACGCTTTAACCTTACACACTTGGTGCTAGTAAGTTAGAGATGCATTGGTCTGGGTTGCGGCGTACTGTTCGACTTTCAGAATGATGCTAACCGTTAGTGTACTTGCCCTCTGGGGCGTAGGGCTTACAGTTCCCTCGATCGTCAGATGAAGATTCAAGATTCCTTGGTGTTTCTGCGTTTTGGCCTCGATACGATATGGATGATATTTTGGCGGAGTGGGACAGTGTTGACTTGGGTGTCTGGACCAAATCTGAGTGTTGTTGATGAGGTTGGAACTGGGCTGCACTGTACCTGGACATGCAGTAGGTGATATTTGCTATTCTATTCTTGGCTTGGACTTTTGTTCTATGTCAAATGATGATATGATAGGGGATTTACCTGAATTGAAAGTTTCTGATGCTTTGCATCGCATGACCGAGTGCAATCATACGAAACAGCGTCGTGTGTGCGGAGGCAGACCTTGATTCTTCTGCAGTTTCTGCTTCGCTGGGGCATGAGGGTTTACATTATGTTTGTCTGCTTCTAGCCGGATAGTCGTTAAGGATGGTCATCATCTAGGTGATTGGAAACTGCAGGAAGAAGTAGGGTGCTCGTGTCAGAGGTAGATGATTGTAAATTGCCATGACTACTTTCAACTAGTCATGATGATCGATTGTAGCGCCAAAACTCCCCCCTTCCCATACCATACAGTACACGAGCGATGAAGAAGTCGAAGCCGAGAAAAAGAAACCAAGGGGATATTTTGGACAAACCCGCAAACATTCAACAGAAAAAAAGGAAGCCCGCAATTCGAGACTCTGAATCCGCCTGCACGCAGCAGATAACAACCTCTGGTCAGACCAAAGGACGAAAGAGGAATCGTCGAGATTCCAAGGGAGATGCATCACGACGGAACAGCCTCCGAATCATCCTTGACCTCCACCTCCACCCCCTCCGTCGACTCCAGCGGCTCCGGCTGCACCTCCCCCTCCGCCGCCGGCGGATCCAGCTCCATCCCCGCCAGCAGCGCCCCTTCCTGGCCGGCTATCGTGCGGAACAGGCCCAGCTCCGCCTCGACCAGATCATCGAAGATCGCCTCCTTCTCCAACCAGGCCTCCTTGCGCTTGCCCAGGATCGTCTCTCCGGCCGCCCGCAGCTGATCGCCTTCCTTGCGCGCCCAGTGGATCTGCCGCAGCAGCAGCCGGTACAGCTGGGGCCCCTCGAGCAGCAGCTCGTGCACGTCGAACCCCTTCTCCGAGCCCACGGGCGGCACGGACAGATCCTCCTCCGTCTCCTCGGTCGCGCTCTCGCCGTAGTCGCCGAACGGCTCGGCCCCCTTGGGCTGCGAGAGCTTCAGCTTGATGCGCTGCACCTTGCCCGCCGGCGTCCCCGTCGGGGTCGGCGCGGCTGAGGAGGAGGCGGCGGCCGCGACCGCGGCCGCCGCGGCGAGGGTGGTGTGGTGTTTGGGGACGGGGTCCGACGGGCGGAGGGCCTCGGTTTCGTGGACGGTGCGCATGTGTTTGGCGAGGGCGTCGGAGCGGGTGAAACTGCGGTCGCATTCTATTACGTCGGTCAATTAGTACCAATGCCATTCAGAAGGGGGAACCTAGGGGGTTCCTCTGCGGAAAAGAATGGATCAAGGACGAACCAGGCAAGGCGCAGTAGAACGGCTTCTCGCGGGTGTGGCTCCGCATGTGGGCGCGCAACGCATAGCCACTGGCGTGCGTCTGCCCCTTCCGACTGCAGTCGGCCCACTCGCACGAGTACTTCTTCTGCCGGCTGCCGACGTGCTCGTCGTGGATGTGCTTGACCAGCCCGTCCATGTTGCCCAAATCGCCGGCGTCGCACCCGTCCCAGCGGCACACGGTCACCTGGTCGTTGGCCTGCCCGCTGTAGTCGTCGTCGATGCTGCCGCCGATCAGCGCGTACGTGCCGGGCGAGTTGGGGATCTCGCCCGAGGTGTCGGAGGAGATGGAGGTCGAAGGCGAGGGCGGCGGGAGGTCGTCTGGGAAGGTGGTCGAGACCGGGGTGGCGCGGTCCCAGGAGGTGACGCCGCCGGTGCGACGGCGTTTTGAGGGGGGCATGTTGGAGTTGGTGACGGAGCCGGAGGGGGAGAAGGGTTGCTTGAGGTCGTCGCGGTCCGACATGTCCTCGTCGGAGGCGATTGAGGAGAGGGGGGAGCCCGGTGATTCTGTCATTGTGACAGATGGAGGGTGGAGGAGTGGAAGTCAGGTGATGTTTCAAGTGATGACTTTGGCGACAGGGATAGAAGTGAATGCAGGTGATGGTGGTGGTGGTGGTGGTGGTGGTGGTGAATAGATTATGGATGTTGTTTGGGAGACGGAGAGCAAGAGGGCGCGGACGGAGGCCGGAGATTATGCGATCGCATCTCGAGTATACCAGTTTGGTAGGGCACGTGACCGGCCATCGGCGGAGGAACAAAACCTGGCCACTGCCTTCATTTCTCCTCCTCTTTTCTTTCTTCCGTCTTGCTCGGTGAACTGCGCAGACGCAGTGCAATTTCAAGAGATTCGAATAATCTCTTACGTCCAACTCACCTCTATTCCGAACTAACAAGAAGTGTAAGTCTGGCTGTTCATCCTCCCTGCCACCACACCACCACACCATCACCACACAACACAATAACACAACAACCCCGATATGATGAGCAAACATGAAGAATTCTGCAATTCGGACAGTCTCCTAATTCACTGTGAGATTGGATGTTGACTCTTCTACACTTGATCTGATCTATCGATTCATTGCTTTTCGCTATTCAAGCCCCCAAGCTCCGTCAACACGAAGCTGACAAGCCGCTTATCCAGGTATCAAACAACAAATATCAAACATATCTCATCCAAGCCATAATACCATTATTCATGCAATCTCAAACTTCATCCCAGTCCATGTGTAACCATCGTAATCAGCATCACCCCCGGTATCCCCCGCCAGATTCCGCCATCCCCGCCAGATTCTCAGGATGACCTAGCTGACGTGCTCCGGGTAGCGTGTGAAGTACCCGGGGGAGGAAGGTAGAGCAGGTTATTCTCCAAGCTGTTGTAGAGACAAGCTCCTCTTCCAGTATCACTCTACACAAGACACAATAATCTTACTAGCTGTGGCTCGAGCCAGCTCACTTCTGGTAATATAATAAATAATCCCGAACAAGCAATGTCAAAACAATCATCAATGGTAGAGCAGATTGCCCCCAAGATCCCATCATCAATCCGTCATCAGTAGGGCCGCACGCATCACAAAGCCACGCATCAAAAAAAGACCCCCAAACCACGGAACCACAGCACCCAGAAGTAAAATACATCAGTCCAAGACGGACACGTCTCGAGAATTCATCAAGTCATAAGTTCATCATCATATCATCGCACCACACACATCCTACGCACAGCACCATCCAACGGGGCTGACCCCCTTTGTATCAGGTCTTCCTCCTTCCACAGGCAATCAAGCATACTGCGCCATGGGCACCCGCCCCGACCGCCCCGCCGACCGGGACCGAAGGCTCGGGGTGGATCCATACTCGGATGGATGGTGCTCCTCGATCTCATCCGGGTACATGGTCCGCGATTGGTGATGGTCATATCCTGTGTGGCTTTGCGCGCGCTGATGGCGCCGTTCGCGTTTCTGCTCGCACTCCTCACGCAACTTGTGGCGCTCCTTCCGGAGCTCAGCCGCATGTTTCCATTCTTCCGCGGCGCCTTTGATACCCCAGGCGGCGATGCCCACGCTGGCCACATCGCCGAGATTGGCCTTGAGGCGCCGACGGCGCGCTTCCTCCGGGGTGATCTCGCCCTCACGGAGCTGCTCGGCTCGTTTCTTGTGTTTTTCCATGTTTTCATAGAGCTCATGGGCGGCGTGGATCGTGGCCACGGTCGCCAGGCCGGTCTTGACCAGCGTCTTGCGCGTTAGTTTCTTCTGGCGCTTCTCCTCATCGGTACTGCTTCCTAAGTCAGAGTCACAATCCTCGGTGCTGTTGGAGTTGGAGCGGGGCTCATCCGGGGCACGGGTACGGCTATAGCCAGCTTCGTCGGCGTGAACAATTGGTCGACTCACATCTCTTGAATGCCGGGAGCGCCGCGGACTTCGGTGACGGCGATACTCATAGTCGCTATAGTCGTCGGGGTAATCATCGCGACGGGACGAGCGGCGGCCATCTCGGTCCCGGCTGTCCCGGCTGTCCCGGCGGTGGTCCTTCTCGCTCAGACCCAGCGCCTCCATCCCCTTGTGGATGTAGTCCGAGACACTCTTGCTCCGCGGTCTCGGACGACGGTCCTCGTAGCTGTCCTGCGAGAGAGACCGGCCCCGACTCCGGTCCCGGGGACGGGACCTGGAGCGGAACCGATCGTATGCTTCCTTGCCGATCGCAGCCAAGGCGCCTGTGGCAGCGAGATTCTTCACGCCACTGTTGCTCTGGGAGCGGCCATGGTGCCGGCCGCGGGATCGGGAGCGGGATCGGGACCCGTTCAGGAAGTGGTTTGCGGCGAGCCCGGCCAGGGTCGATTCTACGACATGACGCTTCGAGTGCTTCTTGGGATCGCGGTCCACCAGGCCATCCGTGCCCCCGGCCGCGATGGCAGCGGTCAAGATCCGCTTCCCCTTGGCGCCAGTCCACTCCCCGGGGTCCTTGCGGACGCGGAATGCCTCGATGGCTCCGGCGGTCAGAGCGGCCCGCATCGCCTGTGCGATGCGTTGCTCGCTTTTCTCGCGCCGATGGCGACTCCGCGAGCGAGTCGGAGACGGTGAGTAGGAGTAGGATTTGCGGTCGCGGGCCTGCGAGCGGCCACGCTCCCGATGTCTCGAGCCCGACGAAGCAAGCGATCCCAACCCCAGCGCCCCCAGGGCTTGCTCGGAGATGGACTTTCGTCGGCGCGGTGGGGGCGAGCGGCTATCGGAGGGGGACCGGGAGTATCGACCCCTGTCATCTAGGTAAGGTCAGCACGTTGGTTGACTGGGGACTTCATTCTATCTCGTCCAACATAATTGGTGTGAGAGAACATCTGGTGGATATACGTACGTCGATCGTCATGGCGTCTGGAGCGGCGATGTGAGTGTCGATAGTAGTCCGAGCCGTCGTCGTAAGGGTCGCGTGGGTTCACGGAGTGGGAACGGCGCACACTTTCGTGGACGGTGGACGCGCGGGTGGGTTTTCCCTGCGGGGGAATGCCGTAGCCGTACTCGTAGCCATAATCGGCGGGGGGATAGTCGCGGTGGACGGCCTCGAAGGACTCGACACTGCCATCCCGATGATGACGCACAACATCGGTTTGATGGCGAGAGGGGGGATAATAGTAGTCAGGGTTATAGCCAGCAGAAGGGCGAGAGGAATATTGGCGCCCGTCGTAGTAGGCCATGGTCACACGGTCACAGAGTCACAGACTGGCGAAGCGCGGTTGGTTGGATGTTTCGGTGGAGGGGTTCAAGATGA